ATTATATTATTATATTATTCCTTATAATATATTAATATAAGCTTTACTTAATAAATATTTATTTTAATATATATAAAATTAAGAATAATTTATTTTAAGGCATAAGTTAAGTTATAATTTATTATAAATTACGCCTTAAATTATATTTTAAAAACTTATCTTATATTGCATTAAATAAAAATGCATATAATATAAGTTTATTAAAGAATAATAGCTATATTATTAAAGCTATGTAAATAATATAATAATTATAAAATATACCTAAGTTAATTAATATAAATAATAAATTTTAACTTAATATATATAATATAAGTAATATATAATTAACTTTAAATTATAAAATAACCTTAAGATAATATTTTAAGATATTTATAATAACTTTATTTATTATAAGTTAAATATTATAAAGAACCTTATTATATATATTTAATTAATAAATGTTTATTATATTATATTTAAGAATAATTATAATATTATAATTTTTATTTATAGCCTTAAAACTTTTATATAAAAGCTATAATATTATTAATAATAATAAATATATTTAAAGTTATTATATTATTAAATTACTTAAATTATTTTTATAAATTATTTAAATTTAAATTTAAATAATATAAAGTATTATATAAGTTAAGCATAAATAACCCTTCTTAAATCTTTATTTTTTCTTAATTTTAATTATATTAAGCATTTCTTATTAAATTATTTAATATAAAAAAAGTAAAAAATTAATAAAAACTTAATATAATATAATTAAGGTAATATATATATATATTTTATAATTATAAGCCTTATTATTATAATAATAATTTATATAAACTTTATATATTATTATTTATATAATTAGTATAAAGTTAATTATATAAAGTAATTATAAACTTTTTTAATTTTTATATTATTTATAAAACTTTCTTACTTTTTTATTAAATATTTAAATTAAATAAATTATAAGGTTTTAAATTTTATTAATATAAAGGCATAATATTAAAAATAAATTTAATTAAAAATAATATTATATTAATAATAATAATAATGCTTTAATTATCTTAAAAAAATAAGAAATATTAAACCTTTAATAAGATATTTTAAGTATAATTACTTATAATTAAAATATATTAATAAGTATATATAAAAAATTAAATAATTTAAATAAATTTATATATTAGCCTTTAATTAATAATATTATAATTATAAATATTAATATTATAATAATATAAAATTATTAAATATTTAAAAAAAATTAAAGTTAATAATTTTAAATATTATAAAATAAAAACTTATTATTAAAATAATTAAGGGAATAATTTATATAATAAAATAAGGTAATAATATAAAGTTTAATAATAATGCTTATTTAATTAAAAGTATATAAATATAAAGATTTAAATTATAAATTAAATATTAAATTTTTAATATAAAATATAAATAAAATAAGAATTAATTTTAATAAAATATTAAATTTATATATTATTAAGGGAGTATAAAATTTATATATTATATTTATTAAATATAGGAAATTTTAAAGAGCAGTTTGGTATAAATTGTATGATGAGAAAAAGAATTAATATTTTTTAATGAGAAATGGGTATTAGAGCTTATCCCTTGGATGGGATATAAAACCATTTTAAAAGAATGGCATAAACTTAAAATGCTTAAGTATAAATTTATTTATTTAATAATAATAATATATCTTCTTAATCTTTTATTATTACTTATTTATTAATATTTAAATTACCAGCTTTTTTAAGCATTTAATATAATTAATTTATTAATAAGTATTTAAAGCAATAATAAAGTTTCTTTATTTTTATTTTTAAAAGGAAATATATAATATTAATAATTTAATTTAAGAAAAATTATAAGTAACCTTATCTTTTAAATATTAATATAATAATTACATTATTAAAAGAAACTATTTTATTTATAATATTATTATAATATACTTAAAGCTTATTTATGTTTATTAAGTAAAGCAGAAATAAAATTTATATTTAAATAATATAGAAATTAATATAATTAATTAAAATAAAAACCTTTATTATATTAAGTAAATTAATAATTATATTATTATTAAATTTAACTTTAGCTTTTCTTATAATAATTATATTAATTTAATATTTTAAGTTTTTTCATTATAATATAAGAAATTGCTTATATTTAGCTATAAATATTAATAATGCTTTTATATTTAGTAAGATTCCTTAAAAATAAGTTTAATTATATTTATTTTTTAAAATAAATTAGCTAGCTATAATAATTATTTTTATTTAAAAGATATTATTTTTAATAATTTAATATATAAATGCTTTATTAGCTAAGAAATTAATATTTATATAATAAACCTTTTTATTAAGTTTTACTTTTATAATATAAATATTATTATTATAATTATTATCTTAATTTTATTTATTTTTATATTTATAAGATTTATCTTTATTATTTATTTTATATTTCTTAAACTTGCTTAAAAAAATATTAAAGTTATTATTATAACCTTTATATTTATATTATATTAAGTAGCTTCTTTTTATTAAACATTGCTTATTAGTTAAATATTTAATTAATTAATATCTCTTCTTTTTATAAATATAATATCTTTTTTTTTAAAAATTATCTTTCTTTTTCTTTATAAGCATTATTACTTTAAGCTTTATAATTAATATTATAAGATTTTAGCTACTTAAAGCTTAAATAGCTTAATTTTAATTAACTAAATCTTTAATTTCCTTAAAATGCTTAAGATTGCAATTATTATCCTTTCCTTAGCTTTTAGCTATTATATTTATAATTAATATAATATTAATTTAAAACTTTATTTATAATATAAATTATAATTATATAATTAAGTTATATTTTTATTATAAATCTTAAGTTTAAAAATAATTCTTTATATAATTAAGCTAATTTAAAAAAAATTATTTTTAATTTAAAAATTTCTTTATAAGCTTTAATTATTATTATTTTTAAGTTATTCTTTTTAATATAATTTTAACTTAATGCTTATTAATAAAGTTATAGCTTATTAAGCATTAAATATAAAACCTTATATAAGTTTTTATTTAAATTTTATATTTTTATTTTTATAAATATTATTATTATTTAATTTATATAATAATATTAATAATTAAGATTTATATTAAAATGCATTTTAATTTTAAGATATATTATTATAAATATATTAATTTAATTTATAAAATAAAAATAATAAGCCTTAGCTTAATCTTTAAGTATTTAAAAAAAAATTATATAAAATTAATTTAATTAAATTTTAATATAATAATAAATATTAAAAAATATCTTTATTTTATTATTTAATAAATTATATAAATTCTTAATATATTTATAAAAATTATTAAAGGTTTTTATAAACTATATTAACTTTATTAAATTTAAGTATTTATTAAAAATATATTATAAGGAAAGAATTTTATATAGGTTATACTTTTTATTTAATAAAGGTATTTTTAAAATAGCTTAAGGTTATATTAAGTATAATATATATCTTTAATATAAGCTTTATTTTTATTTTTTTATTAATAATAATAAGCCTTATTAACTATATTAATTTTTAATAAATTATATTATTAAGTTTAAATTTTATAATTATATGCTTAAAGCTAGCGGTAATAATAAATATTATTTTAAAAACTATCCTTTTAATAATTATTATTATTTAAAGCTTATTTATAGTTTTTATAAAGGCTATGTTTATAATTATTATTTTTAAAGTTATATATAATATTTATTTATATTTAATTTTAAAGTTAATAAGGTATTATAAAGCTTATTATTAATTTATTTTAATTTTTCCTTAGCTTAAGCTATAGTAATTAATTATAATATTATAAATTAATTATTATATCTTATATAAATACCTTATATTTAAAGGAAAACTTTTAAGCATTATTAATAAAGATTTAGCAATACTTTAAATATTACTTATATTCATGCTATATAGTTTTTATAATAAATAATAAAAAGATTATTATTATAAAGATTTTATTATATATAGCTTATTAAAGTACTTATTAAATAAATAATTAAGTATTTTATTAATGCTCCTTATATAAGAGTTATAAATTATAATTTTAAATTAATATATTTATAATAAGCTAAATTAATTAAAGTTTAAGTAAGCATTTTATTAATTATATATTTTTTAATAAAAATTAATAGCTTTTTAGCATTATTAACTATACTTATAGGTTTTTATAATAAATATTATAAAAAGTAAAATTAATAAAATAAAAAGATATTAATAAAATAAATAATATTTAAGAGTAAATTAATAATAATAATTTAATAATAAGCAAATTATAATTATTAAAAGGGAAAAGTTATTAATTCCTTTAAGCTTTAAAAGTTAAGGCTTTCTTTTATTATTAAGTTCTTTTATATTAGCTAAAAGTATAATATATAACTTATATTTACTTATAATATAGCATTGCATTAGCTTTAATAATTATAATAATTATAAGCTTTATTAAGTTTTATTAAGTTTTATTAAGTTTTAAAAAGAATTTAAAGATAGGTTTATTTTTAATAAAGTCTTATGCATAATAAATATATATTTCTTAAATAGCAATAAATATATATATAAATATTGCAAAAAATGCTATTTAATTTATTTAATCTTTATAATATTTATTTAGGAAGTTTAATAATATAAAAAGCCTTAAAAAAGCAATTATTGCTATATAGCACTTATTAATAAGGAAAATATAATTTTTAAGTTAGGGAAATCCTTATAGGGTTGCCTTTTTTACCTTGTTAATTTATAATACTTATAATTACTAATTAATATTAATAGGTTTCTTGTATATATAATAATTATATAGGAAGCAATTATATATTGGTATTATTCTGTTTAAGTTCTAAGAGGCTACGTGCCCCAAAGGGGATAACTAAAGTAGCCTTTTAAGTGCGAGGGTCGTACTTGCCAACAGAAATGGCAAGTCGGCCAAAAGCGACCTGACCCGCCTGGTTTTGAGGAGGGTTCTATGCGTCGGCCAACGCCCAATGCCTCCCATGGTCAACAAGCACCACAAGTCACCCAAGACTTTGAGAGGATGTATGCTGTAGAGAACAGCCAAGCCCGAATTTACAACCTTGCGCAGTCTCTAATGTGGAGCTCGGGAAGCACGACAAACACCAAGCCCCCTGAGCTTTCCGACGAAGAGGATCGACTACTTCGCAACGCCGTTGCCTCGAGTACTCCTTTCCCCTACATTAAATCATTCGTGTTCCTGGATCGAACAGACATCAGCACTGAGGCCTTGGAGTCCCGTGCGCGTGAGAAAGGCGCATTGTGGGGAAATTGGGAGGACTACTTGGTGAGAGAGTTCTTGGCCGAGGGCAAGGAGCCTGACCATGAACTCATCGCAAAACTGCAAGAATGGTTACCATGGCGAGATATTGATACTCTTCGGGCCCGAATCAGTTAACTGAAGAAAAAGAAGCTAGATGGGGAGATCCCCCAAAGTAAACAGCCCCATGGTTGCAACACCCAGGGAGACCATTTAGGACCTCTAGGTAACACTGTGGCCGCTCTGAACCACTCAGATACTGACCCATATGCATTCCTAACTGGAAGTGTCAAACAGAACTTGGGATATACCAGCGCTGGTTCAGCGCAAACTTAGTATCCTAATTACCACCAGACGAACCTGCACGGGTTTGGAACTGAGGCCATTTCAACTGACGGATCTGCCTGATTCCAACAGCACTACACTCACGACGTCCAGGGTGACACCTCTGGCCATCTTGTAGATGATCTAGATTCCTCGTATATTGTCCCATTTGTTTCCTTTACCTGGAGGACCGGATCGGGGCTTTGCAGACCACAACACAATCTCAGCAGCGAATTATCACAACAACAACCCGATAGACCTGGGCGAGTACCAAGACATGGACACACCAAATGAGGCGTTTCCCCAAGCCCAAGAGTACAGCGATGACTTTAGCCAACCACCCGTCGCAGGACACCCTACGGCCACTCTAAATTACTCAAGTTCTGGGCTGCGCCCTTTCCAACTCGCAGCAGCCACTCATAGCCTCGCAGATTTCAACACCAGCTCAGCACCGAGTTATGACAGCATCCAATGGGCGCATCAGCCGATTTCCTCCAACGAGCAGGGCTACACGGAGCAAGGCAGCAGCAACATCAGTTATGAGGCAGGCGTGGAAAACAATTCGAACCGCGGAGCAGTTGGACAAGTACGTGCCCGAAATAAAGAAAAACGTCGCCCAGAACTGGTCATGGCAGGAGGTGAATGCAGCGTACTGCCCTCACTACAACTACGCCTCCATGCGGGACTTGCTGGAGCGCCGGGGCTGCAGGCTTTGGAAACGACCCCAGGACAGGCAATTAAAGATGTTGAGGAGGGATGGCAATGACTGGGCTCAGATCTGCCGGCAGTTTACCGGCCCACCGACGACCCAGGAAGAGGTAGAGGCTCGTTTTCGATGGCTCACAGGAGAAGCATCAGCTGCGGACGGAAGGCAGACGCAAACAGGGTGAATTAACAAGTTCATAAGGGGGGATGGAAGGCGACGGCACCACGCCCTGGCCATTTACTGAAGCCGTGACCAAGGCGCCCAGCAACCCGTCTCCTTCGTTCTAGGATGATAGGGCTGGACATGGAGAGGCATGGATAGCCACCTCTTTAGGGCAATAACACATATGCCTTCTTTTCCGTCTGAACGGAGGCATTGTATTGTGACGACCTTTTGTCCTTCCCCCTATTCTCGGGCGCGTTTGCGACTCGAACTGCCACCTGCCCACGCGAAATTTAGTACATGTGTGTCTTTTGATTGTTCAGACACGCGCTCCCAGGCACTCGCTCTCCCATTCTCCCAGGCGAACTTTTTCTCGGCGCGGCGTGGAGTCGTGTTGGACAAGCAGCCAGGGGCAAGGCATAGGCAACCTCGTGGGGGAGTTGGCCGGGACTCGGTTGGCCGAAGATGACTCTAGAAGCCTTGACGGGTTCTTCTTCACCTCCTCGAAAACATTGCGGGAGTAGGTATCCATCACGGCGCATAGGACACGGCGGCTTTGGTGCTGCAATGCTTTCCCGCCTATGCTGAAGACGAGATCACGTGGCTTTTTTTGTACCTCAGGGTCCTGCACGTCGCTTGCCCCGAGGCCCGGCACAAGCTCGACAAGGATGGAAGTGGGATGGTTGGATGATGAGGACCTCGGGACGAGCCCCGGTGTTGTCCCTGGTGGCGGTGGCAATTACCTTGAGGTTGGCGGAAGCGGATCTCTGAACCAAGCTGCTCGTGACGTCTTAGATATTGCAGCTTGGAGGATGGCCAAGGGAATTTACCCTGGGCTTTCAGGTGGCCAAGCAGCGAGGTGCACGACGTGGACTTGGTCACGTTTGGCTCATCAGACGTCACACAATGTTGGTAGATTTATATCGAACCTCCATCATGGGACCGATGACCTCGACTTGAGCCCAATTGGCCGCCAGCTCGGGAGTCAGCCCATTGGACAATCCATGATTGTACAAGCCTATGCCTCACCAGTATCAAGTCAAAATCCGAGACAGTGGGCATCTCCGAAAGTTCCCACCCGGCCTCGGAGAGTAATAGGGCATGTGGGTATTATACTTCACGGCGCATGAGGGCCGCACATAGATACCCCTGGAGATGAGATAAGCCGGGCCAAACGCCGGGAAGTTTCCCGACGGCGGCCCTGTCACTTGGAAGTGCGCTCACGAATACACTACGAGTGATAATAGATCCAGGGACTCCCGCTAGAGGCCCAGCCCGTCGAGGCTCCTCTCGTCTCCCCTCGCCTACCTCCGTGCTGCGCGGACGGCAATCGCTGCCGATCTGGAAGGGGGGGATTGATGTTTAGAACAAAAAAGAAAGGAGCACACGCAGCGCCATACGCACGCACGCACGCATGCAGCGCACGCACACGAAATCACAAACACGCACGGTACACAAACACAGTATCCCAAACAGTCAACCACCCAAACAGGGCCGGCCGCCCGTCCAGCTGGCCCGAGCTTCCTTTCTTCTTCGCCAAAGGAAACAAAAGAGGATACCAAAAAACACGGGGGTCCCACTTGGGCTCTGAACCCCTGAAAGGAAGAAGAAGGCTGAGCAAGATTTCCCAAATGTTCCAATCCATCCGTGCCTGGTAATAATGGGTCCGCCCGAACCCGAATCGAGCGGAGCGGGAAATTGCATAGGATAGTTGCCTGCGGTGCGGCGGCGACCATCTCCCCTCTCCCCCAACCCCCTCCCAGACTCCACTTGGGAATTCCATTCCGGAAACAAATGTCAGATCAAAAGAAGGAGTGGGTTCTTCTCCAACCCGGCCCCCCTCATCTTGTGCGGCGGGTTGCTGCACTGACGTTTGGTGTCGTCTTGTGCGCTCTGGGGCGGCGTGAGGACGGTGCATGGAGAGGTTTTTTGCCCACATTCAAGTCCAATGATGGCTTCAGGGGCTGGGAATCTCGGGGGCAGTGGCTTTTCTTGTTTTGTCTTAGAATCACAGTACGAGCACGCAGGAGACGAAAAGGAAAAACAGGCGAGACATCAGAAGCAGGGTAGCCATCACATGACACATCAAATATGCGACTCATCCAGCTGCTTGTTTCTTTTCCCGTCAATGTCTCCGAGGGGGGATGCCTAGCGCTGCGACAGAACAAAGTGGCCGGCCTTCCAGAAGAACGACAGGTCTGTTTGATAGTCGGGGTCCCGTCGTACGGAGTCATCTCCGGGCCCTCGCGTCTGTGACAGGGCTGGGAGAGCAACTGAGGGGAGAGGGGGAAACGTGTCAGCACTCTATCCAGGAACTGCCCGTCATCTCGCCTAATTCCGAGGCGAGAGTCCCGCCGGAGAAAGCTCGTGTGCCTGGTGAACTGGACCTCACAGAATAGGGAAAGGTGAGCCAAGTGGGTGGGTCAACGGCGGACTTCCTACTGCTCGTATGCATTGAGGCCGGGGAGGTCCCAAGATATGCCTGTTGGCCGCGAGAACTCTGCCGCGCACACACGTTTTGAAGATGTTGGTGCAGCGTTCGCGTGATGACGGCTCGCAGAGCGCGCGTAGTAGAAGGCAAGCTGGGCTACTCGAGGGCCGCGAGATTGATTGCAATCTCTCCCTGCGTCCCCGGTGTCGCAGACTCGCAGCCCGGCGGCGCCCCGCGACATGGCGATGGCCGAGATTCCGATGCGAGCTTGCCACGTGCTTAAGCGAAGGAGGCTGAGGAAGATGATGACAATGATTACCCAGAGCGGCGACGATTTCGCTCTCGATGGCGTGCCAATCTCATCATGATCATCTATGATGAGGTGTAGTTATTCCTGGGGCGTTGCATCGGGATGGCAGGGCCGCGGTGTGAGGAGGAGTGGTGGTAACCCGGGCGGGTGGTAGTCAACCTGGTCTTGGGAGATGATCGTCGACGGCAACCACAATTGGCAGGATTGGGCACCGAAAGAGGCGAAGGGCAATCTCGGCAAGGTGTAGATGGCAGGCGATCAATACGATCGGCCAGATTGCTCCTGGGCCATGGTGGTGACAGGAGAGCGTGCGAGCCGGGAAAGCTTGGGCGCCGCCGTGCAAACACATGCGGTGTTACCGGCTGGCAGGGCCCATCGCGGGGGGCGCGTACTTGCCTGTGCGCGCAGCGTGCGACTGTGATCTGGAAGGCGCCGGTGCGCAGGGTTCCGGAAGCCGAGGAGCGGAAGAACCCTATGGAGAATGTATGCTCGTGTGTAAGGGGGCAAAGTAAAGAAGACAACGCTGGTCTGCTAGTCGCCTGTTTGGGTGAGGTAGGGAAGAGGAAGAGTGGGTTGGGATGTTCACGATGTTCTGTCCCACGTCACACGCGAGCACCCCTCTAGTTACTGGATTTTGCCGTGACGGCGAGACAGCAAGGCTATGTTGGTTTCCTGATGGCATGGCGCAATCTTTCGAGGCGGCACATAGGCTTCGTCCACCTCCGTGGCGATCGACAAGGGCGTGAGGGTGGGAGGTCGGTGGGCGCGCAGTGGCCCAAGGGTGGCCCATGGGATGGCCTGCGCAGAGCAGAGTTCGTCCTTGTGCGCTTGCCTGAAGGTCGGAACGGGTATGTGCAGATCGCACAAGGTAAGCTGCAGGAACATGACGGAAGGGGACGAATGGGGAGAGTCATGTATTGTCAGCGTGTAGATACCTCGAGGCGTGCGATGTGCCCATGTACCTACCAGTCAATACGGCAGTGTCAGCAGCAGCAGCAGTGGCAGTAGTGGCCAGTATGGAGTGAGCTGACCAGCCTCTGACCGTGGAGTGGGTCCAGTAGTAGGTGTACAGAATCGTTGAACTGTTGTAGCAATTCGGCTCATTGTTGGAGTAGTATGGGCAGAAAAGGAGAGAGAATCCGCGATGGAGGCTGGTACAATATTGTCGATGGGACCGCAGCAACCCGCAAGCCCGCACGCGCACCCCGCCAGCCGCACAAAGCTTGCAGCATGCGGCCGAGACAGCGGATGGGCCGGGCCTCGCCTCAGCAGCGACAAGGTCAGGAGGTTGTGGTGTCCGTGTACAGGCGGCAGCAGAAGTGGATATTGTAAGTGGACGGGCAGGACGAGCACGCCCGTACGGAGTATGCACCTGCACACCTTCTGATGGTAGAGCAGGTAGCAGTAGATGAGACAGAAGCAGCGATGATCAGCCAGGCCCCAACTCGGCATGCACGCCAGCATATGCAAGATCGCTTCTTTAGGCGATCTGTGCGATTACAGATGCACAGGCAGGACAGGAGGGCGCAGGCCATCACTGCTTTCCTGTACTTGAAGTATTGTGCCAGGTCATGTCTGTATCCGTACTGTGTCGTGCCGTACCGTGCTGTATTTGTTCCGTCGGATGGGCTTCTTCTGATCGGCCGAGATGGCCTGCACCACCCTGCCAGCTTTGGTCCACGGTTCGGAGAGGCCGTGATGCCGTCCCACTGGGGCCACTGGCGGCAGCACTGGCCAGCAATTGGGAGCCGCACGTTGATTGAGATGTGTTAGGCCGGCCAGCCGTGGTCCTGGGTCCCAGCAGAGTGTCGTCTCGTCTCGCCCCTCGCCAGTCGTTCGCACAGACGCGAACTCCAGACTCCAGATGGGAGGGATCGTCGAGGGACGGGACGGGACCAGGCCAGGCCAACCAGATTAGATCAGATCAGACCAGCACGCAGAGTTGGTTACAGATAGATTGCGCCCGCAGTGCCCTGCTCCGTGGGTTGAGACCTGGCTTCCATTTCGACGGAGCTGCTTCCTGTCGGGCGTCGGGACTCGACAACACTGACAGGCTGACGATTGGTGTGTGAGACACGCATACCAATGGTACGGGGTAGAACTGTACGTATGAGTATGGAATCAGCCTGCAGCTTTCTCTTGTCAGGTTCTTCTCCTCGGGCCCTGGGCTGCTGGGATGTGTCTGGTGCAGCGGTGCATTTGCTGCATTTGCTGCATCTGCTGCGTCTGTGGTGAGCCCCTTTCTGCGGTGACGATTCGCCTAGGGATGACGGTTCATTTTGAAGGCTGTGGGCCAAGGCAAAAGGTTTGGTTCATGCACCCTGGTAGCAGGCAGCGTGGCACCAGATTTTGGTTCTGTTCACCCGTATCTCTTTTTTCCCCCTTCCCTCTTCATTCTGCCGTTTGCGACTTCCACTCACTGCGTGGCGTTTCGTCTCCACACCTCCCCAATTCGCCGACGTCGTCCTGCGGCCCCTTCCCGTTCGATTGGAAGGGCCCGCCCGTTTTCTTCTGGAAGCCACAACCCTGTCCCCAGCCCTGCCTGACCACGGTCTTTGTTTGGCTGGCTTCTGAACCAACTGTTAGGACAAGTGGCTTCCTCGCCAGCGGAAGCCTAACTCTGTGTACGTGCTCCTGCTACCCCACTTTGAGCACCTGCCATCCGGACAACCTCCTACCCTCCTACCCCCAACTGGCAAGCGTGGGCCAAAGTATTGGGTACATTTGGGGCTGCTTTGTGATGGTGCACGTTGTGCATGTTGGTCTCACCTTGAGTAGACTACACTGCATAGATGATACACCGTAGAGAATTCAGATGCTAGGTTCAGCCATCTGCATGCAATGCAATCATTACCAGCTCCCTGTCTTGCTGCTTTCTTTTGCCTCTCCAGAAACCATGTTAGAGACTTCAAAGAAGAAGGAGGAGGGCAATGCTGAGGGCAAGCCAGAGATTAAAACAGAAGTCATTCCCCAGGGTCTAGCAGTACGTAACTGCCCAGGTGCATTGTGGCAGAGATGGAGGTCATTTGAGAAACCCAGGTTCAGGCACTGGGCCCGCTAAGTCGGATCCTTGCCGGCAACTAGCAGCAGCTAGACCTCTCCCCGTTGTGCCATCTCCCTGCTGGGCCAACCGCTGGAGCAATCGAGCCACTTTGCCTGGGCAACCCTGAATTGAATCTACCTAGGGTAGGTACCCAAGCGTGAAGACGGCAGGACGGGCACCAAAGGCAAGGTATCCGGGTACTTGGCCACTGCAACCTCGCATCATCACTCACCACCCCCTCCTCTCCTGTGCCTCCCTCCAAGAGCACTGCTCTGTGGCAAGCAAATCCCACCTCCATTCCAGGCCCGAGCTTGGTTGTGAGTCAACCAGTCAGAGCAACCAGAGCACCTGCAGTCCTGCACCTGCGACCTGCGCCTGCCCTGCACCTGCAACTTGCTGCAGCAGTTTGAGTTGGCACACACCATAGCCTCTGTCGCTGCAAGACAACAGAGAGAGGTACAGCCCAGCCGCCTGCCTCCTCCTCCACCTGCCAGCTCATACATACAACCTCATCTCATCTCCATCTCCATCTCTGTCCCGGTCTCCCGCCTCCCGTCTCCATCCCACCTTGTTGCTGCTGCCATTCTTGTTTTTCGCCCCTCCCCCTCCTCTCCTCCCTCCCCCCTTGTGACAACAATCACGCGGACAAGACACACACCAAGGGGACGACAACAATCACAAGCAGATTGCCCCTCTCGTGACTGAATGTTAGACGGACAGAAAGAAGGCAGAAGACCGACAGACCACGGCCCTTCAAAGTTCTTGTCTGTTCACCCTGTCACCCTGCCTGCCTGACCGACTGACTCTGCTCTGTGGTGGCCCATCCTCTCTCTCATTTCGACCTCGCCCGTCTTGTTTTGTCCGCCTTTCCCCTTTTGGTATTAGGTGTGCCTCTTCCATCCACGCCGACCCCAGCAAGGTCCAGTCCCAGTCCCAGTTCCCGGTCACTCCAGTCACCACCGAACCCAGCCCGACAGGACCAATATTTTCAGCCCCATATTTCTTTTGGGGGAACTGCCGTGCAAGCGTGGAAGCGTGGCAGCTGTCCGTCCTCGTTCGAAAAATTGACTACGAAACCTCCGTGTCCTCCTGCTGCTCGAGATAAGCGCCTCCCAGGTCCCCAAGGCCAACCATCAAGAGGTCAAAGGTCCGAAGGTCCAACCCGATCCAGACCGGCGACGACAACAACTACGACGCCGACCGTGCATTCTGTCCCTGCCAGTCTCGTCTCGGCTCGTCTCGTCCTGCCTGTCCTGCCCTCCCCTCGCCTGGCCCTCGCGTCATTGTCGTTGACCGCCTCGGGGCGACAATATCGAATAATAAAGGGGACCATTGACTCCCTGGCCCCTCCCCACTCCAGGAGATTTCCTCCATTCCCGCAGCACCGCACCGCAACGCACCGCATTGCAGCGCTGCAACCTCTTTTTTTTCGGTGAGAATCTCCCTTCCCTTCTTCAACCCCGTGAGCCCCCTACCCTTCCTTCCTTCCCCTGGCTTTGCCTCTGTGTCCCGTCTCTGTCACTGCCAACGTCACTGCTGCTGTCTCTACTTTTCCCTCTCCCATCGCCTGCCTCCTGGAGACCTCCATAGAAAACCACATATCCTGACCCCATTATTATAAGCCTCTCTAATATCGTCCCTCACAGCTTTACGCCACCTCACCCTGTCGCATCCTCCACCCCTGCGACTTCTCAACCCTTCTTTCCGACAACAACCTCCACCGCCTCGAGATATCCTGCTGCTCGGCCTGCACAGCTTGCCTCTCCCGCCTCCTTGGCAAGCTGTACGCCTGACTCCTGACTCCCTTCCACCCCAGCAAGTCCAGCCACGGCCACGCGCCTCTGCCAAGACACATACATGAGCATCATGACCCATCCACAGCAGCCAGACGCGTTCGCCGCGTATGGCTCCTACAATGGCGGCATGGGCAACCGATCGCCAAACTCTACAAGGAACGGGTACTCTACTCTGCCCTCGGGCATGGGCGCGAACCGCCAGCCTAGCCAGAGGCAGCAGCAGCAGCAACAGCAACAACAGATGGATGCCGCCAGCCAGCAGGGAGCCTCAATGTACCCCATGATGGACCGGTACGGCATCCTCGATAGTATTACACGTGGCCCCCCTCCAACGGTGTCTGGCATGCCCGGAGAGTATATGGCAGGCAACCAGTCCGCATGGAACTACAACGGCAGCGGCTCCTCAGCTACGGTCAACGGCCCAATCCCTGATGTCAGATCTCGATCGGTCAACAGGAGACCAGGCATTCCAGATGTCAGTTCAGGCCGATCTCCGTTGTCGCTTCTCCGTTATCCCGCTGACCCTCACCCCCAACAGTACTGGATGCAACAACCTGACCCAACCAGTCATCCCGGCATCGGTCTTCAGGCCCCTAGCCAACCTGTCTACACTCCCCAGGGCGTCCCTTACGGCCAGGTGATGAACGGCATGGACCAGCTTCGAGCTCAGCCGCACATGTTCTCCGAGGGCCGCCAGTCGCACCACGACAAGAAGGACGACCTGATACCCACTGCCATTGTCATCAAGAACATTCCCTTCAACGTCCGCAAGGAAGTCTTGCAGGCCATCATGATGGAGATGAACCTGCCACAGCCCTACGCCTTCAACTACCACTTCGACAACGGCGTGTTCCGTGGCCTCGCCTTTGCCAACTTCTCGAGTGCCGATGAGACGAGACAGGTCATCGACCGGATGAACCAGCTGGATGTGCAGGGGCGCAAGTTGCGAGTTGAGTACAAGAAGATGCTGCCAGAGCATGAGCGGGAGCGCATCGAGCGGGAGAAGCGCCAGAAGCGTGGTCAGCTCGAGGAACAGCATCGCCCGATGCCTACCCTCCAGCACCAGGCCTCGCTCCAGTCCCTGCATAGCCGAGAAAACGAGGCCCCTGCCTCGCGTTCGTCACCAAGCCGTAAGTCTGCCGCATCCTTGAACCAGCGCCCACGAAGCTTACACCTCGCAGGTGACTACGACTTGAACGATCCCGCGACCCTGAACAATTACATCAAGATGCGAACTTACCGGGAAGATGCGAATAACACGGATTACCTCGTCTTCGATGCTTCCACCGCTCCCGAGGAGCGCCGCGTCATTCACATCCTGGCTCATAATATGGGACTGCACCACGGCTCCTACGGTACTGGTGAGAGCCGATGTGCTGTTGTCTGGAAGGAAAACATGGGGCCTCCCGACTTGGCTGTCAACTCCAGCCACACACCAGTGTCAGCCGTAGACCAGCTGCAGTACCCGGCCAACAGCAAGAGCTTAGCGCGTGCCGCCACGATTGACTTTGGCGAGCAGCGGACTTCAAGCACCAATGGTTACGGCACCGTTGGCCGGCACGGCAACCCAGCGTTAGAGGTTCCCGACAGCAGCCCCGATGGTCTGAACAATATCGCCAACTTGCGGACTATCAGAAGCATGGCCGAGCTCGGAAGGCCTGGGCAAAATCTGCAGGCAAGGACCCCGAGTCCGCGGGAGTCGGGCTACCCAACGTCGTCCCTACGTCTGAACGAGCATGGTCTGTCCTCGCGACCGGACCTCTCGAGCGCATTTGGCGGGCTGGCTGCTACACCGACTACTCCCGGAGGCAGCCTCAACCATCGCGCGTCCGACTTGAGCCTCTCCGGCGTGACCAACAACTTGAGCTCGCTGAGCGTGGCAGAAGGACCTTACGAGGCGAGCCGCCTGCGGGAGAACCCTGGTGCTATCGGCAGTCAGCGACCCGGTGTGAACGGTCTCAGCGCTCGCAATGCGCCCGAGCGCCAGCCTCGTGGGCCCGAGACCGGCTGGGAAAACGTGGGGTTCAATGGTCGTCGGGTCAATGGACATGCGCAACGTGGTAGCGGTTCGTCCAAACTGTCGTCCCAAGATTCTTGGAGTCACTGACAGCGTTCCGAGCAGACTCGTCCGAGAACTTCCACGGCAGTGGCGCAAGCAGCAGCCTCTACTCCCACTAGTGCTGAGCATTTCTTGGGTCGATCTCGAGCCTTGATGTATGGAACGATCGATCGCCCCAGCCCCAACCAAACCCCGCCCGATGAATCTCAAGCCTGTCTTCCCACGGCGCACATCAATGCTTTCTGATCTATACTTATTTATATGCGATGAGCTTTCGCGACGTTTCTGGCTTGCAAATTTGCGCTCCTCCAGTTTTTCGTTTTCATACTAGCCGACCACGGGAATTTCCCGGGCGGTCTAATGCTACCAGAACGCGGTACACGGTCACGAATCAATCACCTTGACGCCGAGCGGAGGAATTCCACAAAATATTGATACCTCCACGACCTGACGACTGGATGTCTCCCCAAAAAAGAAGTAGAAGACGCAGAACTGCGATTCTCAAATGTCGATCAGGGTTTCACGGAATTTTACAACAGAGAGCTTTATATGGGCGACCATTTTATGCCGTACGACTCAGCATCCACGGGGCATTGGCTGAATGGGCTTGACGGGCTCACGTTCCAACACCGGTCAAGTCCTGGAACTCAGGGCTCTCGCAACCGAGGCGACCCACTTCCAACAGGCACGTCCTCAGCAGAGGTGTACCTCGACCATGCCCCGACGACCGTTATGCCTTTACGACGACACGTCTAGATGGCCTCTAGATCATCCTGTTCTCAAGAACGGAAAAACACAACAGACTCCTTGGCTTTCGGCCTCAGCCACCATCTAATCATGACGAAATCCGACGTCGCTTGCTTGCAATGTCTTCAGGCATGGGCCTTGCCCCCGCCCCGCCTCTCGGTCAGACGCCGACTTGTTTTTGGTCGGCCGATGAATCCGATTTGCAATGTTTCCCGGTTTTCAAACCTCAACAAAAGTTTGGTGATGGACCTTTGCTCTCGGGTCCTTGTATCATTATTATGACCCTTCCCACGACAGATGATATATGGATTACAGCCCCCCTGTTTCAATATCCCCCTCTCCCAGTTGATCACAGCACAATCAATCGAAATCTTCTTTTTGGCCTGCGTCCCCTGTAGTATTACCATCACATTCGTTTACGGCTTATAATGGACGTTATCCTGGCGGACGGTGCAAATCGTGGGTGGCCTACGCCGGCCCAAAGGCTACGCCCCTGAGATGACAAGTTCAATGTCTTGGAGTCACGTCTCTCGACCAAGGGTCTGGCAGTCAGGGGTCAGAGGAGACCGATGTCGGGTATCGGGCGTGGCGTGGAGGCTTGGATTTAGGTTGACCTTCCGGGGGTTGGAAAGTGCCCCCGCCTCGGCTGTCGGGGCTGGCCTGGCTTGGCGACAGGTCTTTTGCATGGAAACGGAGTGAGGGTTCAATTGAATATGCCACTGTTGACCTTTGATATTCCCTGGGGGGTCGGAGACAGTCTTAATTTTGGAGGGGAAAAGAGAACATTTCTTTGAGAACAGAGATATCGGAGTTGGGAATGAGCGCTTTCGGGAAGGTGCGAAGTGATGCAATGAGAAGACCAGGTTACTGCTGAATTAATGAGGAGGTCAAACCATTTGATCGATCCACCACCACAACTCAATTGGACATATGAATGACGGGCAGGTGATGATGACAGTGAGGCGCGCACTGGTGATTGTCTTGAGTGTTCGGCAAGGACAGCTTGCTGCTTCCTATATGCAAGCTGGCCTGGCCCAGGCCTTGGTGTTGTTGGTCTATAGGAGCAGGCAGGCATGGTGTGAATCTTCAGTCAGAGCCACAGGTGTGTGTTTTGATATCCTAGCGAGCGAGCGAAGCGAGCATACAGTAGTCTAAAGTGAGGCCGGCAGGTAGGAAGATGGGCACCGGGCGGCGAAGTGATTTCGGGGTGATAGTGACAATGGACACGTGTGAGTATTTGAATCCGCGCCATATACCTGATCTTGTGATTTGTGTGCGCGTGTGTGTCTGTGTGTGTGTGTGCGCGATGAGTGGGATGTTATGGAGGGTGCCGATCGGAGACAATGAGGGGATTCGCATGATCTGGGTAGGCGAGCTCAGCCGTGTCTGAATTGTACTATCGGTGGGCTAGGATTTGTCTGTTTCTGGACAGGGCCGCTCATCTGGGATGTTCAAGTCTGCCCTCGGACTGAGACTCTATAACTCCCCTCCTCCCCGCTGGGGAAGAGTTGGGATCAGAAAGTAAGCTGTCTCGATTTTCTGTCCGTGGCATTCAACCAGATTCGTAGCTAGAGTAGAGTTCTGACGGCATGACTGCTTATAAGTAGCCATGAGATTCAATAACGGTAGTCCTAGAGGCTTGCCGACCATGTTGGAGTGGAGGCATGTGCTGGATTGGGGGAAATGCCTCAAGACTGAAAATGAGGAGCCAGAAGGAGGTTCTCAGAACGATCACCCTTGGGATATGAACACCTTGTGTGGTGACAGAAAAGGAGACGAGAAAATGAGTGTGCATAGAATCGTAGCAGAGTTTCATAAAGTTTCGTCCGGCATTGTGTTGAAGTTGTGTTTTCTAGAATTACATGCCTGGGAGATTTGCCTCCTGTCCGCGTGCATATCGACCGGAGGTCGAGCATTGTACCACCGAGGTGCTTCTGCATGCCGCAGGTTGTAAGAAAGATTTAAATTTGAGAAAGTCCTCATTGGAGGAATTCCTCATCGTTGCAAACGTGCAAGGTGTGTCTTTTGACCTCACAATAGTCCTCCACTCAAGACAGCTCAGAACGCAACCCGGTCTCATCAACAGTGCTGCCCGGCCGCACGCGGAATGAAAACCGAGCCGTGAGCCCTGATGGATCCTCAGCAAGTAAGCCAGCCCTGCTCGTTGACGGTGATCCGATCATCTTAGAGAGAACGAGTCAGCGCCTCTGAGACAAACTCGACAGATCCGGGCGCCAGATTCCGAGATATCAAAACAGTAGATATGCTTACTTAGGTCCACAGAGGAACTCGTCTTCCCAGCAAGCATATTGACGCAGTCGCACTGCATGACGATCGCGTTGCTCTGTAAGCTGCAGTCCACACAAAACGGGCGGGAGGCCTGGGCACTCATGCGGAAGGCCTGGCCACTGTGGATATAGACACGTCAGAACGGGCGTGACCGCACAGTATCGGATGAGAAGGCTTCGAAGGAAGCCCTGTGATACTCACTTGGGCTGCCAAATCAGGGCGTTTGCCGTGGTGTCGACGCCGACGCACTCGTTCAGGTCCAGGCTGGAGACGACCCTGTGCCTGTTGCCGCTGGTCGAGTCGACGCAGTCACCGGTGAGCGCCACTTGTTCGTGGAGGTACCACCAGCTGCAGCTGGTGTTGAACGCTGCCGTGGCGCCGTGGGCCATGGCCGCGATGAGCGCGGCGAGAGTGTGTTTGGGTAGCATGGTTTTGTGATTTGGAACGAGTGTTGGGTGTTGACTTGTGTGTTCTGGCGCGAGTGAAATTGTGACGTGGTTGTTTGGAGTGGAAAGGTGAGTCGACGTGGTTGGGGAGGATGGTGCCGACACTCTTGTACTCGGGTGATGAAGAGGAAATGATGCTTGTGGGAGGGGGAGTGACCAGGCGAAGCTGGTGAGGTGTTCTTTCCCTATGGGCAAGTTGCTAGTTGCTACGCTTATGAGCCTGTGAGTGTACTAGTGCAGTGACTTCAAGGCTACATCTACGGGTTGCAGGAGGATGACACTGGGTCAAAGCCCTAGTTCCCATGCCTATGGAGGCAGTCTCTAAAAGCATGTGCGACTGCAAGTACTATATCTCCATCAATATGCCGAGGTGTAAACAAACACGAGTCTCGCCTACAATGTTACACCCGTACCAGCCTTTCGCTTGATTTCCATCGTCGCCTTCGTGGGAGGGATCATGGTCCTACCAATACAGCTTGGCGGTGGTCTCTCCTCCAAAGGCTTCAGATCGTAATTCAACAGCAGGTACGCGACGAGCATTTTTAGTTCGTGAGCAACAAAGAAGCGTCCAGGACTATCCCCGTCACATTGTCAGCGGGGAACTGAGCAACAACCAGTCGATGTGGAGAATTACTTACCATGCATGTCTCCCATGGCCGAAGCCATAGTGCTCGACACTAGTCGTCACCATGCCCATCTTCGCGACCTTCAGTCCCGCATCGGGGTTCTTCTCATCGGCAGATCGGGCCTCGTATTCCTCCCGCTGGCGGGAGTACCGAAAGGCATCGTACCGATCCGCCTCGCCTCCAAAGATGTCGTCGTCGTGCTGCGTGCACCAGATCGGGCAGGACATGATGGTCCCCTTGGAGAAGTGCTGGCCCGTGTTCTCGTTGGTCACGCCGCCGGGGGCGACCACCTTTCGTATCACCATCGTCTGGGCCATGGCGTTCACCCGCATGCTCTCCCGGATGGCGCTGTCCGTCCGGTGCAGCTTGGCCAGCTTGGCCTTGTTCCACTGGCCTTGGGGCTCTTCGGCGAGGACCCGCGTGGTTTCTTCCCCGAGGGCCGCGATGATGTCCTGCTCCTTGTCGTGGCCGAGGAAGTCGAGGAAGGAGTGCAATGTGGTGATGGCGGTGGTGTGGATGGCGGCGAAGTTCAGGGGCAGCAGCCTCTGGGAGATCCTGACGGGGTCCAGTTCTTCCGTCCGACCTTCGGCCGTGGCTACGGAGACGGTCCATGTTATGTAGTCGTTGGGTGCCTTCCAGTCTTTGTAAGCTGGGTCGCCGTTCTCCTTTGCTGCCATGTCCCTTATCCGCTGTTTGATCATGGGCACGCTGTGCTTGGCCGTCTTCCGGTAGTGGTACTTGGACGCCAGTCCAGCCAGCGGACATAAGATGGGCTTGATAATTGTTGGTATCATCGGAAATGTCATTAGATCCCTGGTGACGTCCTCAGTGAAGTTAAGCATATTGTCAAGGTATTCCTTGTTGTCGCTCAGCTCCTGGCCCACGAACATCAAGTTGGTCACCCTGGGGATCAGGATCATCAGAGAGTCCCAGATGTTGACTCTCTTCCACTCCCTGTCATCCATCCCGTATATGTCGTCCACGCACGTCCGAATTTGCTTGTCCAGCCCCGGGATTAGGGCGGCCAAGTTCCTCGCCAGCGAGCGATGTACCACGTGCTCCTGATACGGGTTCTCCAGGATCCGCTTGTCAACGAAACTGTAGTCCCCATTAAGGATGTCGTAGTGGGCAGCAGCTGTTGAGATGATATGATCCGGCTGATCCAGCATCCAGTTCATCTGTGACCTTGGGATGACCACCTCAGGAGGGGTCCCAAGCAGGCCTGGGATAATGAATGCCTTTCCATCCTTGCTGTACTTGTCGTAGCCATCCTGAATCCACCCCTTCATCTCCGTGAAGGCCGCCACGAAGCTCTTGCCCACGCCCACGCGGGGAATGTCCTTGGCATAGCGAGGAGCCCGCAGCCAAGTCAGGAAGAGGGACAGTGCGGTGGACGCGAGAACCCCGGCTAGGACGTTGCCCAGAGTGAGCAGCTTGAGCAGCCCCTCGGTGGAGCTCATCGTTGGTGAGCTGAGAGGCGCAGGATGAGGGTTCAAGCGATTTCAGACGAACAGGAAGGGTGATAATGAAGACATCGCGGCGCTTGAAGTCGACCATGCGGCGACATTGTCGGGGTGATGCCAAGTCCGACCGCGCGCCTGCGCTACCGTCGTCTGTCCCCTGGACAAGGCGTCCGTGCTTAACATCTGCTCCCATCTCATTGGACAATGGCCCGAGATTGGTTTCAACATGGGATGTTAGCCCCGTAACGGATGCTTCCGTGCTTCATCACCACGCGAGTCCATTTGTGAGCTCTGCGATGCTGAGTCAACAAACAAGCTGCCTATCATCTTTTGGTAATTTTGGGTTGACTCTCATCGCCAGCATGAACTCCAGCCTCCATTTGAAGATGCACGGTGTGTGCTTGACGGTGACCAGAACGAGCATCTGCACACATTCGGATAGGATGAGAAAGCAATTCGCTTTCTCAACTTGTTGTGCGACGTAATATTAACGTAGACAGTCGACTCAGGCCGCATTTTTCCAGCCCTTCTGGAGCGATATGAGGCTTTCGCATCCATGATGCGTAGTCCATGGTGGAGCAGGCTTTGGACGTTGCAAGAACAAGTTCTCGCAAGGAAGTGTGAGGTTCACCACGGCCGACAAAGTATCCCTTTGTCCTCTTTGTATCCGACAGAATTGCTAGATTATCGCCTATTCTTAACTGATGAAGCGGCCTATGATAATCATGGTGGCCGTTTTTTAATTCACATGTTTTGCGACTTGAAAAATACCAACCCTTCCCTACGGCACGACTTCGACCATCCACGGGTCAGAGACTTCGTGGTTCAGCGCCTGCTCGAGATGGCATTTCTGCTAAAGGCGAAAACCCCTATAGATAAAATCTATGGCCTATATAGCATCCTAACAGCTTACTGCGATCTACCCCTTTCGGCCCCGGACTACGACAAGACAGCTGAAGATGTTTACGAGGAGACAGCCTGGGCTTGGATCAAGGCTCGAAGGGATTTAAGCACCCTGAAGCTTGCAGCACGCCCTGGCCTCGTTCAAAAATTGCCATCGTGGGTACCAGCATGGCACCAGCAGCATCCAAGTTTGATCCGCAACACTGGGCCTGCCCCAGAAGCTTTCCAAACGGCGCGGGGCAGCCCTTTCAACTGGAACTATGACGGGGACACGAATCGTTGGGATCCTCAAAGATCTTCTGATCTGTCTAGAGAAATAGAAGATCATGTTTCAGTTGCAACTGTCCTTTCACCCGGAAAGCTCCGCGTTTTATACGCCAGATTCGCGGGGAAGGTGTCTCATGCCATCGGACCTGACAGATCTCACGAAATTATCGAATACTTTGCGTCAATGCAGTCTCTCCACGTGCACCTTGAATGGTGTAAGCTTATACATGATGTCTTTCTTCACAGCCCTTCCGCCCACGAAGAAGCATTGCATGAGATGTATAGGTCTCTTCTGAATTCAGGTCTCAAGCGCTTCGAAGATAGCGATGACGAAACCGTGGAGCTATTTGCGTCATTCCGAGCATGGTTCGACTTCATTTTATACCTAAGCGAAGCGTCTGGGTCTCCTAGGTTGAGTTCTGGAAGGACAGACAAAGAACGCAGTCCAGGGTCAGGCGTGCAGCTCTATTTTGATATTTGCCAGGCGGACCGGGAAGACGCTGCGGATGTGCTTGAACGTGGCTATGGTGGGGAGGTCCAGGGAAGACAAGGTCTGGTCGAGCTTGCACGGCATATTAGGTCTACGAAACGCGACCTGCACCTCGTGAGGAACCACTCTCTATGCATTCTCGACAAGGACAACATGATTGCCGTCACGGATTATTGGTGCCAGGAGGGCGACGAAGTCTTCGTGTTCCCGGGTACAGACAGCCCGTTTGTGCTGCGGAAACAGTCTGACGGGGATTGCTATCGCCTAGTTGGGCCTGCAGTGGTTGATCGCCTCTTCAGGGTAGGATATCAGGATTGGCGGTCTGAAGGGGACGACTTGCAGGACATCGTGCTTATTTGAAAGTCGAAGGAGTATCAATTGATCCTGGCCTCCTGAAATAATTTCGCCGAGCGCCGTTAACATGGTTGGCTACCTGAGAATTTATATATTGAGGAAGGATTTTCACTTGTAACCGTGATGCGGGAGGATTTCAATCCTGGGGTTATTGGGATTGTATGGGGTCACTTCAATGTTCTGAGTCATGCTTGAACGTTGTATTTTCTCGCTGCTACCTACTAAGCCCCGAAGGATGGCCTTGCAGGCCTTCTTGGTTGGACAATTTGTCTACTCCTATTCTAGCAAGCGCATAACTAACACTGAATAGGCATAACGCTGACCTGGTAGGAAATCCTAGACTCTCGTCCTCTCCGGAACCAAGACGCTACACGAGCTGCACACGTGGAAACTACCAAAAATGTCACGGTTGACGGACAGCTGGACCGACAACCCCTGGAGGCTCATGGAATGGGGGCCAATTTTGTCGTGATGCCTGCGCTACCGAATTCTGCCTATTCGACATCAATATAAATATGGCCATGCGACGCCGTGAAAGAGGACTCGAGGTAGAGACTCATCATCATCAATCGTTCTTCTCCATAAACTCACCTACCTACCAAGCCTTTCCCACAGTCCACCAGCCCACCAGCCCGAAATGAAGCAAACCACTGCCCTTCCTCTTCTCATGGCGGCTCTCGCCTCCGCAGTCCCAGACGTCGTCGTCAAGGACCTGCCCAACACATGCCAGACCTTCCCAGGCGCCCACCAGGTCGGCCAGAACGGCTGCGAGGCCGTGTTCCAGATCTACGCCTCCTCGACGGGCAACGCCGCCGTCGACGGCAAGCACGCCACCCACGCCCCCGTGCCCGCGGACCTGCCCGCCTGGGGCCGCGTCGCCATCGTCTCGGACCAGACGGTCGCCTGGCCCCAGTTCAAGTACACCGAGCTCGCGGTCTCGGGCATCCAGGGGCTCGCCACCTACGCGCAGAACCCCGAGACCAGCGGCTTCGAGTGGACGCCCATCAAGCTCGAGGCCGACGTCGACAACCAGGAGCTGCTGTACCGATACACCGTCGCGGGCTACCCGCTGGCGCCCTTCGCGCTCTACGACGCCGAGACCGGCGAGGACCAGATCCCGGGCGTGTTCCTGGGCGTCAACGGGCAGGTCACCTGGGCCTACTCCGTGGAGAAGGACTCGCACGGCCGCGATCAGTATGCCTTCCGGCTGCTTGCCAATGAGACGGCTCCTCTGAGGGGCGATGAGTTTGAGGGTTTCTTGAGGGTTGGAAACCAGTCTGAGAATATTGACTAAGGTCACGATCGTGTGCATTGGAGCATTAGAGTACACTAGGCAGGCATGTTAGGAAAAGCTTTCATTAATTAGTAATACGATGTGATGTCCAACCTTCCGAAGTCTTCATTATGGTCTCCATAATCCTTAACTCGACGTATACCTGACATACTGGCCTTGTCATGATTGACTGATCAAAGACCTGGGCTTGATTAGAGAAATTGACTTGGCCAATCAATAGACTCAAGGATAGGAGAGATGTCTTCCTCGCAATTCTATGCTATACCATGGGTGTTGTATTTGAAAGTCTGCTCAAGCCAAGGCTCTGGGCTCTGTATTTCAAGCATTTGTCGAAGGTTGTAATCGAAATAGTCTTGCTGGCCAGGAAAGCGTGAGGACTACTAATAGCAGCTTGAGAAGTATTTGCATGGGCCAATACGAGCAGAGTAAATACAATAATGTAAAACGAACGACGATAGAGAATGCCAACATTAGCGTAAGGTTTGACAATCTGCGACGGGAAAGGCAAGGCAGAGAGTTTGGGAACTACTCGAGACCTTCGGTTGCTTCTGGTTTCTAGAGCCGCGAAGTTGCCGTTGGTCAACATATACAATGACACGTGGGGAGAATTAGACGTAAACTAGAACGAGAAAAGTGTCCTGTTATTTTACTTGTCAATCACCACGTGTTTCCTTCATGCGAATTGTTTCCCCTCGGCAACAAGAAAACGTCATGTAATTAGATTCAGCGTTCCAGCCATGACCTGATGACACGAGCCATGAAAATGTCGGCGAAATACAGACTCTCCCATCACACCCAACACGCTCTCGATCCCTGGAAACACTGGCCAACTGTAGGAATGTTGAACCATCTCGCATATTTTCCCTGTATCTCCTCTCATACAACTGTATATACGGACCTATACATTCATAAAGTGATCTGAACCATGCGAACTCATCACGCACGTTTTGGCGAAATTTGAAATGACTCACTCAGGAGCTTTCCATGCATATCGCATCTGCACCGATACAGGCCCGGGTGCCCCAAAACCATCATCCCGTATTCATCTGGATTGCTGCATGCAGCCCAATAAGACTGTCCTATGCGATGCAGGGCGTCATTGCTTCTCCTCGTTTGCTATCCGAGGCGGTCAACTGGCGGTTGATTCGGCCCAACTGAGTTATGACACATTTCACCACGGTCGCCTGATCAGATGTCATTTTCGTACCCGAAGCATCACAAGGGCCGAGAAACTTGTCAATTTTCACAAGTTGGGCTGTAAAGCAACATGAAATTCAAAGTTCACATGCTCGGGCGAGCTTGCCGCAGCCTAAAAAGCTGGCAACCTGTTTCTTTTCCAAAGGAGGCCGTGGGGGTCCGTCGCACGGCGCAACAGCGCACACGTACTCGGCTTTGTGCAATTTGCATTTCAAGTGCAGGCTATGAACAGTGCACTATTGGAATGTAATTCACATAATGCCCGGCCATGCTCGGCCATGCTCGGCCACGTCAGCGTGCAAAGGGCGCTGACGCATGGCGTGTTGCCCACGCTGCGCCCAGATTGTAAGCGGCACTGGTGCCCGAGCCGCAAGGTATTAAAACAGTCAACGGGCCACCGTCACCAGAGAATGCGGCCATCCGCCTCGAGATGATACAATTAAACCAGAACGAGTGGATTTGCGAAGCCCAGGCGACCTGATGCGGCTGTCCAGACACACTGCCCATTCCTGCCTATGGTCATTTCCTTTGGGGCCATTCCTGAAGCATTACTAGCCGACCAGGTTCTGGCCGAACCACTGACCAATCTGTGTGGTAGATAAACGCATATGTAGGAGTAGGACTACTGCCTTATCAGGGTTTCGGCCTGGTTGTCTGACCCTTTCAGAGCACAAAGGTGGGGCTGGTGTCCCGCACATGCACAAATGTGCCGTTACGTCTTTCTGAACACTGCAATCGCAGAATCTGTGCGCTGCGACTTCACCCTCTGTATATATTCTCAACTCAAAATGGAAATAATGTCTTGAGGCTCTGCGGTTACATGATCCGCTTACTTCATCCTCAATTATGATGAAACACCAGTCAAACTACGGAAACTCTGCATCAGACTCTGCTCAATTCCCTCTATCGCCACCTCTCCAATCGCAACGCGTATCCGTGCCGTCTCAGAACTGGATCACGAATCGATTGCATTTTCCAAGTTCAAGGCAAACCAACGTATCCCTAGAAGGTGAAATCATATGTCACCAAATTATGCACCGAGAAGATTACTGACTGTCATGCGCAGATGTGGCTGATCAACGTGGTCACCCTTCAGCGCCGCGAATTCACAAGCTCTACCCCTCCGTACGCGATCTTATCACACGTCACGGAGCAAAATGAGGCGTCATCTGAAGACTTCGCACATATACATATGGAAACTACCGAGATAATCCAAAGAGCCTGTGGCGAAGCTCGGAATGCAGGGTCTGAGTGGCTCTGGAATTTCGCAGCATGCGTGGACAAACGATCTTGCGCGGCCCAGTCCGAAGCGATCAATTCCCTGGCGCAGATCTATCGAGATTGTGAATACAACATCATATACCTGGAGGATCTTGATTGCAAGCTCGTAGATGATGAAGCAGTTCGTGAGAGGCTGGCTGCATGTCGTTGGATCAAGAACGTTTGGGCGATCCCACAAATCATCTTTCCACGGGTGGCATATCTATATTCGTCTGATTGGAACCAGATCGGAACAAAGAGGTCATTGATTCCACTTCTGTCGTCCATAATCGGAATCGACCAACCTGTTTTGGAGAATTCGGACTGCCTTGAGGACTACTCCATCGCCAGGAGAATGTCATGGGCCTCCCACATGTCAGCTCCGCGGATGGAAGACTCCGCTTATGCTTTGCTCGGATTATTCGATATCAGTATGTCGATTTTATACGGACAAGGAAGTAAGGCCTTTCTCAGACTCCAGGAAAATATTCTAATGGACACCGACGACTATTCCCTGTTCGCTTGGGATACGCTTGACGCCCAGGAGTACACCGGGCTTTTCGCACACTCTCCGGATTGGTTTAGCCGGTTTCGAAATAGTCCCACGACACAATTGCGCATCGACGGAGAGTCTCAGATCCACTGTGCGGGTATCACCATCGAGACATCTCTCTGCAGAGCACAGGGCAGCTTGTTTCTCCCATTGGAAGGAGAAGATGGCTCGACTTGCTGGATTCCTCTTTCCCAGTGGAATGGCTGCTTTGTACGAAAAGGCGGTCGGGTAGAGTGGGACCTATCAAAGTCCATGAGCCTTGAGCGGTGGAGAATCTGTATCAAGCGAGACGTGACTGCCCATGTCTCTAGGAAGATCAGTGGTTCCGAAGGGCTTGTCGAGGCGGACATACCTCGCTCCCTTGAGCCGTCCGATATTGGTCCTGAAAGAAGATCGAATGAGACCGTCATGGACTACAACTCCAACAACAGAACGGGCAGCATCAAGCCCTCGGCTGAGGCCTGTGGAATGACTGCCCAGTGCGCCCCTTCGCAGTCATTTAGCGAAGCCGCGTCACAGGAAGACCACATCGCCTGGTCAGATCAAGAGAGAAGCTCAGTGCATGGTACGTTAGATGCTCTTGGTAGTGTTGTGAGACCTTCATCGGTGCATGCAACTACCTCGGAGGCTCAAAGCTTGCTGGAGGAATGCGTTCTTAGCGATGCAGAGAACCATTGTCTGTGCAGCGATTCCGTGTGCACAGCAGTGGAGTCTGGGCCTGACGGTCTGATGAATTCTAATGGATCGACTCCCACCGGGAATCAATTCCTAGATGTGGCTCAAATTTCGAAAGAGCTGGCCGATCTTGTGATCGAACAATATCTCTGCAGCCATCAAAGGAAACCCCCTAAAAGATCCTTCGTTCCGTGGCTGGGCCAGACTCGGAAACGGCCGAAGCTCACGAAGTCATCTGAACATCTTGGAGTTGTTCAAACCTCCGATTTCGACGATGGGGAAACAGTTCTGGTCAATAAAGCAAGATTCTTCGCTTGCCCATTCTACGTCCGGAATAAGAAGTACACAAAGTGTGTGAAGAGGCATCATCTCCTTAGCATCGAGGACGTCAAGGATCATCTTCTATGGGAGCATCGTCAACCGATCTTTTGTCCCTTGTGCAAAGAAGAGTTTCCATCGGGCAGAATGCGGGATATGCACCTTCGACTGCGTACTTGCCATCTGAATACATCAAACCCTCCTGAAGGGATCACGGATGATCAAGACAATAGGCTCAACAGGGAGGAGCGGTCATCTTTGCCAGAGGAATTGCGGTGGTTTCAGGTCTGGGACATTATATTCCCTCAGATCGAGCACCCGCACTCGCCTTTCTACACCAGTGAGCGAGAGTTGAGCGTTTGTGCTTTCCGGCAGTTCTGGATGCAGAGTGGCGAGGACACTGTCGCAACCTTCCTCCAGAAGAAAGAATGTCAGAGCTACAGGATACAGAACGAAGAAAGAAAGTTGCAGGCCATCTATGATGCTGTGGTGGAGAACGTAGTGGACAAGATCTTTGATGATTTCAGCGACTGACAGGGACACGTTGAGCACGAAGATGATTTGCGATACTTTCTGCTGTTGAATATCCTCCGGCAAGTATAGTATTGTTTTGTGGGTAGCAGCAAGGACCAGAATTCACGTAGCATCACAACAGGAAGGAGTAGGCTTCCTATACTCATGAAATTGTGTCAGGCGGCTTCCACGGCACGAAATCAACTTTATATTCTGGCTTAAGGATGACTCTATGCCTGTATAATACAACCACAGCTCTGTGAATTGCAAAGGGATAGAGAGAAAGACAGAGAGGGTATTTATAAATAGCAAAGTGACAGAGAGAAGAAGAGAGAGTAACGATAAATGGCAAAGGGAGAGAGTAACTGTAAGTGGCAAAGGGACAGAGAGAGTAACTAGAAATCACAAAGTTGCATTGAATCACATCCGTTCCACTCTCTGCACGTTCTTCGATATTTCTCGGCCTAGCTGAGTTAAGGCCAAATTTTCAAGCCTCACTCAACCGAGTGCATTGAGTGGTGTGAAGGAAAAACGAGGCATTGTGCACAGGGACAATCAATCAGGAATCAAAGTGGTGCCCAAGTCCTTTCCTGATGCCAATGGTAGATTGGCCAACATGATGGCATGGGGAATGCACCGACACTAATTATGGCAAATAACGAAATATGTTCCCGTCCTGTATACACCTCACAGACTGCATCGATGTTAGCCGAGGTGATATTGCTTGGGGTGGATGAGAATGAGACTGACCTGGTAAGCAAGGAGTTCTGGTGCAGACAACATGGTTGTCGTCAATGGCGGCCTCCAAGCTCATCTTCATCCGGAGGAGCGTAGTTGTCGCCTGGTCCGGCCTCATCATTGCCAAAGTTGTCCCAGCCATTGAGAGAGTTGAACCACTCATAGTCGGGGTTGATGGCCGGATCGTCAGCTGAGGAGTCCTGAAAAGCTGGAAGAGCGGGGTCATCCAGGCTAGAGGCCGATCCAGATGCTGCATGTTGCTGCATGTCTTGTGCCACATCCACAGTGGGGTGGTTCAGAGAGCGAAATGGAATTGGAGCCGTTCCAGCAGGCTGTCCGCTAGTACTGGGCACCATGGGGCCAAGCGTGTGTGGGTTGGGAGCCTGGCTTGATCCGGTGGCAGAACCCAGGTCGAGGTACGATCGACTTAAAGCATCGGCGGGACGGTTGGAGTCGAAGCTGGCCGCCAAAGAGGCTACCGCGAGATTCTCAGTCGCACCGGATGGATCTGGGATGTCGACGTTGACGACGTTGACGTACGAGGAATTATCGGCTCCACTGGCATGGTCATCCTCCACAGGGCCTGAATCCTCCTCCACAAGATCCCTGGCCTCTGCAATGAACGACTGAATGAAGTTGGACATTCTAGCGTTCCGTTCCTCGCGGTTCATAGCAGATGTCCATGGTTCGTTGGGTAACGCCAGCCAGCGGTCGCTGTCGGAGAAAATTGCACCCGCCCAGTCGAACACTCGTTGGATGTCAGGGACATCTGTCAGGAATGGTGACTCTGGGCGCGGCTCCCCCGGAAACAGACAGTCCCATATCATGAACCAACGCCGGACCCCAGTGTAGTCCGCCGTACGGGTGTTGCGAGCGATTTCGCGTATTGATCGGTCTTCGTCTTCTGTGATACCGGGATAGTTGAACGGAGATGACGACGGCTCGCATGTTGCAGCCTGGACGTGCTCATCCCGTCGCCCTCTAGCTTCCGTACTTGTGCGCCCCGTAAACGTCGTGCCACAGACGGCACAATGCACGACCTGGTTGTGCGTCCTTTCCAGGAGGTGTTGGCGTACATCACTCAACCTTGCCAGCCTTACGTTCAAGCAGGCGCTGTGTCCGATCCTGTCGTGAAGGTAAAAGTGACAGGCGAATGTGCGTGCTGCTCCCTTCTTGGAGGATGCTCTCGAGGGCTGTGGTGGAGGGTCACTGCCGCGTTTTCGCCCCGAGCGCCGCGGGCTCAAGCGGCTGCAACCCTTATCCAGCGGGTCGAGAGCGAAGCCGTCCGCACTGCGATTGCAGCCTCCGCTGGCGGACCTCTCCGGGCCATTCCCGGCGCGTATCTGCCCTGCGTAGCCTGCGTGGCAGACAGGGCCAACCTTAACTACCGGAACCAAGTGCAACGCCCACCGATATACAAGACTGATATTCAAGAGGTCGTGTGGAAGCACAATTCTGGGATCAGACTCTCGGAATAGATCAATTTCGGGTCCGGTGTCCGAGGCATAGTGGGCAAGGACAAGGAGGACTTCAAGCGGCAGGCGACCTAGCGAGGCGATCATATTCTCCGAAACAACCTTGTCGGACGGATGGACGCATTGCGACGAAGGGTTGGACATCATGAGTGATTGAGTTGCTCGTGAAGTTGGGAGGCGAGTCCGGATGATGATATCGGTGTTGTGGCCTGCCGCCCGGCGAAGACGTCCAGCGGCCCAGATCTCGGGCCAGGAAGTCAGGTGCTTCTTGGTCACGACTGCAAAAGTAGGAGAAATCGAAAAGAACAGAAAGAAATCTGGAATTCGGTCCCGATGGAAGATCACGGTTGCCATAGCCGAAGCAGGATGGTGATGGACGGAATGGTGCGGTCGTTCATCCGCTGAGCTGCAACCCCCCTGGAAACCCGCAGTCGCGTACGCAAAGGCGTATGGAAAGACCTCGAGCCTCAATGAAGGACAAGGAATAGAAGGCTCTGGTTATGGAACTTGGCCTGATGATCCAGTTGCATCTTAGCGTCTTGCCTCGCCAGGCTATGATGAGTTGTCTCGAGGCTGCGCGTGTGTCGCTGCAGTGGCCGTCCCGATGCGATACAAGTGGGCTATGTCAGAAATGCAGGCGCACCCTCGCAGACCATCGTAGTCTCCGGTCCCTGTCGTCCGCGACCCAGCAGTCCATGCGCGAGAGCAATGTAGAAAAACCAACTGCCGTGCTACAAGGTCCTGCTTCCGCACGCTCATGGGCCCAAGCCCACCTCACCGTCCCCAGCGGCCAGCGCGAGCGCACTTGCGTGAAGTCTCCATAAGCTTTCACGCTCAAAAACAGCTTGATGTGGAGACTCTACTCTTCGCACACGCGTAGAATGCGTCGCGAGTGCGTAAAGTCGGACGCGAGTGCGTAGTCGAGCCTGTTGCGAGAGCATAAAATGACTTGCGGTAGACCTCTTCGTAAATCCTGTTTCCATAAATCTTCTTGATGACTCCACGAACAATCACCATCATCAATAATGCCCACGGTCTACACATTTCAGTTGAGTGAGAGTGCCACAAATGGCGGGGCACGGCCGGCGAACACTGCGTATACCCCCCGAAGCCCACTTGCCCACCGTCACACCCTCGGGAGCGCAGACTGACCAAGCCCTTCTGGGGACAAACAGAGACAGACAGAATATGCAGGCTGCGCGTCTGAATGACTGGCAGCGCGATCAATCCTCTACTCTCAACCGACGCCTGGCTGGGCCGTGGCCCCAGAATCCAGTTAGCTACAGGATGCAGCAGGGGCGAACCGAGGCGGCACGAACCGTATCCCAATTTGACAGGTCTTTTGGTTCTGGGGCTGGTTCGAGGTCAAATTAATATACATCTCTTGAGGCGACGCCAGATGCAGGGCCTCTGGCGGGCTGGTTGCAGAAACAGCGGGTACATATGTAGAGCAGCATAAGCTTGCAGGAGTAGTGTGGGGCTACACCGCCATACTTGTCTGATGTAATTCCTGTAATATTCGGAGTAGAGATAGGCTGCGGGGATAAGATGGGACGGAAAAACTACTACGAGGACGGAAATACAGTCCTGTTCATTGGAGGTTATGAAATTTACATTCTGTGACTAGTCCAACTTGATGGCTCATTGAGATATTGATCGCTTGGATGCAATGATGCACATGTCCATCAAGGTCCAGTACCCTCGATGCGAAACATTGATGCCCAGCTCTGGCGAGAACGGTTCCAGGCTGTGCCAGTACGTACACTGCTTAAAGCCCCCCCCCCCTTCCCGGGGGGCCCTGCATTGTTGCTAGGCTGAATGTGAATCAGTACGCATGTGCGTGCAGTATTGATCCACGATTGACGTGGGACACCCTTCTCATGTTACGCCAACGAGTGCCTACGTCCGAGAACGTGGCTGACAATGACGCCTGACTTTACGCGAGTGCGTAAATATTCTGCGAGGTCAAAGCATGTGAGGACTGACCACAAATTCGGTCTGGCAGAGCCGCCTTCCTCCAGGGGTCGACACGATCTTCTTTGAATTACAGGAACAAGTCACAAAACTATGAGCCGCATCGTGTGGTTTTTTGCCGTGTCGATTGGTCGTCCCCAGAGTATCTCCTGCTCGTCTGGGAATCCAGACGGGCACGACAGTCGTTCTTGGCAGCGATGCTATCAGCGACCAAACCACAGAACGCGGGTGAAGCCGACGAGCAAGTATGGCAGAGAGCACTTGAATTCCAGTTACCTGATGATGTTTACGGTCACCTTATGCCTCCTGTATCAGATGGACTATACACGGAGATGACACTACCGTCCAAGAATGAGTGTGATCACTTCGACTGGGAACCAGGTTTGCCCCAATGGGCCGGAATGGAAACGTGAGTAAAATTCATTCGTGCTTTGATAGGGGTTTGAAGTGACATTGTAGTTATTTCAGTTCCAAGTCTTCGAGTCCTGAGTCGGACTATTCCCAAGAGTACTCTACATCGCTGATTGCCGGAAGCATGCCTGAGAAAGACAACACCGACCTTGTACAGCAAAGCCCAGTGTGCGAATCGGTCAAGAGAGAAAGAGACACTGGGTCCAGTGTGGGAACCGTCACGCAGTCTCAAAAAAGACCCATTTCCATCGTCGCCACAGCTGACCAGGTGGAAAATGATGGTGGGCGGGCCAAGAAGAAGTCAAAGACAGATGCAGACAGCGGTGCAGAACCACGCAGTCAACTTGCTTGCCCCTTTCAAAAGCAAGATCCTCACAGACACTATGAGTGTTTGAAGTATGTGTTGCATCGAATCAAAGACGTCAAGCAGCATGTGTATAGGCGTCACAAGCAGCCTGATTACTACTGCGCACGTTGTGGTGATATTTTCAAGACCGCCGACGAGAGGGATGGACATTCAAGGAGTACGAACTGTGATAACTTAGAGGTTCCTGACTTTGAGGGAATATCAGAGGCGCAGAAGAACAGGCTCAACAAGAGCTCATCCCGCGGGTTAGATACTCAAGAGCAATGGTTTGAGATGTGGGATATCATCTTCCCGGGTAAACCGCGACCTAGCTCTTCATGGGTGGGCAGTTACATGGAGGAGATGGTTCCGTTGCTGCGCAGCCTGTGGAACCACAAGAGCTCTAGTATTCTAGCCAGGGTCCAACAAGGCCAGACGAGGCTGCTGGATCGACCGCTACTGGAGGGTGTGGTTGGATCGATATTCGACTGCCTCGAGGATGAAGCATCGGTCTCACTCGGGAAACGAGCACGCGAGACCTGTTCTCAGATTCAACACAGTCTCGTGGGTGGTCAATTACCAACTTTGACACCTCCTTCTAAATTCATCATCGAAGCACAGCACCCAGTCTTTGCTGAGCCTCATGACATCTTCCAGGGAATCAACGCCGACCAAGAAGGAGAGTTTCAAAACGAATTCTTATTTCCAGAGGCATGAACACTGATTGTTGGTCTGCCCAAGATTCCGCGACGTCGTTTTACCTTTTGTGAGATGATAGGAGCATATTCAGACTGCACAGTGGCCACGGCAGCTACAACCACAAATCACAAAACGAAAGCATCATTTCAAATGCAGGCTCATCCTGGGTTGGTTTGGAAATGAATGCATTCAACACTACACGCAAGAGGCTCCTCTCATGTCAACCATGTCAGTTCACCTCTCATGGACACTATTCGAAACCTTGCTTTTTTCTGTCTCTTCATCTTTCCTACTTTACACTTCTCACGGCGTTTTGTGCGGTTTTATTGGTATTGTCTTGTGCGTGTTTGGGTGTCTTTTATGTATAGATAGGTATCATTTGTTTGCAAGAGCATGAATCTCAACACTATCAGATAAGTAGAAGGATTATGCCAAGAGAACGAACAAGCTTTTGCGGAGATATACCTAGGTATGTGCTGGCTTGATGTTTGATTTTGGGTTATTCACCAATTCAAAGCCGATGTGTGACGTTTCTCTTTTTAAAAAATTGCATGCACTCTTTTAGAAGCAATATGACAAATGGCATTTAAACATTGGCTTAGCAGCCTATGGCACAATCGAAGACAATCAAGCATCGGATTCAGATCCATGGCAATTGAGATGACACAAGAACAACCAGGATTTCCATGTCAGATTGAGTGTGCTTGTTGGAGTACTGAGATATGTATATACCTATGCCTGCTGAGACTGGCATTATTATTGCCTCGAAACTCAATCTAACACACGCACTATGACACCCTGACCCCTCCCCTCCCTCCCCCCAAAAGAAAGAATATATGAGTGAAGCATGGGTGGATGAGTAACACTCGTCCATCTTGTTAGTCAACACTTTCTGTGCGAAACATATTTCGAGAAGATTGAAGCCCGTTCTGAAGAATGCGCCAAGACAAGGGATCTTGCCGGAACCTGCCTGCGATACTGCGTTCTACGGCGAGCATCGGATATCTGCAGGAGAAGATTAACCCAGGAAGATGTGTCAATTGGCAACGTACTTCAACCACAAGGAAATGTGTTTCCACGACAGGACATACAAAATGTAATGATATGTAAACGCGAATAGTTCAAAATCAGCTCATTATGAGGCATTATCTCATCAACTCAATATGGAGCATTTACATGAAAGCTATTGATTATTTTGCAATAGAGCAAGCTACTGCCCCTCATATTTGGTAACTACAAAGTATGTACCATTCTCCCCGAGCAACCTGAAGACGTACTCTACTGAGCCTCATTCCTACTCTATCACTTTGGACACATGCCCACATGTTCACTTGGAGACGTCAAAATATGGAGGCATAATAGAGATGACACGATAGAGAGATCTAGGGCCAGCCTCGGTGACTTGAGAATAAATTAAGGAAAACAAAATGGCCCATAACAAGAGATTGTGACAACAGCTAGCTGACTTATGTTGTTTCGTCTAACCCAAAATTCTCAGCAAACACACCTGATTGAGATCCAACGTTTTAAACAATTTGCTTACAACCCATCCGTGACACTCGAGTCCTCGGCCCATCTCGTAGCTCAGAACATGCCGGGTGGCATTTGTGGCATGGAGTTAATCGCGCTAATCTCTGCGTCCACAAACCTGCTAGAAGGTACGGCCACAGTAACCAGCCCCTGCGTGTCGCTGATAGATCACGCGGTACATGGTCTAAGTGGCTCACGATATTTCCATCCATTGTGTCCCATGATACCGTGTTCAGAGACTTGTGACGGGCGAGAACTGCTGCTAAGAAGTGTAATCAAGGTGCGAGATCCATGCCAACCAGAGACAAAGTTCATCCGCAGGAGTCAGGGCCACGGGAGAAGTAGTAGTTCCCCAAGTCGACGCTACAGCCAGTGTCGAAATCAGGCACACCCATCTGCGAAAACTCATGCTGACCAAAGGGCGCCTCGAGCTCGAAGCAGAAGTCCGAACTGTCCTGTGACGCGAATTGGAGCGAGGTGTTGCCTGGACTGCCAGTCCTCTCAATGCTACTCCCTTGTGACGCGCGAGTCTTCTCTGCCTCGAACCGATCGAAGACAGAGCCCATGATCTCGGCAAGTAACGCGCCGTCAACCTCATTGCGTTCGCCCCTGGTGTCGATGACACCGGAGATGATCTCGGCACTCTTCTCGTTCCAGAGATTACGCAGCAAGGGGACCATCTCCTCGACGTAGTTGCCGATGAAGGCTGACTGGGGCCGCTGACAGCCCGGGAAGACCACATCCCAGACCTCGAACCACTGCTCTTGCAGCGGCTTTCCTCTAGGCGAGCTCTTCTTCAGCTCATTTCTCTGGTCGTCGTTTATGCCTTCGAACCGAGGCGGGTGCTGCGTTTTGCAATCGGCACGGCGGGAATGCTCGTCCCGGTCGTCGCGAGTGGTGAAGAACTCGTAGCATCGTGCACAGTAGTATGGCCGTTGCGTGCTGTCTGTAGATGTGCTGCTTGACGTCTTTGATACGGTTGAGCCTGTATTTGAGGCATTTGTGGTACTTGTGCGGGTCGAATTTCTGGAAGGGGCATGCAAAGACTACGTTGAATCCCTTCTCGTTGTTATCTGCGCTGATGGACTGCGTTTGCTGCATCTTCTGATTGCAGGGAGCCGGTAGATCGTCCGGGAACGCAGTCAACAAGGAGCGTTTGCGCTGAGACGTGCTGGTGACATTTGCTGGTATCTCGTCACCTGATGAGAGTTGATGCACCTCAGAAGCTTGCAGGCTCGGCGCCCAAAAATCAGCATCTCCACGATGTAGCGGAAGACTTTCCAGGGAGGGTGTTGCCTGGAAGTGAAACTCTGCGATAGACCCAGGGCTTGGAGATGCTGAATTCGTCTGGGGACTCCCAGGGCTGGAGGTTAGAGCTGGTGGCGACTCAAAGTAAGGTTGACTGGTATTGACATCGAAGAAATGCTCACTTCCGATGTCCCCGATCGGTAGAAGTGTTGGGTTCCAGATGGGAGGACTGGATGTTTTGCCGGCTGTTAGCCACTGATTGAGTATCGCGGCATCGGAAATTCCCTTCCCATTCGTGTCCCCTGGACAGTCAATGATACGAGTCGCATAGCCAAATATATCCGCAATTCGCCTTCGTTGTTGATCCCTCTCTTCCCTATTTCTTTTGATTGACACAGATGGAATCAATCCACAGTGTCCTAGACTCGCTCTCCCTTCGAATATCACGCAACGCTTCCAGAAGGCTGCTGCTGATCGTCACTGGGTGCCCGTTCACGTATATTGTTGCTTGTTGCTCCTGACTTTCCAACGCGCGAGAGAGGGCCTCATAAGTTCCGTGTCCCAGAGATTGATGTTTTAGCATGGCTCGGATCGGCGCAATGCGATCTCGGCTTGGACTGATGTCCATCAGTCTTATTTCGCCGGGCTGCAACGCATCGTAAACGAACGGTCGCGGCGCTATGAGAACCAGCGATTGAGTCGGGGGAATTCGCGGCCGCTCTTCGAGTCGAATGCTGCCAGGACGGCTCCCGTGGACAACTTTGGCAACCTGCGGCTGTGTTCGTGTCATTTTCGTCCAGAATATTTGCTGTTGTATTTCGGATGCTTGTCAACCTGGGAAACTCATGGATAACCCTCCAAGAAGATCAGTGTCGACGTTCCCACGTTGGTGCCTTGCTTGTTTTGACAAAGTGGAGCATCACACGCGGCTGGCGGGCCAATTAGCAATTCTTTCCCTTATACCGGGGGCCTTGTTGGGTAGAGGAATGCGTTTGGGGCCTGAAGCAATCACATATCGTGTAATATACACCTCTCAATGGTGATATTGACCGATATTATTCAATAGAGTGTCCTGTGAACTCCACTACGTGACAATTGATGCGTTGAAGAGTACCTCTGTGAACCAATATCACTCTAGGAGCTGGGCGGCACCGCAGCAAGTACGCAACTGCGTAGTGTAAAATGTCCTCGTGCGTCAGCAACCGGGCGAACCACAGGGCGACCGAGTACACAGGTGTGTAGTCGGCCACAGATTCAGCCTAACGCGCCCGCTGCGCGTCCCTGCGCCACTGGCGTACGGTTTCAGGGTGCTCCCCCTCCACACCGTATCTCGCACATTATGCTTGGTCACAGGGAAAATCTTCGATTTTACTAGACAAAATACAGAGTAGATTTACATGATACTTTTCCCCTGGACTTGGACCACTTCACGGCACTGCTCCACAGTAACTCTGTTGGTACATGTTGTGGTGAACTTGTCACCGAGACTGATGGCAATCTCACTTGTTTCTCAACTAACACAGCGGTCCACCTTAACTGGCGTTTGACCTTCTCCCTTCCGAATACAATAAACGGTCTACTTCGGATATCGTACGTTTTGCTTCCTTCTTCTTTGCCCGAACTCTTGATTTCCGGCTGCTTGGTGACCCAGTCTGCATGATTTGATGGTTTATTGGGGGAGATGCGTCCTGTTGCCAGCGAGTGAGGCTTTCGGCTTGGAAATGTGCCATACTGGTGCGGGGGAGTGGTCAGCTTTGGGCCTGGCAGTGCCGCTGAGTGTGAGAGTTTTGGGGATGGGGAAGAGGGGGAGGGGGCGGGCCTGGACTCTTACACAGCTTCAGACGTGTAGCATGACGAGCCTGCATCCTGCTGGGTACAGGTACGCTCAGTGAGCTGAAACCGATCGCTTCTTGTCATTTTGGCCCGGGAATAGAAACAAGTGAGGCGCTCCAAAGAACTTCAAGAGTTGTAGTGGACTGAGGAACCATGGTCTCTCGAAAATAATGCCCTGACCTGTCCGTCTTTATCTTCCCAGCCGACCACACAGCTGCGCAACTCTGGCGAATTTCGCGGTTCTGAGAAGCAACCAGCCCATACTGATGGGCCAAGCGGGAGCCGTACGCACTTGCGTTTGCACGACTGCGTAAAGACACATTCCGGCAACAGCGAAGTGCGATACTGGCGCGTGTTTGTTGCGGTGGAGGCCGCCCCAGTCCGTCACTTCTTCTCACCGATTGGACTCGAGCATGGTGCGCGCACCCTGGAACTACTACGCAGGAGTGTGCTCAATATCTAACGGTAGCTCTCCCTCGGACATACCGCGGTGATAGTCGAGTGTCCAAGGGCGCTGTCTGGCTCCCACAGGGTAAGTACCGCCTAGATGAGTAGTGAATCCAGACGCGTGGATATGCAGAGACCGGAAAATGCCTAGCCCACTAGTGCTGGAGAACTGGCTGCCTTAGGCGTATTTGCCCCTACCACACCTATCCCATTGGGCATTGGTCTGCACCCGCAGTCAACGCAATGCACTCAGAGATACCCACACATATCAGTGTAAGGCAAATTTTCCGCCTTCCACCCTTGGTCTCCTGGCGTAGGAAGCTGCAGGAAATACGCAGCCGCGTACAAGTACAAAACTGTCATAATCTGGACAATGTCGTCCACTTCTCACGGACTTGGTCCGTGTGCTCTCCCGGCTCCCTCTTTGGACCTTCAGTGGGTCATTGGTGAATGGACCTGATAACGTCTCAACACGCCCTGTCCAGCCCATGCCACCGCTCCCTAGACTCCCTTCTCGAGTGCTTTGTTTAAATGCCGTGATCTCCAACAGACCATTTGTATAGACGATCCTTACGGGAGGAAGCTACCTCGAATCTGAGAGGGGGCTGTGTTGTCAGGCACCTGACCGGCGCGAACAATGACTTTGTCTTCTAGTAAGGCTCCCGGTTCTTGAACTCACCACTGTTGGCAAGGCTAGTCTGACCAGCTGAAAGTGTCTGAAGAAGTGTCAATTCCTTTGACCAACATTGTCATCTGCATTATATACCTGCTTCCTCGATTTTTAGCCTACTCGAGAGGCACCGCACACGTATCTTTGCCGATATTCAGACCTTTGTTCTGTTTTCTTCAACGACTAAGCTACACTCTGTGGTGTCTGTACTGGGGAACACCATGCGGCGATTCTGTTCGTGCGGGTGAACCTGCAGCTGGGCCATCGGCGGGGGGCTGCAGGTCGGGGGCTGTCCACAGAGCATGCGGGACCACAAACTCCGCCGAGGCCCGCTTGAACACAACTAACACAGCGAGACACCAACGCCGAAAACGAAAGAGAAGGGAAGATGACGAGAAAGGACGGCCCGAACAGATCCCAAAGCTGGACGCCGGCCAGTCCTCGAGCCCATTTGCCTGCCCCTTCTACTTATTCGACCGCCACGAGTGGCACAACTGCTTGCGAAACTACACCCTGAACCGAATCGTCGACGTCCGCCTGCACCTTACGAGAGCCCATTCGCTGGCACCACAGTGCCCTATCTGCGGGAAAGAATTCAAAGAGGACTCGGCTGAGCGCGGCTCAGCTGAGGATCGATTCAGCGCACACGTCCAACTCCGAGCCTGCCAACCCTTACCATCCCCACCGCCACCTCGCCATGGACTTACCAGAGACCAGTTCGAAGCCGTACGAACAATTGGTGCACGCAGGAACGGTCGGTGTGCAAGCGACCCGGCGGCCGAAAAGTGGTTCGAGATATGGGACATAATCTTCCCCACCACTCCCCGCCCATTCTCGCCATATATTAGCGACCACCCCGACGTCCAGCGCATAAGGGACATGAACGATGACATTTTGGCTGGTGAACAATGGAGAGAATTGACTTTGCCTACCAGAGGAAGCAGCCCTTCTCTGCAAAATGCATCGCGGAATACCATCCTGACAATTACACAAAGGCTCCTGGGAATTTACCGGCGAATGTCTCAGCATCCAGACCAGGCTGTCCCTGAAGCCGTATCGAACACAACGGCCGCTGACACCCCTGTAATCAGTTCAACGGACGACTCCCTGCAACAGCCCCAGGAGTGGGAGGTCATGTCTGCCCCTAGCCAACCCGCCCAAGCCACCGAAGATCCGTTGCCACCAGTACACCCAACAGCTGCAGCTGCAGGCCAGAACCAGTGGATATCTCAACCAACACCCGGGTGGTATCTGCCATCGGGCGGACATTCACACAACAATAACACGACCCAGATGGGCCGGCCTCTGTCGCCATTCGCATCTGACATGAGCTTCTTGGCGGATGCACTCTTTCCGGACTCCATCTTCGACTTTCGAGATGTCGATGACCCTCTCGAGCCTCCGGCCCGGCCCGGGTCGCCGTCTGAACCCTTTGATAACGACTAGTCTTCGGGTCCAACACCTTGGGACTTGGCGGCCACCCGGGCGGAGACGCTGCAGGCAGAGCCTAGGCTAAGCACATGATTACTAGTGCGATGCCATCCGCTACCTCTCTCACACTGCTAGGACATGATTGAACAAAGATCGAGGACCGCTTGGGGGCTGGTGTCGGGTGGGGTAAGGCTAGGCTGGGTTGGGTACAAGTGCTGTACCTATTCTGCCCTTCACAAAAGATATCATGGCCGTAATTATGTACCTATGTAGTCAAGACTCTATGAGTGAGAGCATGCCACAATGTCAATAAATTAACTACAGTTTCCACACCTGGGAGATCTAAAGGTTCAAATGTTCCACAAGCCACAAGTCAAGTTATTGTCCAAGATTATTGTCGTTCAGGCGACGAGGTACGCGACCCACGAAAGCAAACGCAGCATCACATGAGGAGATTTGAGCAGTTCACACTAAGCATAAATGAGAACTATTGTATATTGAAACACATCAAGACGATATAGCTACCTAGGTATATTCCAGATGACCACCACAGCCACTCCATCATCATTGTTCTCTCTCCAGGTCCATTGTACCTCCAGCAAACCTCCGATACACTTCATCGATAGCGTCATGAAGGACGACCCTGTACAAAATAGCAAGACTCCGTTCCTCGTCTGAGACTTCCCATCCTTGAAGATCCTTCTCTCTCAGAAAGTCGGATATAATGGTGCGTCCGTTGGTCTCCCAGAAGCGCCGGAGAGCAACGACCAGGAACTCCTGCGTGCTAGAGTAGTATGGTGACAAGGGCCGCGGGCCTGAGGGGAACACGACATCCCACAATGCGAACCATTGGCTCTCTCGTGATGAAGGCGGAGACCCTTGTCGCGCCAGCTGCTGGATTTGGCCATCCGTGAGGCCGTCAAACGTCGGTAGGCTCCGGTGCTCGCAGCTCCGGCTGCGGATGTGGTCATCCCGAGCCTTCATTGTGGCAAATGTCTCTTTGCAAATGGGGCAGAAATTCGGGCGGCGATGCGACGCCCACATGTGCTCCTTGACCTCATCGATGGTCGAAAGGCTGTGCCGAGTCAGGCATCGCTCGTGTCTTGCCTTGTCCATCACGTAGAAGGGACAGGCGAAGGTGCTGGCCCTCGCGCTTGCGTGGTGGACTACGACGGTGTCCATATCTTCGGAGTCGGATGCGAGCTCGACGTCCATGTAGGGCTCTGACCAGGCCAATCTGGGTCTCTTGCGAGACCTTTGCGGCCAAGGAAGCAGCACCCTCTTGCCAGGCCTGGAATTGCACATCGCCAGGAAGCGGTCCACCAGGATTGCTTTGAGATATCCAGTAACTGCGGCAAATGGATGTCCCGGCTCGAGTGCCAGGGGCGAGCCTGGATTACTCCAATCGCCCTTTCTGTCAGGATTGCCCCTCGGTGATTCACCGTCAGTTGCACCGCAGGCATGAGACGGCGAGGGTGAGAGCGACCCAGGGAGAGCTTTTTGAAGGCAGTTCACACTCCAACCAAGGAGGCCAAAGGAACATCTACCTCCCTCAGCCTCCCCGGTGAGTGTATGGGCCGCTTCAGAATTCACAGCATCTGCCGACCATGCTGCGTAGCTGTTCGCTGTATCATGTCGGATCATTCGATCAGAGATTGAAGGTTCTCTGGACCGACCACCGGTTGAAGTTCTAGTAGGTCTGTTAGCGAGTAGTCGATAATTTCATCAACGATCCAGGGAGGACCATACTGTTTACGTTCAGGGGCACCTCGGTGCGTTGCAATTCTGTCTGAGAGAACGGTGCTCACGTCCCACCTGACACATATGTTTCTGATGAAGACATTCGAGATTTCAGCACCGTCAACCACGGCCTCTGTGCAGTTTCGAACGAATATTCCGTCCCAGAGTGTCAAAATAATCCACATCGTTGGACCTTGGGATGTGTAAAGAGGTAGTAGAAGGTCGTTGCCTCGGCCACCGAGGCCAGCTTGTATGTATATCCCGTCGGGCTGTATTTCCAAATGTCCCCGGAGATTTGGAGATTCCAATGACTTATTCTTGAGGTGGCTATATTCCAACGGAGAGTGGGCAAGTATTCCTCGGTATTGCTGGTTTGGTCGCGGTTGCCACGCCAGAAGTGAACAATCACTGCTCTTCTTCAAGATTTCTCCCTGAAGCCGAAGGAAAGATTTCATACCTTCACCATACTTGATGTCCATATTGACGTTGAAGATAGCAAGAAGCGAGTATGCGGTATCTTCAACGGGATCCGCCGACAGCCCTGCCGCCCATGACATTTTCGTACTATTCGGATAGTCCTCCAATGACCCCGAGTCCTGCAGCACACCTTCATCGACTGATGTGATCCGTGAGAGTTCCGGAATAAGTTCCGACTTGCTACCTATGTCTTTCCATTGCGCGTCGTAGAAATGCAATACCGTGGAGAAAATGAGATGAGGAAGCATCCAAACGTGCTTCATCCAAGAACAGCTTGACAAGGCGCGTCCCACGTCAAAGTCAAATGCTTCCGTGTCAAGCAAATCGTGAAGGTACACTATGCAGAGCCTGCCCCTCCGATAGATCTCAGCCAAGGAGTTCAACGATTCCGAAAGAGCAGAGCCGGAGCTCCTGCTGATGCAGACAGCATCATTCCATAGCCACTGCAAGCCGCGGCTCTGACATTCAGAGCACGCTCTTTGCAGGGATTGGAATGCAGGTCTTTGCGGCGCCGTTTGGGGACTGCACAGGTCCTCGTGCACAACGCCCCCGTCTTCCCACTTGGCAGAAAATGTGGCATACGGTGGTGCATCGCCACCAAACTCGCACAGCTCTAGACTGGCGGTATCCAGCAGCAGCATGGCCTCGTCCTGTGCACGCTGTCAGCTAAGTCTCTGTTCCGCTCCGGGGCTGTCTCACAGTTTCGCGGCAAAAATTCCCCACTGAGCTCGATTGAGCGGTTCCTCAGGGTGGCGATTTCAGGGGCACCCAATTTACTGACGGTGGCGAAAGGGAGCATTCAAGCAGATGCACAATAGGATTTCATGGGTACTCCCCCTGAGTGGCGAGCGACGCCCGGACTGAATATATCGTGAAGATTGAAGGTCGAAGCCCCTGATTCGCAGCTTTACGTCAACCAGAGGTCCACACCCTCCGTCTAATCCTGTGCCCCAAGTGATTTGGCAAGTTAGATCAGGAACCGCACGGCACCGTTGTGCTCGAAGTTGACCAATCGCCAGTCCTCGTCAGAAACCCGACGGCTGAAGGACGGAACGTAATTGGAGAACAGACAAAGCGGGAGGCCGACTGCATCAGCCTGCATCAGCCCAGCATCACTAGCAATGTCTTATTGGCTCAGGCTGGTGGCTTGCACACTGGACCGCGCAAATAAGCGCAAATGCGCCGTGCAATGACAGGTGACAACAGCTTCGAAATGCCATCACCTGCATCTGCCTTCACCTACCTAGGTACAAAGGGCAGCGCCTCTGCACAGCTGCGCAACGGCAAACGGAAATACGGAGGTTGCCTTGAAATGAACACACCGAAAGCTTGAAAAAATATCGGCCTTGGAACAGCAGTGAATCGCCCACCAGCGATCAGACTGTGTGACATGTCATGCGTTGATGGATCGACTGCGTACTTCAGCACTTCTAATACCTGCTGATCAGTTGTGGAAAGCTTGCTGTACTCATCTGCCGCACCCGGGCCATTAGAAGAGTCACCTGGTCCGCCGAACCTCCCCGAGCAGACTAACTATTGACAAGAATTGCTGAAGTCCAGGCAACTGCAACCTCGCTTCATATTATTGTTACATTTTGAATATGATGCCCTCGGTCTGGGCTTGTGACAGAAATTGGGACTGGTGGTGCACTTTTGACAGGGTGCAGTATTCTCTTACGCTCATGCGTACTCAAGTACCGGACGCCCGATGTGAGACGTTGTACCAACTGCAGATTCGATGCACTTGCAAATGTTTCACTGATGAACACCGCCATGACGCCCTTCTGCTGACAGACCCTGCGTCAGATAGGAACGCCGTAAATCCGGGCTGACACGGCCAATAACCCTTGGTGAAGTCATAATTCAGCCCTACGAGTCTTTGACTAGGCAATTGGACACGTCCGAGTTCACAGACTACGAGGTTCGCTGCGGCTCGCGAAACTGGGCGCTTCGGGGAAACTCGTTTAGCTGACGTACAATGTCTACGTGTACATTGTGGCGCCTCCATGCAAATCTCAGAAAAGATAACAGCGCCACGACTTTCACTTTCTGGCTTCAACGGCCTGAAATCGCGTGGCAGTCGAGGAGACCAGTTCATTCTCGACTGGCACGACATACGATAGGTTTCATTCGTTCACGTCTTAAGATCTGTGAAGCCATGTTCGTCATGCCCATGTGATCCATCCAGCGGAACAATTGTGTGTTGGTGCCCTTCCAAGGTTGAAACACTGCACGTTGCCGTTCTTTCCAGGTTGGGTGACGTCTTCAAGTTTTACCTATTGGAACCAATCAAGCCGAGTTAGGCCGGCATCGTTGATGCCTAATATGCTTTTGCCTTGGAATATGTTGTCGTGTGCTCCATTAAAAAGCGGACATCGTATGCTTGTAGCCCCAACCCCTCGTTCATTTGTGTATGAAGGTGTTGCAAGCAGCACAAACCTTCCATTATCTGAATCTTGTGCCTCAGGTCTCAAGGGCTCTCAGCTGCAACGCCCCAAAACAATTACATGAGCGATCTCCGCTATTTACCACGTGGAGTGCCCATTGGAACCAAGTTGTATTGAACAGGGTTCTGGTCGCATGGAAAGGTGTTTTTAGGCAACGGACAAAGCACTTGCTACCGGATATACTACTAGTAGAGCGTCGTCAATGTACAATTATGTATACCCATGCTTCGCAGAACAAGGTTCACGTGAAAGTGTACTAGACATTGGGAAATACAGGGCCAGATCAAATAGCCTCAACCAGACCAAATTTGGGGTTTGAGAAAAGAAAGAACAAAAAGAGAAGGTCTTTAGGGATTGAGCAGAGGGATTACCTTCCAGGGTCAAGGGAATATTATGCTCAATAAATCAAGTTGAATATGCGAATGAGTCACCACGATCAGTCAGTTCATATTTAATGTCGACTATGAATCTATCCTGTGCAATGAAGACGATTTAGCACAACTGTAGGAACATCATCAAATGAACACTTGATATATTTTCACATCAGAATAGTTACGTGTCTAGGCTGCAATGGCAGCAAAACGCCGTCTTTCGTTTCACGGAATAATAGCATGGAAAGCTAGAGGCCAGCAGATTCGCAAGTTGATGCTAAAAGTACAGATCAAGAAGCGTGAGAGTCCTGAAGTCTGACAAGTGAACACTAGTTCAGCCCCGAAGCGCTGCTTTACATGCAAAGTCTTGCGGGTGGCCATCTTGATATGACCAAACCTACACCGCCGACGTTTTGACAGATTTCTCAAAGGCCGTGGTTCGCACAATACCACCCTCTCCAGGCAAACCTGGCGATGAGGGAACCCACACCTGTCCGCACTGATCCACCGACGCTCCGCTCTGAAGCCCATGTTTCATTGAGCTCATAGTAATGGCGATTGGGGTGGTATTTTGCCTGGTCCTCGCCGTCAGGCGGAATTCTGTCAGCCTTAAAGCCCGAAGCAGCCGTGCTTTCCGGGTTCCTAGTTTTGCTGGGGAAGCTCGTCAGGCTCGAGAGGAACAACTTGATGGCCGACATCTCGGGCATATGCGATCGAGCAAAACTGGCAAAAGCGGGCGAGGAGCTGACAATAATAGCAGCATTGAGCTCCAAGACACTGTTGTTTGTTTGCGTCAGTGGAGTGGCACCTAGGAGGCGATGATACACAATTGCTGCTCAGAGGGCAAATAGGTATTCGTCATGACGCCCTGACTCACCTGCATAATGAAAGAATGGCTGCAATCCAAGTCGTGTCGACTGAGTGGGTGACTTCGACTCTCTGGGACCAGTGAAGCAATGCTCGCCGCAATTCCTCTGGATCAACGTGTTGTTAGAACACCGAACGGGGACCGATACACAGACTGGGAAGGAAGGCAAAAGAGGTTACTCACAAGAGTGCTACCGAAAAGACCGCTACCAACGAAATGCGTTTTCTTGTCGGCAGCTGAAGCCTCGTCAAAGATGGGAGGGGCAGTACGAAGATATAAATGTCCAACGCCACATTGAGCGCCGACTGTGCTTGCCACCACGGCAACGGGATAAGGTTACGGCCATTGCCAAGGGTGTCGAGCCAGGTCTCGCCCAAGTGGGGAGCCCCGTAGTAAGTCAGAATGGCGATGCCCGTCCCATAGATCAAGAAGTCCAATGTGAGGCCGATCCAGATGGCGATGCGGATCGATTGCTGCATGGTAAAGATTTGTGAAAACAGCAAGAAGATAGATGCTTTAGCAAAAAATGCCCCCAACTGACAAAAGAGGGGAATAAAGTAGACGCTCTGAATAGTGTCACTATGTCAGCTGTAGAAACTTTGCTGCATTCCCAATTGGTTTGGCTGGCTGCCCTAATATCTATTTGGAAAGGCAGTGACCTGTCCCTAGTGAAAATGACCTACTTTAGCGAACGCCGCGTCAAAGAAACATGCCGGTACGTCCCAAATATGACGTGCCGTTTTTAGATCTAGTCAGAATCAACACCTAGTTAGCTATGACGAGATACTGCCATGTTTCCAGCATCGTTCAGAAGTAAAATGAGTACGGTAGGGGTTTACGAGAAGCTTCGATCGCCAGGGTCGTAATTGACATAAGAACGGCGGCCAAGGCAAAGTCTACCGCACGAGGACGTGTTTGTTAGCTAAAACAACAATACTCACTGAGATAAAGTTAAAGGGAGGTGAGACTTACAATCCGCCAAGACCAATCTTCGAAAGTTGTTCTGGAGCCTTGCAACAGTGACTAAGATTGCGACCGCGAGGGTAATGCCAACCAAGCTCATGAAGGCTGGACCCAGAGTCGGAGGATTCTCAAAGTTGCTACTGGTACCTTCGGGAGCCGGCCCAGCAGCCGCTTGGCAAAGATCGATAGGCATGACAAAAGATGATGGTCATCAGATGATTCGACAAAAAAGATCGAAGAGCAAGACGCATGTAGAGATAGACAAAGAAAAAAAAAGATTAACACAAGAGAGAGATGGGCTTGAACCATTTATGGCAAAGTCGTAAAGTCTGAAGAGAACAGACGGGAAACGCCAACACCATTTGCATGTGCCGTGCTTGCACAGGACGAAGGACGAGACGGCATCATTGAGTATCTCGGCCTCACCTCCCCCATCCCATCCGCTTTCTTCCTTCTCCTGTGCCGCAGCATTGAAGTGGGAAACGAACGAGGGGCACGGAGTAGATCAATCACTTCCCGGCTGGTTGTCTCCTGCATCAAATGTCAGGCCGCATACATGCCCCTGTGAGTTGCATCACATCGTACGGGCATGTTGCCTTTTCAGTCCCTGGCAGAGCACTGTGTGCATTCTTTGTAGCTGTACATGACAAGGCCTTCTGTGACGGCGGGTAAATATGACATGGAAGTCTAATCCACAAAGCCTGCTGGCTGTCGTTATAATTAGAACCCACATCAAGACAAGTGAGAACGTGGGAATGCTCGGTAGCCGCCCAAGACATGTTGCTGATCCTCCGACCCATCTGGGAACCCTCTTCTCTCCTTCATCGAACCAAGATTAAATAATGAGTTTTGGAGTGTTTGTTGTCCGCTGGGCATTCTGGTCGCTTTGTGTCTGAGTGAGCCGTATTATGCCCCCAGGTACGGGTAGACGTGAAACTCAATGTTGGACATTGACGGATGGCGGGTGAGCCAAAGGGCCTTGCACGTACCAAATCTCTCTTTGTAATCGAGCTGTCGGTTGGTGCCTGGCACACCAGCTAGATGCATTGGTGAGGCAAGGGACTCTGTTTTATTCCAAGCGCTGGATTGAGATAATTTGGCCACAATGTGGGACGATCAGTGGCCTGAGTATACCTCGCACCAATGATGAATCATACCGAATTGCGGCAACGGAATGGGCCGCAGGCCGAGAGATGTGCCAATGCAGACAAAATACTACCCAGGCCGACAAGATGCAACCCGTCACGGTCCATTCTACAGTATGTCGTCAAGCGGTTGCGAGCGGGCGGGTGAGCCAATATCACTTGCGTCTACGCCGCTCGCCTGCTGTAGTCGGTGACCGTGATCGGCGTTCACAAATCGATTGTAGTTGGCTAAGGCCCTTGGCTGCGCCAACGGGTTGCGTGCTTGGCTGCGTGATACACACCGATTCATGTGAGTTGTGCAAGGTCGCGCTTAGTCGTGCTCAGCCTCGTGGGGAGATGGAAACTATCTATCTGCCTTGACAACCATCAGTCCAATATGACCAACCTGCATTTCTGAGGACCAATCTAGTGACGCGGCAAGTAAGAGCGTTGGTTGAAGGACCAGCCGTGCAGTGGCCTCACCTTTGCATTGGCTTCCGCAGTTGGCATGACGGGCCGTTTGGGGGCGAATACTTTTGATCGACGGTCGGTTGGCATGGAGCCTGCGTCCAACATATAACCATCATCTCGGCGTCCAGTCGCGTGACGTCTGTCCTGCCAGCAGATCTGAATTGTGGTTCCTGGATCCTCTTCTCTTCCCTCACAAATCTCTGCAGTCGACCAAGCTAGCACAGCAAACTCTACTCACTCACTATTCTCGAGCTCAAGCAGCAAATATGTCTGAGTATACATCCACCATTGAGGGCTTTCAGCGCGCCATGAAGTGGAGCCTCACCGGTCCACCTCAGGAGGCAAAGGAATACGCCGAGGCCGTCACAACGCCCACTTTCCATCACATTATGGATGGACAGCGTCTCTCGTACGATGACAATATCAAGAGAATCCAGGAGTGGCGTGGCAAGTGCAGCCACTATGAGCCTGTCGTGTATGTCGAATACTGCCTCATGTTGATCAAAATATCTGTACGCTGAGCTGACACTTTCATCAACACTGGCAGTCGGGACTTCCTTCGCGATGGCGACATGCTCGCGGCGCGCATGACGGGGACACTCAAGATCGAGGGAACGGACTCAGAGTTTGAGACCTTCTTTGTTGCCAAACTCGACAGTGCTGGCAAGATGGTGTGGCTCAAGGATAGATCTGTTTATGGCCCTGTCGGCGAAGTGGTTGAAAAAGGCGCCAACTAGCGGGCCGCATTACTGAATCTACGCTTAAGGTCTATGGGCCTTCATGGATGGGGTTGAAGAGTCTATGGTGGGTTGATGATAGTTCTATGACAATCAATGAAAACGAGAAACACGGCCTCCTCCACATTTGGTGTACCTTCGCAAACGGGCAAGCCTGTATGGGACTACTAGAAATGATCTTTGGCAGTCCTGAACTCACGAATTTGCCAATCCTCTTCTCGATAAGGTTTGCACTGGATGACTTGGAAGTGCCGGTTTCGTTTGGAGAACGCATTGAATGAGGCGCTCACGCGCAAGGCCACGGCCACCACAACACCGTCCGTCACCCAAACGCAAGAGCTATCAGGAAGCTTGCCAAGTTTCCCAGCCTCTCTGTTGGCTGCTGCCTGTCGTCATTGGGCCTGAAATGACGGTGGTACAAGCTTAGTAGTTGATGCAGGGAGAGGTCTCGGACCCACACTATGATGAAATCTCTTCAAGACTATTTTGAGAGCACACAGTGGCGATAATTGAGGCTGCGGTGATCGTTGAGGCCCGTGGGGTAACATATTGCGAGGACACCTACTAGATGCGGCCTGCTAGGTGGGGGCTATGCGTTGGTTGAGGCCTGGGAGCGGCACAAGCTGTATACTGATATCGTATCCGCAAGGCAAGGCTGCGGCGTAGCTCACGAACATCAAGTACAACAACCAAACTTACTGGGAAGATATGCCGCCAAGTACGCATGCGTCTGTTGTTCCAGGAAAAAGGAAATTGAAGTTGGCCTAATACAGTCAGACCTCCGAGGACTGGAAAGGCTGTCTGGTTTGACAGAAGATCAGAATACAGTGTCCTTGTCGGCGGCTACGGCATCACCTGGTTGCCGAGACGCCGATGCTGTTAGACTTGAGTAAGGACTGGCTGATGTATAATTACTATTGGCTGCCACAACGTGATGGCCCCCACTGGTGGCTTCTTTCACGATAGCGCTCAGGTTGCCTGGTCGCTTTGTTGGAGGCATTCAGCCTGAAACAAATGCAAATATGGGGATCATAGGGGCCGGGCGACGGCCACATTGCACTGGATCGTACAGTGCTCCCTGTGCTCACGGAACGGAAACATGCGAGCGGGAAGTGACTTCAAAGTAATCATGACACGCTCACGCGAAATGTCTTCAACATAAGTATGTCTCGGAATCCTCCACGTTTTGTCTATATTACCTCCGCAAGACAGCTGAAGTACATTGATCAGAAAAATATAAACGCAATGCTGACTCAGGCTTCAATCATTCTCGGGTGTCCCTCCTCGATGAAGGACTCAACGTTCTCATCAACTCTTCTTCTTTTTGTTTGCCTGGTCTTTCTTGGAGCAGTCACCAGTGTAAAGCAGAATCCCGTAAGAGAATCAGTCTTCTATTTTCATTCCGCCAGAACTATTAACCTCCGCCAGAATCATGCATATATCACAGATGGGATTCGGTACATTTCAAAACGCTTCCGTGCCTGGGCATATCTTTTCAAAGGCCCGGACATCGTCAAACATGAGTTCCAAAAGGTGAGGCTCCACCAGTGGCTTTCGAAGAGCAATGAACCCATCTCACATTGCGAAAACAGTCAAACTGCGGTTCTTTCGAGGTTCTGGCACCCGATGGACGCATGGTCTTTGTGTCCTCGAAGGAACAAATCAAGGAGCTGGACAGTGCTCCGGACGCTGTACTGTCCCTGAACGGTGCCGCGAAACATGTGAGTGTTTCTGAACGCCTGAATCTGGATGTGATTTTGATGTCCTACCTTAGATGCTCCAACCACTCTATACTATGAACGGTTTCAACTGGTTTGACCGGCGTGGAGTTGAAGGTGTTGGCTTTGTGCGAACGCTGCGAACGCTGCTGACCAACAATCTCCCCCAACTACTCCCCGATCTGCGAGTGCTCACTCGCACAAGATGGGCACAGTTGCTCTCAGGAAAACAACCAGTCAACGGTAAGTATTCACTTCGTCCCTACTAATTACTGGCAGGTGATGGACATGGCACAGCAAGGATCTATGCTGACTGTATTCGTGTAGATGATGGCACGATTATATCTTCTTTGTACCCCATGATGATGAATCTGGCAGTGCTCCTGAACGCGCGATCTCTTTTTGGTGAAGACCTGAGTGAGTACTCTAATATGGGCTGATAGACTCCTGTCTTGAAATTCCACTTGGCTAACGCCGATTTTCCACAGTCAAAGATGACAAGTTCATGACATCGGCCCTTGGATACGTCGAAGAGACTCTGCTCAATGCGGAAATCGTCAAATTACTACCGAAATGCCTTGCTCCGTATGTTGGTGGTACTCTGAGTCGCTGCCTGAACTCCCACAAGACCTTCTTCACGAGCTTGATCCCAGCGACAGAGCAAAGAATCAAAGAAAATGAACTGAAGCAACTTGGCCGTACCTTTCCAAAACGTGTGAGTGCAAGGATTCCCACTACTGCTCACTTTCCAAGTGGAAATGCTCGATCCAATCATTCAAGCCGTCGCTGTCAACCCAAACTGACTTGCCTCCGTCCACAATAGGCCGACTGTATCCAGTGGATCATCGAGACGGCGCCAAAGCAGGACCCCTGGTCAGCAGAGCGCGTCATCTACGAGCTGATGGCTATTTGGTTTGGAAGCGTCCATATCCTCTCAACGGCAAGTCACTCTCACCGCCTTGTTCCCCGGCACCACTGCTGAAAATTTGTTCTGCTAACAAATCGTCTGTTCAACATTTCAGACCATTGTCTATGTCATCCACGACCTATGTCTGCATCCTGAGTACATAGAGCCGCTTCGAAATGAGCTCAAAGCATCCTATTCCGAGTTCGAACGCACCGGTCGTGGTCTCCCGCTACTAGACAGTTTCATAAAGGAGTCTGCTCGTCTCACTCCCGTGGAATCCAGTACGTCATCCTCAAAGCTGCTGTTGTTGAAAGAGCCAGGGAGTCCCCCGCCTCGGAGGCTGACCACGAGACAGTGAGCGTTCGTCGATGTGCGCTACAGCCTTTCACTCTTGGCGATGGCACACGGCTGGCCGTTGGAGACTGGGCGTGTGCGCCCTCGGGCGCCATCAACACCAACCCAGAGTACTACCCATCCCCAAACTCCTTCTCAGGATTCCGATTCGTTGATCCTGCGCTGCTTCCCACGAGCGGCGATAGCGAAAAGCCGGCACCGGTGTCATCTGCACCGGGAGTCCAGCAGCCCAAGCCCTCGATGCTCACAGATGTCGACCACACGTGGCTGATGTGGGGCACAGGGCGCATGGCTTGGTAAGTCGTCACTACTCGCCGATTTTCACCTTCCTCTTTTTTCTCTCTTTTTTCCTTACTCTTGCTTTTCTGGTGAATGGTCAAGGGAATCCCAGCTAACGCAGCCTTTATGTGTAGCCCGGGAAGATACTACGCGTCTGCCTTTATGAAGGTTGTCGTGGCGCAACTCCTACTCAACTATGACTTCGCATTAGTCGAGCCCGAAGCACCCCGGTTGATTTCGTGGCGAGTGGCAAGGATTCCGAGACCTTGGACGAAATTGACATTTACACCACTGAAAGAACAGCGCTGAAAAAGACAACTGTTGCGGGTAGACGGAAGACAAAGTGGGAAGAGGTGCATGTAATCAAACCAATGATGAATTTCTTAGATAACGAAATAGATAAAGCCACCGGGAGCTGGATCCTGCTCTCAGGCAGGCATCCAGGTGTGTTGAGGATCCACTTATCACAGAAATCCACCGCTAGGCCGTGCCTCGGCCCCGGATGTCTTTAATCAAAAAAGCCTTCTAGTAGGCATAAAAATTGACAGCCTCGTTATCGGTCTCCCTGATCCTCGTGTTCTGCGTCACGAGTATCCACTTCATCAGCCACGCGGTCAAAGCGACCCCAAAAGAGAAGCCAATACTTGCGATCGTTGGCGGGCGAAACAACGGGGAATCCTCGTCGTTCCAGAGGTAAGGTGTATATACAAAGGAGAGATTACCAAGCATATTGACGATGGAGATAGCCGCGGCCTTCTTTTCATCCGTCTGGCCAAGTGCAGAAGAGGTCCACGAGAGATTGATATTATTGACGCCGTATGTGGCGCTCACGAAGATGAACATGGCAAAGTAGCGTGCACCAATGTTCGTCGTCCCCGTTGCAACGGCGAAACCGAGAATGGCGACGGCCTTAGAAATTGCAATGTGCCAGGTCCTTTCGTTGAAGTGGCCCGAAGACCACGAGACAGCGATTGATGTGAAAGCACCGAAGAGGTATGGAGGACATGTGAGGACCAAGGAGATTGTGTCATTGAATCCCAGGGACTTGACGGCTGTGGGCATGTAATTTTTGAAATTGTTGGCGGACAAGTGTAGGTTTCCCATGAGAGCAAATATCCAAGTCCGGTACTTAAGTAGTCCAAGCAAGCCTCCTTCAGACCTCCGGTCCATGTTTTGCCAGCAATACGCTTCTCAGTGGTATCACGAGAGACACGGAAGTCGGCAAGTTGCTTTTCTGTGGAATTTAGCCACGGAGTGTCGAGTGGCTTGTTTGGCAATATGAACCAGGCGAGGAGGGCGACGGCAACTGCAAGGAATAATCCGAGAGCCTTCAACATAACTCAGAGTAGGATTTCCTCCGGCCTGCACTTACAAGTAACCACGCCTTGTATCAGGAAAAGCCATCTCCACCCAGAAAGCCCGTGCTTGTCATCACGGCCAACAAAGACACCAGCTGCGATCAAGCCGGAAAATGAGCTTGCCAACAAATTGCCGGTGTAGAACACAGCTAGACGCGTTGCAACCTCTTTTCTTGTATAAAACAAGCTCACAAGGTAACAAGCGCCAGAGTAGTACGGTGCCTTGGTGAAGCCAAGAATGATTCTTTAAAGAAAGGTTAGGACAGGGTAATGTAGCGTCATTTAGAGCCGGTACTGACCTGGAGGCCAACATGCCATGATAGTTTTTCACGACGCAAGTCAACGTAGACACCACCGCCCAAGCCATCATCCAGCCAGATAGATACCAGGCCGGCCGCAGACGAGTGACAAGGATGTTAGATGGGACCGTTCCGAGGAGATATCTTGAGAGTCTGGGATTAGCCTCACGGGCGAATCTAGGTAGATCTATCACTTGCGCTCACCCGACGAAGAATATGCTAACACAAGTGTTATATTCTGTTCCGTTCATTTGCAGTTCCAATTGTAAATTGTTCAATTTGCCATTCACAATAGCGTTCCAGCAGAGGAAATTCAGGAAGTACATGAGCTACAGAATCGGCTGAGACACAGTCAACAGCATGTCACCACATCTGGCGTTGGAAAGTCCTTACATACCATCAAATACAGATCAAGCTTCCTCACCAATTCGATCTCCTTGGGGTCAGTCTTCGCAACACTGCCGAATCTGTCGTGTTTTTCCGTATTCTTGTCACCATCTTGATTTTCGACATGCTCGGTGGCGCCCTCTTCGACCTTCTCGATAGATGTTCGCACATGGGCCGAAGTGGAAGTCATCATATTTTGAAATTGTGCCGATGAACCTGGTGTTCGAACACTGCATGGAAACCGACACCGCAAATTCAACTTTGCATTCTGTCGACAAAGAGAGCCTAATATTTATATTTCAAGCTCTTGTAGGATAGCTTGAGTGTCCTCCGCACCGCGGCCGAAAATATCTACAAGCGTGGTAGAAATCCAAATCATCAAGTGAGCGTACTCAACCGTGCAAACTTACTCCTTGCGGACTAGCTAAAGAGTGCAACTGCATGTGAGAAGCCAAGCACTTCCCCACGGGGTACTGCATGGAGATCTGGGGCCTTGTCTGGGGAAGCAATGGGGCAAGGTAACTGGTCATCGGTTATAGATGGGCACTGGCGTCGGCTGCGGACGGGCGTTGGCGTCGGCGGATCAGATTGGCCTTTTCCGGTCTGCTGACTACATGAAACAATACCCAAGAAGAACGTCGTCCATGGGTCCGGAACAAGCTACTGCCCGTCCAAACAGAACATGGGGACCCTCGGCGTGCAGGTTGACACCGCCGAGCCCACGGGGTTCTGCTTCGTCGCCACCTACCACAACTTCGCCGAGGACAAGACCGACTTCGCCTGGGTGTTCAACAACGACGGCGCGGCGGCGACGGGCGAGGAGGGAAAGGTGATCCGGCGGAGTTGCATGTGGGGCAAGGACAAGCAATGGCCGCTCCTGGACTGCGCGCTGATTCCAGCTCGACTCAAAGTCGCAGACCTCGGTTGCGCCGGGGCTGTTCCAGGGGGCCGACAGGTCCGCCCGGGCGGTGCGGGGCACCAACCTCGCGGCCGTGGGGATGACGGTGAAGAAGTTTGGCATGGCCACCGGCCTGACCTACGGCCGCGTCAACCTGCCGCTCGACATCGACGGGTCCTACTCGAGCCACCTCTTTTTGCCGTCGAGAGGTGCGACAGTAACGGCTACCCGATGTCGGGCAAGTTCGCTGACGCGGGGGACTCGGGGGCTCCTGTCGTTGACTTGAATGGGTACGTGCTGGGGGTTTTGGTGATCCAGTCGAAAGGCTTCAACGGGGGCAAGGATGCGTTGGGGCTGATTAATCGCATTGATCAGGTCCAGGCGGCATTGAATGTGACTATTCACTGAGTCGATATGGCATGAGCTTTGGTCCGTGGAATGTAAGGTAGTGCATAGTATTGGGCGTGAGTTGGATGAGGTGTCGTTATGGGATAACACAGGTGGTAAGACAGGGGGTTTGTGCCGGTGATGGCTTCTTTCGAACACTGCAGTCCTCCTTCTTCAACAGAAGGTGGGTTTCTTATATTTTCCAGCTGAATGAACATGCCCTTTCCGCAATAAACGAATTGACCAATCCCATTAATCAAATCACTTCCACGGCACTTTTTTAAAGTGAGGTAGAATCGGCCTGACTCGGTTGGTCGATAGGTCTTCGATCCGGTCTCGTTCTCGATCGGGTAATCGTGAACAGCGCTGAATGTCTCAAAGTAAGTGCATTGCCTTCTTAGCATCGGAATTCCGGCCATAATATGAGTGGTGTCCCATCAATTGAATTGACAAGAACTTCAATGCCATCATCAAATGGCTCATGACATCGATGTCGAGGATGGAGCAGGGAGAGGCGGGAGCGAAACGAAAGGTGGCTGCTTCAAAGGCGACATCGTCATTCCAACAGTCTCGCGAATCTTGAGTCGCACTACAGCATCTATTGCTGCAAGGGCAATATGAAGACGTCGAACGTATTAGAGACCAAGCTGAAGAATAGCTTGATGAACATATCCCCCAACGAGCGGACGGACGACTTTGTGGATTCGAGCTGGACATAGTCGTGCGCTGCCCGCCCCGACGACCCGCTCCACAGCCCGGATCGTTCTAATGGAGAAGCCACGAGAATCCTAGACGACTTCTTTGCCGAGATCAGCGCGCTATTTGATCTTGAGCCCCCCTTTAAGGACACCTTTGACGCGGAGAAGACTAGGTAGGATAGAGTCCTATAGTGGCTTATGCGTGTTGGATTAGTGAAACTGCCAGATCTCTAAGCGCCCATGTAAAAAAAGGCATATTCCTTATCGGCGATGCGGTACACGTAGAGCCTATCCTTGGGTGTAAGGGGCCTAATGCTGGGGTGGTTGATGGATTTGAGCTCACGGGTTGTATTGCGTCCGGTAAAGTCGCCAGGATTTCCACCTGGAGTCGGCAGCAGTTTCCGCGGTGGGAGAGTGGTGTTGGGGAGAGTGAGATGAAGATGCTCCGTTGTGTGGCGAGCGGAAGCTGGCTTGACTAGAGGAGACCAAGGGTTTGTGTATGGAAGAGGAGGGCTGTGGGCAATTGGACATGGCATCAGGCCAATCCGCCAAATCCACGACATGACGACGAACGCAACGAATGATTGGCTGTATTCCCAGCCCTTGCTCGCCATGAGCCTCACAACACGAGCGCCATAATACCTCCTACCATCGCCAAGAAAGTCCATCCAGAACCCTGACCCATCCTGTCGGTGCCATTGATGGTTGAAGAACCCGTCTGGTTCCCCCCCGTGCCTCCAGTGCCAGCCTCCAAAACCAGCCCATCCAACCCACCCTCGACGGCCCCCAACGGCGCAACCAACGCCATCTGGCTCCAACTAAACAGCGTGTTCCTCCCGCCAAAAACAAACACCTCGAACCGGCCCCTGAACTCGCCGTCCACCCACACCCGGCTCCCATTCACGACGTCGGTCTCGACGCGGATCTCGGCGGGCAGGGCGACCGGGACGGGCCCGTGCGTGGAGCCCGACGCGTTGGTCCAGATGCGGCCCGGGTGCGCGGGGTCGTGGCCGTCGGACTCGGACGTCGAGCGCAGCGGGTAGGGCCAGTTGTCTGCGGTCTTGAAGACGAGCGTCGTGGTGGTGGTGGTGGTGGTGGTCTCGGTGTCGTTTGACGTGACGCTCTCGACGCTGAGCGAGGTGTCGGGGCCCGTGAGTGAGAAGGCCGAGGAGGCTCTGAGGGTGAGTGTGTACGGCGGGCCGCACGAGCCTTGGTCCAGGCTCACGCTGGCTGCGTCTGATGACTGGCGCGACCATGAAATGAGCGGTGAGTCTGCAGATGGGTTCTGTGGTCCGGGAAGCCGCCTGTCGAGGTTCTGCCCCGGTGCCTTTGACGTGAGAAGCGCGAGGGTGGAGGGCAGGTCCTCGGCGGAGATGTTTAGCCCGCGTGCACCGGACCAGGCTCGAGCTGCTACCACGGGTATGCCGTCGCGCATGGCGTAGTACGCTTCGAGCTGCGTCGTGGCGTCTGGGCCGCTGTCGCTCCAGGCGGCGAGGATCGCACCTCTGTTCCCACTCGCCCCGGGTTCGAGCTGCTCGGTGGTGTTGACCTGGTTGAAAAGCCGCGGGTCCCACTGCCAGCCGGGAACGTCTGCGAAATTCATCGTACGTGTGACGCTGTAGAATTGCGGGTAGGGGGCTGGGAGGATGGGCATGTGGTCGTTCTTGAGACTCATGTAAGCCCACCAGTCGTTCGATTTGATCAGCTCGTACCCGTCATTTTGGAGCTGGACAGGGTCGGATTGCCCGTACTGCCAGTGCTGGATGATGATGTCGTCGGAGACGGTGAGGTTTTCCGACGGCTCGTGGGTGCCCCAGATACGGATACGCTTCCCAGAGGTCTCGTTGACCCAGTCCTTCATCTCATTCACGAACGTGATGTAGTCACCGGCGAGATCAGCGTCGTATTCGTCAGCTCCGACATGTACGTCTTTGGTCTGGAACCAAGGCAGAAACTCCTCCCAGATGGCTTTGACAGTGGGCACCGTATCAGGGTGTGTCAAATTGAGAAGATCCTTCTTTGTCAACGCAAGTTCAGGCTTCCACTTTGTGATGGCCAAAGCATGGCCTGGGGCCTCTATCTCTGGAATCACCGTGACACCGCGCTGCGCACAATGCTTCTGGAAGTCCTCAAACTCCTCCCTTGAGAGGGTCTCATTTTGGCGCTCGATGATCCCGTGGAGCTCTGGATTCTCCGGAAATAGCGAGAAATGAGAATAGATTTCATGCCATGTTTCATTGTGTCCTCTGTTCAACGGGTAGTTGTCGCTCGAGTGGTAATGGAACTCGGACATTTTGAAAAACGACGCGTAGGTGCACAATTCCTTGAGGAAGCCGGCCGTGTACCATTTCCGGCCAGCGTCGAGCATCCACCCTCGTGTCGCATACGCGGGGGCATCAGTTGTCCGGCCTGGGGCCAAGGCTGTCCCATTGGCAACCAGAAGCTCCTGCAGCAGCGTTCGTGTTCCCCAAAACATACCACGAGCGCCTGTCCCGCCAACGAAGACGCTCCCGGCCGATACTTCCAGCTCGTAGCCTTCCTCTGTCTGGACTCCATTTTCGTACTTCAATTGGCTTGCGTCTCCCCTAGATTGCCCCAGGAAGATGCCCGAGTCAGGGAATTCGTCGACCTGCTCGATTGTCCATTCGTCGCCAAAGAGTTGGGAGAGGTCCTGGCGGAAGGTCTCTGCGAACTCGTATGCCGACGGCGGTATGAGCGTCAGACCCTCCGTGTCGGTGTGATCTGCGAAATTGCTGGCGACGTAGATTTTCTTCGGGGCTTCTTGGATAGAGAATCCGGTCGAGGACGCATTGCTGCTTATCCATTGCACAGGGGGAAGAGGCTGCAAAGCGGCGGCAGCCCCCGCAAACGCAAACAATTCTAGGGAAATCATCGTGGAAGGGGACAACGGACTTCAGAGGAGCCGTGTCGCTGCCGGCATGGCAAGCAGCATGCGAGTTTTGTACCTGCACGCAGGTGCGGCCCGGCCTCTCAAATTTCCTAGCTGGGGATCTGCAAAGCACGGCCAGGGTCCTTGTCACTGTTATCGCCTCATTCGTCGCATTTCCCCGGAGACTCGCTGTGTGAATGCGGGAGCCAAGGACTTAGGGAGATGATACGAAGACGGTGAGCAGATTTAGCGGCGCGATACCGCGCGGCAACTGCCAAAAACCCCTTGTCTGGCTTGGGGGGCACGCTATGATGTGCGGGTGGTGCGGGGGACATACACTTTAGGCCCTGATCACTGTTCTGAGCCAGTGTTGTGACACTTTATTGAAGAGAACGGATATCTGCACCCGCAAAAACAGACGGTACACCCATACATCGCCAGCACTAAACCAACACCCACACCCAATTTCTACACCTAATTGACACACTCAATTCACACACCTGATACCTATACACCTAGTTTATATGAATTAGGTGTGTAAGTGTTAGGTATGTAGGTGTTGGGTGTAGAAGTGTTGGGTGTGTTACTGTGTGTGGGTGTGTAAATTGGCCTGGTGATATGCTCTAATTAGCTGCAGCTGTAGCATGAGTGATATACGGGTGTACCCTCTGTTTTTACGGGTGCGAAAATCCGTTCTCATTACAGGCAGCGCCTGCGGAGGCCGGCTCAGCCGCGCCGTCTGTATTCCTTGTATGAAATGAGGATGAGCTTCCGTCAGGCTTCCGGGTTGCCTTCGTCCAGCCAACAACTCAATAATGCAGGAGCGTGTTGGGATCCATCACATGTCAGGAGCGACGCAATGGCAGGCAAACCCACTGCAAGCTTCAAAACATTGGATCACCCAAGGACATTTTTCACACCTAACAAAGTCAGGACCGAGCAGTAGAAACTTCTATCCACTTTCCTAGCTCTGCAATACTACAATCACTCGTCTATTCGTGTCAACATGGCTTCCGGCTCGGACTTTATTCCTCCTCCACGGGACCGAACGGTGGGCTTCATAGACTGTGGTAAGCGTAAATAAGGCAGATTCTGAACACGTCAAACAGTTTAGCTTACTCAACCTTTGCTTTATTGTTATAGGAGACCTGGGCCAGGCCATTTTGAAAGGGATCATACGGAAATCCATCTTAAATCCGCAAGATTCAAACTCGTGGGCAAAGGCCACGTACATCGCCAGCGTACCATCGGAAAAGTCTGCACAGGAGCTGCGACAGGCCATTGCCGCCGATCCAGGCACAAATGGCTCCATCAGCCTCGAGGTCTTGCACAACCAGAACTCCCAAGTCGCGAACAGATCTGAAATCGTCATCCTCGCATCCCCAGAAGGTACGGCAGAGGCCATCCTGAAGGGGCCAGGCATGACAGATGCCCTGAAAGGAAAATACCTCATCAGCCTGGTCGCCGGCGCCACCATCGCCCAGATGACAACCGCGCTCTAGCCGAGCGGGCCCACTGCCGCAGCAAACGGGGAATGCAGTATCCTCCGCGCAGCTCCGAGCGGGGCGGCCGCCTGCATGTGTGGGGCATCAGTAACACTTCTCAGCGCCTCCCCGGCATCAGACGCAGGAAACGCAACGCAGAAGGTGGTCGAATCATTCTTCAAAAGCATCGGATGCACCATATTCATCGCCGAGTCCCAGATGGAAGTCGCCTCGGTGATATGCCATGGTTCGCCAGCATTCATGGCGCTCTTCTGCGATGCCATCGTCGACGGCGCCGTCGCGGGCGGGCTCCCCCGTCCCCAGGCGGAGGCCATGGCCGCGCTCGCGGTGCCGAGCTTTTTGAACTTGCTGCGTAAGGGCAAGGGCTGGAAAAGGCCGTCGGAAGTACGGGAGACGATATGTGCGTACCCGGGTCCTACCACGATTGGAGCAATTCTGGATTTGGAGAAGGGAGGCATCAGGGGGTCGATCTCCGGGGCTGTTCGGGACGCCATGCTTGCTGCTCGGCTCACGGAGAAGGATGGTGGCTGAATAAGTAGAGACCAAAAGATCCTATCACTAACGAACACTGCTTTGGAATGGCTAAAAATATCGTGTGGGTATTTTGGATGGAGTCTGCTTCTAGGCATGAGTAGCAGCCAAGGGGACGAGGATTACCAGTAGCATAGGGTACCACATGAGTCTGGTACAATTTGCCAAGAAATGACAGCCAGTCAAAGCAGCACGTATCCAACAAACTGTCTCGCCCACGGATCCTTCACCATGTCTTTCATCTCGCCCAAAGCGACCGACAAGGTCCCGAGGTCCTGGTTGGAGCCTTGAAAACAACATCCCGCCCCATTCCAGCCCATCTCGACCGGCTCCCGTGCTCCTCTTCCCACTGTTGGGGCAAGGACAACCCTCAGGAGCGCGCCATGCTCCGTGAGATCGTCAAACAACTCAGAAATATCCTCAATGTTCCGCTCGCTCCTCTCGCCGGCCAGCCTCCAACCCTTGGCGCGATTGTTCCACACCAATTCCTCCCGCTGGGGTGGACTAGGCGTCTCGATGGTAACTATGATCTTGAGCACGCGGACGAAGACGTGCGTGTCGCGAGGTTCCGGCTCGGAATCTGGGTCGGGAAGGATAGGATCGGAGAAGCGAACACGGCGGCGTTTGTTCCAGTTTGGGGCATTGCGTGACTTCGTCGGTCTACCTCTGCGCTTTCTGGTCGCTGCCTGAGGCGGCGTTGGGCTCGGTGGTACAGATTGAGACGAATCCGGAAAAGGACGGATTGGCGTGGGAAGACTTGGGTGTGGGCAGGGACCGTTCAGCATTCTGGCTGTGAGGTCTGCCCTGGTTGGTGGTGTTGGAGATTGATAGCTTGCTGATGGGCTCTCTGTCTTGACGGGTTTGATATCTGGAGTCGAAGGCACGTCCGGAATCCTTGCTTTGCTTCTAGCAATCGCGATGTCTCGAGGCTGGTCATGATGGCAGGTTATGTCTTGGTCAGGCATCCGTCCCTCCTCTGCCTTCGCCGACTTTCCGTTGACAGATATGATAGCATGGTCTTCGAAATGCGATGCCAACTCTGCTTCATCTTTTTCGATGCTTTGCCACAAGCCATCTTCTCTTCTTGTACTAATCAGGGGATCGATGTGACGATGTCGGGACTGCTTTTGACGCTTTCCACTCGATCTGCCCATCTTGATGTTAAGGGACTTGTTGTAGCGAAAGCCAGAGTGCCGGAGACTGTCGTGATTTCAATGAGACCAACAAATTTGTGCCTTTGCTCGGCTCTCGCACATCCTGTTGCAGTTCATGTGCCGTGCTGTGCAAACGGAGTGCGGCGACTTAACAGTGTCTATCAGAGTTTCGCCAACCTGGCCGCACAATCAGATAGTGGCTGTTGGACTTTTCACCCACACTGCTCGACGCTGCTCTGAGCAGGTGTCCGGTGTGTGTTTTCAAAGCCATACATATGGGGATCCGCTGTTCTCTGACCAATCAAGCACATCCTTGTTAGGACAGCTGGTTGGCAGTGCAATTATGTAACGGACGATACAACAGGACCGGAAGAGGCAGGGCAAGGTGAAGAGCCGTCAGGATGCCGTGACGAATTACAGAAGAATTCGACGAGTGGAGGTCTGTCTATGCAGGTAGATGGAATCCATTCTCCATGATCGTGGGAGTCCACGAGTACCCTGATGAGAAAGGCCGGCTCCCGTGCCTCAAAGCAACTTGCCCAGTACGTGCAGACAGCCTCGCAGTCTGGGTAATGACTCCAAAATAACTGCAACTCTCCAAGCCCTGGCAGAGGCGAGGTCTACGGTGTGCCGTGACCGGGCAGTAGACGACCCTTTTATTCTTCTCCTTGGTGACTCAATGACCTTCACGCAGCCGCCCGTACCCGTATGCCGTCATCTTGCGCAATGAGTCCTAAATTCTGAATCTCCCTGTAAAGTCTTACAGCACTGGATGGGTTTTCAGGCGCCTTCCCCCGTCTTTTAAGGCAAGAGGTATAAATAAGGCAGGTGTTGCCGCACAAGATATGGGTCTGTCTGAGCAGTCCTCAGATGGTCATGATCTAGGGAATCCTGCACCGCTGACAGTTGACCTCACTTTGCTCCTTCCAAACCGAACGGTTGGCTGTGCCTGTCTGCCCGGTAGGACTCTGGCTTGAACTGCGGGGAAGGAACGTCCCCCTCGCCCCCCGCCCCCCCAAAAGAGCTTCCCCAAGCTCAAGCTCAAGCTCCAGCTGAAGCTTCCAATCCGTCCCAACCCCCACCACAGCAGCTTCAGGGCTCGGCCTCCGGTTTCACCCCGTCGACTCTTCAGCCTCAACCTCACCTTCGTTCGTTGTCATTCCTCCCACTTGGGCCGGTCAAGTCGTGGCAAGGTCCCTAAATCCAAATCAGAGGACAGTGTTGACAGCTCATACTTTCACATCGATATCCTTTGCCTGTTCGACCAGGAATCACCATCGCCTCGCCCTGCCCATCTTCCAGCGAATCTGAACGGCCACCGATTGACCTGCCAGCCCTACCTTCAATGGACTGACCCTCTGAATCACAGACGACTCGACTGCGCGAAGTAGCCTGCTTTCAGCGCTCATCGGCCATTAGCGCTCCTACCGCGACGCTACTCTTGGGGTACCTACCAGGTAGGCAGGCGACATGGAGGTCCACACACACGGTTGGCCCGAGCATCTGTCCGACGACGCCGTGAAGAAGAGGCTCCAGCCATTCATGGATTCTTTGGGCATTGAAGAGCACACCTTCAGCTGTGACAAGTTTCGGAGACAGAAGTGGGCCAATCTGACCTTTCTCGACGTCAACAAGGCCCAAGCATTCCTGCGCCAATACGGCGAGCAGATTCTACCGCCGACGGCCCAGCCAGCCAATGGTCCCCCGATCAATGGCTTTCGCAACCATAGACCTGCGAGGCGTGTGCAGCGAAGAGCCAGGCTGCAACTCATGGGCTGCGAAATATTTTGCTCCAAGAGCAACAACAAGCAAAGGATCGACCCCAACGCCGTTCCCGGAGAGCCCAACGAAATTACCCTACGAGGCTTGAGGCATGCTGCTGCGGAGAAGGCCAACCCAACTCGCCGAACCGAGACCGCCAAAGGCCCCGTGGTTTTCGAAGTCACCTCAATCAGCTGTGGGCACACGGCCTTTGTCGGCGAAGAGCTTGTCTACATCCCCGAGGTCGAGTTCCAGGACATGGGCGTTGCGAAGTTTACCAACCAGATTCTGCTCATCAAACTTGAAAGCCATCGCGTGATCAAGATCCCTCTCGAGACTGTCCAAGATCTTGTCTGCAGCTTCCAGCATACTCTCACGTTGACCGTCACTGAAGAGCCCTCGTTCTTCCAGGACCTCTCCGAGCTAGACAGCTTGATGAGGCAGCTCACTATTGCGGCTGGTGGCCGGTTTGGGAACTCTGGGCCGACACGAACACGTCTGACCGCCCTCGACGACCAGCACGCCAAAGTGGTTGGCCAATGTCTCGTGTACCAGCTGCGTGTTACTGGAGATAACCTTCGCCAGAAGCTCTGGTCACTCAGGAACCACGACGTTGTACCCGCCGTTTTCTATGACTTGCTCACCCAAAGGACACCTCCCCTGCATCTTGGACCCTCTTCCGTGGCAATGAGCAAGCTGATGGAGGAGCTTATGATCGATTTCCAGCCAGACCAACTGCCTTTCAGCATCTTGTTCCAGCTACAGGCTCTGGCTTTCAATGCCTATTACCACCCGGGAACAGTTCTAGCACTGGCCAAGCTACTGCGTAGGGTCTTTCTTGAAGACCAGATGGCTGGCAAGCGGGCAATCTCGGTTGGCGCTATTAAAAAGCTGATGAAGGACACCCCGTGGCCAAAGCCTCATGGTGATCCATCAATGTTCGAGGTTCACGCAATCGTGGACTATCTCCGCGAAGTCGAGGACAAGATGGCCAGTAACGAAGTGTTTCGGCAAGGACTCATGGCCCCAACTCAAAACCTGGCGTTGGTCCACAGAGTCACTGTCACGCCGACTCGAATCACACTACACGGACCCGAACTCGAAGCAAAGAACCGAATCCTCCGCAAATACCCGAACCATCACGAGTACTTCCTGCGGGTCCAGTTCTGCGATGAGAACGGCGAGGACTTGTATTTCAACCCCAAGGTCAGCAATGACAACGTATACGACAGATACAGAGAAGTGTTCCGGAAGGGTGTCCTAATTGCTGGTCGGGAATACAAATTTCTGGGATTCTCCCACTCTTCTTTGCGTTCACACTCCGCATGGGTACGCTGTTTCCTCTCTCAACTTCCTTTCACTCCTGTCACCTCTCAAGATTACAGTCTACTTTCCGCCACGTGCTGCTTATGTTTCACTTTCCTTCTGCTTTCGTGTATTATATTAATTAGTGCTATCAACAGTTCATGGCTCCTTTCCTCGACAATGGTAGACCACAATACCCCTTCGACGTCATCGGCGACTTGGGTCACTTCAGGAGCATTCGTTCGCCAGCACGGTGTGCCGCTCGCATCGGCCAGGCTTTCTCCGAAACGCCCTATTTTGTGTCACTGGATGACTTGGGCGTTACTGTCCGCTTAATGCCAGATGTACAACGGAATGGTCGGGTTTTCAGTGATGGTGTCGGGACCCTGTCTTGGCCAGTGGTTTATAACATCTGGGATGTTATACCTCAGAAGAAGTCCGCACCAACAGCTTTTCAAGTTCGATTCAAAGGTTCAAAGGGCATGCTTGCTCTAGACCCCAGCTTGACGGGGTCCGTGATACACATCAGACCGTCCATGACGAAGTTTGAGAGCAACGACAAGCCTAACCTCGAGATATGCGACATGGCTTCCAAACCAATTCCTCTAGTCCTAAACCGGCAGATGATCAAGATTCTGGAGGATATGGGATGCACGAGCATTTGGTTTTTCCGCATGCAGAACGTGGAACTATCGAGGCTTCGGGCGGTCACAGCAGATGCGTACAATGTGGCCAAGTTCCTGAAGCATCAGAATGTCGGTGAAACCATGCGACTCCACCGCATGATCTCACTGTGCGAGAACATGGGCGTCGACTACCGCAAGGACAAGTTCCTTCGATCTGTAGTAGAGGCCATGGTGCTCCGTGAACTGCGCCTCCTGAAGCACAAGGCGAGGATCCCTGTGCGGAAAGGAATTACCCTGTTCGGGATCATGGATGAGACCGGATTCCTCAAGGAGAACGAGGTCTATGTCACCTATGGCACGAAGGGTGATCGCTTCGACGAGCCCCCTGGCCCCGGGCCCGTGATCGTCACCAGGTCCCCAGCTCTGCACCCGGGCGATATCCAACTTCCGTTCAACGTGATACCTCCTCCGGGAAACCCACTTCGACAATTGTCGAACGTGATTATTTTCAGCCGACACGGTCAGCGTGACCTCCCGTCGCAGTTGTCAGGCGGCGACCTGGACGGCGACATCTTCAACGTCATCTGGGATGAAGAAGTCATGCCTCAGCAAACGTTCAGCCCCGCAGATTACCCGCGCGTTGCACCGGTAGACCTTGGTCGCGAGGTTACCACTGAGGACATGGCGGATTTCTTCATTGACTTCATGAAGTTGGACCACCTCGGTGTCATCGCAACGCGGCACATGATCCTGGCGGACCAGAAGGACGAGGGCACCCTTCACCCCGACTGCACGAAGCTAGCCGAGCTGCACTCAACAGCTGTCGACTTTTCCAAAACTGGCGTTGGCGTGAACTTGATGGAGTTGCCTCGTGCAAATAAGTACAGGCCTGATTTGTGAGTTTTACTATCACGCTGCCCCTATCTCGCATCTGCTCCCATGCCCTCATTCTGTCAAGGCTAGGGCCTCAGTTTCCACCTCCTTGTCCCCCCGCGCCCAAATTTTCCATTTTCTTAACTGGACTTCTGTCGTCGCCTCTTTGCAACACTTGTTGTCATCGCGACCAGATCAGGTATTGTTCTAATCATCATGCAGTCTGGCACCAGGTCCGGAATCCCGTGTCGTGGATAAATCTACCATTGAGCTTGATGACTACATCATAGAGCCAGCCGCCGACGACGAAGAGGACCAGTACAACCGCCAGCGCCACGTCTACTACAAATCTGAGAAGCTCCTTGGCCACCTGTACCGCGCCATAGATGAGCAAAAGATCTGGCACGAGGACGTCAGATCCAAAGTACCAGCCGCAGGCGGTTCATCCTTCTGGGACGATTTCTTCATCAAGACCCGCCCGCGCTATGAGGCCATCGTCGAGGAGCCACGCGGCTGGGTGGGCCGGCTCGAAACGGCGCGCGAGATCCGCGGGTGGTACGAGGAGGCGGTGTCCGCCGCGATGGGCCAGTACTCAGCGCACCCAACCAAGCCGCTAACGGAGCTGGAGGTGTTCATTGGTAACATTCTCAACAAGTCCGGGGTACAGACGCACCGGCAGCGCGACAGCAGCATCAAGCTCAAGGACGAAATGGACCGCATCGCGTCCTGGATCACGGGCCAGATGCGCAAGGTCAGCCACGACCCGGAGGTCGCGCCCCTGACCGGCTACCAGACCCAATTCGACAACCTGCACCTGTGTCTTGCGTGCGTGCACGCCGGCTGCGAGGACAACGCAAGACCCCGGGAGAGCAGGTACGAGGACATGCAGAGCTTCAGGGTCGTGGCGGCTTGTGCTATGCTGTCGGAGATTAACTTGTTTGAGAACGGCCAGCACCGCGGTAATGGCGCAGGTGGCTTCGTTGGCGTTAGTGGCGGACGACGAAATGCTGCTGCTGCGATGAATGGCAAGGGCAGATATTCCATGGTGCCGCCGCCGGCAGATACTCTTCCGAATTGAAGGAATCACGATTGCAACCGGGGAAGGGCGCTAATGCGCTGGTTTCCAATGGCGTGCTCGGGGCGAGGGAATAACAACCTCTGGGAGATTTAATATGGCGTTGGAGCTACTTGAGAAGCAGGCAACGTTCACTGGCTGCCGGTAGCAACGTGAGGGCAGGATCAGATCTCTAGTCTGCGATAAGGACGTGCTGAGCCTCAGGGGCTTTTGGTGGTGCCGGGAAATGGTGCGAGTTTGTGTGCAATTGTTTGCTACATGTGCGGCTGTTGAGACGGTACTGGCAGCGAGATGTGCAGCGTGTGTTTAGATGTCGATACCCAGATCAGCGATTAGCTATGATTGTTATGAATGTATGATAAAGTATTTTGAAGGGTCTGTTTCCATGGCTTAAGATGGGCCGCCTATGCTTGCTTTAATCTTGACCACCAGATTTGTGTTGTGCTCGACTACTAGACCATTTCCCAGCAATTGAGTCTTGGAGTTTATAACCGTGTTTCGTTTTCTCTTCGCTTCTACGTCCGGCCCGTCCATGACTGTAGCGGTTCAATGCTCCGTGGATTCCGCTCCAGAGCCAGATGGGTTTCCAATCACGAATACGTCAAACCTTGCTAAATGCGTCTCTGGCCTAGCTTGAAGTTACTTTTGTCTCGATGACACAGCATCATGCGGGAGTGTATGAACACTTTTTAATCTTTGTGAAACTTAAAGCGAACAGTTTCCCCTTTTCCTATCTCTAGTCTCGCCGCTTATCGCAGATGCCAATCATGTAGCCTAGACCAGTCGTCGGAAAAACAAGCCTTTCCTCTCGGCACCCAGGGTTGCACTCCCGGATTTCCAGTCACATGAGTATCCCAAACACTACCTCGCTTAGGCCAGGCCCTGGTTCCTCGACCCTGCAATATGGCTCGGAAAGTAACCGATTCGGGCGCCTCTTAGGGCGGTCCTGAGCGGGTGTGGGGAAACTGGAGAGACCACACGCCGCCGCGACGGGCCACGGCACTTCTCCCTGAAATGTCACCATCGAGGCACCACTTTGGGAGAGGAAAACACCCCCCACGGACTGCCCTGCCTCCGGTTCCTGAATCATGTGCCCTTAATATTACCAGAATCGGCGACGCTCCGGTACCTGAGTGGCTGCAGCGAGGCGGGTTCCCACCCCGGTCCTTGGCGTTCATCCCAAGTCAGCGGAATAGGGGGGGACAAACTTGGAGTCCAAATCCCACCAATCGACAACACGAGGAGGCGGAGAGTTGGGTTCGTCGGAAGGCACTGCCCGGATTGCGCTCGCACAACGTGCGCTCGTGTCCAGCGATTAAAGGTGTCATGCCACAAAGTGTTTATAATGGAGGCCAAGCCGTCGATCATCCCCATGCTGTGCACGCATGACATGTCCTAGTCCGTCCCACGGAGCGAACCGCGATCGACAGCAACCCACCTCAGCAGCAGCAGCAGCAGCAGCACGCACGCACGCACCATGTTTCTCGGCCGAGTCCTCCGGGGCCTGACGGCGGCTCTCCTGGCCACCCTCGCGGCCGTCCCCGCCGCCGCCGCCTACCCGAACCCGATCGCCTGCACCGGCTCGTCGTGCTGGTCCCATGACCCGTCTGTCGTCAAGAGGGCGGACGGGAAGTACTTCCGCTTCGAGACGGGCAGCAAGATCGGGATATGGAGCGCGAGCAGCCTGACTGGGTCGTGGACCTACCAGGGCGCTGCCATCCCGGCTGGGAGCTCTATTAACCTTGCTGGGAAGGACGATCTTTGGGTATGTTTATACGTCTATATTTACTCCTGAGAAATCCCAAATGAGACGGAAGAAGAATGATGCTATCCTCTTGTGATACTGGTTGCTTACAAGTTCGCTTAGGCTCCGTCAGTCCACCTCGTCGGCAGCACTTACTACCTCTACTACGCGGTCAGCGTCTTCGGCTCCCAGAGCTCGGCAATCGGCTATGCCACCTCCACGACAATGGAGGCCGGCTCCTGGACAGACCACGGCGCGACAGGTGTTGCAAGCACCTCGTCCAAGCCGTACAACGCCATCGACCCGGCCCTGATCCAGGCCACGGACGGGAGCTACTACCTGAATTTTGGGTCCTTCTGGGCCGACAGTAAGAAGCTTTCCGACGACCTCCTCTCCAATCTCTAGCAGGATTAGGGTTAGCACTGACGATACTCCCCCAAAGTCTACCAAGCCAAGATGAAGAACCCGCCTTCCTCGGTCGCAGCCTCAGCCACGCAGATCGCCTACAACTCCACGGGCAGCCACGCGATGGAGGGGCCCTTCGTCTACTACCGCTCGCCGTACTACTACCTCTTCTTCAGCGCGGGCATCTGCTGCGGCTACCAGAACACCAAGCCCGCGCCGGGAGAGGAGTACTCGATCCGCGTGTGCCGGAGCTCCAACGTCAACGGGCCATACACTGACGCCAGCGGGAAGAGCTGCACGGCCGGCGGCGGCACCAAGGTCCTCGAGAGCCATGGGAATGTGTATGGTCCTGGCGGGCAGGGGGTCTTGGTTGATACTGCTTACAGTGGTACTGTGCTTTATTATCATTATGGTGAGTTTTCTAAAGATAGTGGCGCGTGTGTTTTAAGACGCTGTAGAACGTGCATGCTAACTTGGGCGCTCCTTGGCAGCTGACACCCGGGTTGGACTGGCGGATTCGCAGTACCTGTTTGGCTTCAACCAGATCTCGTGGTCAACTGGATGGCCGGTGCTTGTCTAAAGCTCGAGGTTGCCCTGTCCCCATAAAGAAGTAAACTTCATGGACTGAAATTCATAGTGAAATGCAGAAAATAATTGCACTCGATTGAAATGGATTTTGGCTCTGAAGCCTCACAGGTGCACATGTGGGCCTTGTGTAAGAAGACTCCTTGCAGTGGGACCTGGCCAAGTTGCAGACTTATGTAGGCACCAACAGTCAAGTCGTGGCCCAATTGAAAGTGCAGCCCCACCCCTGAAAGAGCAGTCTCGATTCCCCCGCTCTCCATTACAATTCCGCTTTCGCTATGTTACTATGCCCATCGCCCCCCTCCCCAAACTCACCTGTCCTCTCTGAAGTTCTTACCAATGTTGCGTGCGATTCTACCGAGAGTACTGGATACCAGCGTGCCATTCTTGACGCAGCTCCCTCACGTGACACCAACTGTGAAGCCATCACACTCTTGGCTCCTAGCGTTCTCGTGATCAGCACCAACGCCCATCAGACGCCTCCGGCCGATCATTCAAGGCCAGCTCGGCAACACTATGGGAAATACCGGCGCTTCGAGCTCTCTACCGGCCCAATCATTGGTCTGCGATGTTTGTCAGGGAATTGGAGATATGAACAGTCCGCGCGGATATATCTTAGAACGAGCACCAGATGATGCTCCGTTCTCCCCGGAACGCTACATCTATACATATATACACTATGCGAATGTCGGGCTTGTTGTCGCATCTGCGGAAGCAGGGTGTGGGCTTTGCAAGTTGATGCCAGATTACTTGCCGATGTACCAAGATGACGATGAATCTCCACCAGCCCCGGATTCTACACAGCCAGACTCAACAGCACCAGTTGCGCAGTCGAATGACGGCGTCATGACAGCCACGGAACTTGCAGAATTCGCCAGGCGAGAAGGACTCTCTAATCCAGCTGATCTGGATGTTCATGGCCACGGAAGGGTTATCATACAATTCTATTCCAAAGAGTTTGGTCCACGCGACGGCAAGCGCTATGGTATGCACGAAGCATGGGTTCAAACAACCTCTTCATCGACGAATTTGAAATGCCATTTGTTCAGCAGCTCCGGTATGTCCCATTCTTGCGAAGAAATAACGAAGTCAATCATGTCTTTCTGACACGCCGTAGGCGACTCACTTGATCCCGAGTTAGAACACCGCCCTTCCAATGATCTCCTGTCAGAAGCCCACATCGGTCTCGTAAACCGCTGGAGGCATACGTGCGAAACGGAGCATGAATCTTGCAAAAAGTCCAGTGCCAATCGTCCGCAACCGTTGCCGAGCAGAGTACTGGAATTATTGGATCCGGGCGACGAGGAAAAAGGTGTGCGCCTGGTTGAAACCCAAGGAAAGATGCATGGGATATATGCATGCCTCTCTTACTGCTGGGGCAACTCGGAGACACAAATTGGTCAAACTACTCGTGAGAATCTGCAGAGGCAGCTCCAGGGCATCCCGTTTCGCGACCTACCGCATACGGTTGTCGACGCTGTACACATGTGCTTTAAGCTCGGCTTTCGATTCCTTTGGGTTGACAGACTGTGTATCGTGCAAGACAATATGTCAGACTGGTCACGGGAAGCATCTAAGATGTGTGACGTCTACAGCAGGTCTGCATTAACGATATCAGTCCCAATTTGCGAAGAATCTTCACAGAGCTTCTTAGCGGAGCGGCGCAAGGGGTACCAGGAGCAGAACCCATACTCCATCATCACATACAAGGAAAACGATTCGGATTTGAAAGGTAGTCTCTGGATGCTTCAGAAAGGTCAAATATTTCGTGCTGGCCCCTGGTTCCTGGAATCCCACATCGTCAACTATTGGATACATCCAAGTTATTCGAGGAAGCGCTGGTTACAGCGCGGCTGGACCTTTCAGGAATGGATGCTCTCGCCAAGGGTGCTGCATATTGATAGCATGACACTGTGGGACTGTTTCGTTGGTTACGCTAATGAAATAAACCGCAGACATATGACAACGCCAGTGCCCCCAAGAGGCTCAGGGGCTTTCGGGTTAAGTCTACCGTGGGAGGCGGTCGTAGCCGAGTACTCGCAGCGCGAGGTCACACACGAGAAAGACGTGATGCCTGCAATCGCTGGGCTTGCCGCCCGTTATGCTCAAGCCGCAGGCCATACTTACCTTGCCGGCCTGTGGCTCGAAGACATGCCACGCTCGCTACTGTGGGAGCGCACGCCCTTCGGGGAGCCAGACCGCCTGTATGGCAAAAGAAACGCACCCTCGTGGAGCTGGGCGTCTTTGGACGGACCTGTGGTTTACACGGCTCCTTTCGACGAAGATAAGGCTCCCTGGGAGGAAGAAAGCCGTCATACAGCAAGAGCCTGCATCTTGTCCGTCTTCTGCCAGTACGATCCGCCCGACTCATTCTCGGCGGTAGTGGGAGCATGGATCGACGTCAGCGGTCGCGTCAGCGCTGTGACGGAACAGGGCGAATCCAATGACAAGATCCGGGCTGGGGATACGTGGTGGCATTCAAGGCCAGACCAAGGGGAACCATTCCCGGATGATGTGATCGTCCAGGCCAATGTCTACTTGCTTCTTCTTACTTCCTGCACGTGGCAGGCGAGAGCTCACCATGGCGCCCTTGTCTTACAGGAGTGTGGTTGGGAAGATGACCGGCAGTGTTTTAAGAGATTGGGTGTTGCGTATCTGGAGTGTGAAGAAGAGAAATTGTGGACTCCAGAGTCTGGATTCTCATGGGAGGCCAGAACTCTTCGTCTCGTCTGAATTTCCGTAATCTATTAGAGTCTTTTTTGTTTCTCTTTAAGATCTCGTTGGCTGCTTACGGGATGGCTGGACAGTCCTGATCCTTGGGGACACTGCATTTCCGCAACAGGACCTGGAAGATGGCGAGGTTTGTCCAACTCTTCTCGAACACGCCCAGTTCACATCAGCGTCGCTCAGTCTCAATGACAACAATCTTGATAGCATAGTCTTTGCTGACGTAAAGAACTAGCTCACTACCCGGATTTCCGGCTTTCTCTGGACGACTCATTCATGATTTGCATATAGTCCAGGGCGACTCCCCGGACGGCCTGACTAGGCTCCGGGGATATCGCAAGATCCCATTCCCCAACCTTGCCAAGCAATGCTTTGCGCCGCTTCTTTTGTGCCCCATCTATCATTTAGGCACCGTGGAAACTTAAAGAATTCCCCCAGCAACAACGGAAAACTTATTCCAGGTGAGTGTTCAAGATCGGTCTCGCGAATCCAGCCGATAGAAGCAATGACACTGGTTTGCCTAAGCACCACCAAACTCGGAAATCAAATAGGTCAGCTGCTACGTAGCAAGGTACTAATTATCCCTCATCCAAATTTGTGCCGTCCCCAAAATCGCCAATAACAGGCCTTTAGCAATATCCTCACCTGTATACTCCCAGTTCCAGCGCCTGAGGCTTCACGCTTGCTGCGCTCCGAACTTCACACGAGTTTGTCCACCGAGACTCGAGGTCGTGATTCGGAAGCCCTGCCGGTACTCCGAGTCCAGGATGCAATTTCGCGGACGATTCGCTCGGCCGCGTGCTGGCGACCATCCCGTGCTTCCCTGTTACGGCAGCCGCCCCAAATTTGTCGCCATTATCGCGGCCGCATCAGCGGCCACTGCGCCCGCTGCCGCGACTGCGAAGCGATTCTAGCGAGAGTACACTACGAATCGTGCGTATGACTTTCTCCGGCGTCACCGATGTGAAGCGCAGCCACAGAGACGGGAGGTTCGCGGCCACCAGGGATATACCTGTCTCCAGCATGGTGAAGAAGAACGCGCTAGTTACGGCCTCTGTGAGTGAGAGCTCGTCAGCACCTTGGTCAAAAACAACGGACTTGCTGATTTGACCTTGAAAGCTTCGTACCTTCCTCATCATGATGGATAAAGTAGAGCGAGCCGCCGTTCTCAATTTTGATGTACTCGACCATGCGAGCCATAGAGGCCCCAAGCCCGATGAATACCAAGAGGAAGACTCCAACAATGCCGAGTTTCTTGGACGTCGATGCGTGGAGTTGCATGATACGGGGAATCGGCAGGGCCAGGATCCAGACGTCAAGTACGAAACACTTTGTACATGCAGGATAAAGACGGGTTTTACAAGGTGGCAGTGGAGATTTGAACTTGATGTCGTGTGCGCAAGGTCGAGGGTTAAGTCCTGTTTGCACTGGAGTCCGGTTCTCAGGACCTGGCCAGCTCCTTACTTGACTACACGGCTGACTTTCGAAAGGGCCAAAGCCAGTCATATTCTGCTTGTAGTGCTAGCCTTGACAAAATTGCAGATCATCTGGACATTATAGTAGTGACATACCTAAGTACGGAAGGTGACATGAGGAATGTCTGTGCAGCATGACAGGCTGAACTTTACGACGATGATTACCAGCTCACCGGCTGATATTGCTAGCTTGCTTTGACCAAACAAACGCTGAGCCTAGTCCGGTCGCATGATGGAGTCAGACTTTTATGAACAAAGAACAAGTTCGCGGCCAAAGAGATGAGCAGAATCGCGAACTGCGCAGCTGAGACGCGACTAACATCATGCCATAGCGGGGGATGAGAGGGAGGTTGGGAACAGGCCTCCTTTCCGCCCGCTTCGCTCTCGATCCTTATGTAAATGGTGTTGCTCATGATATCCAACCAGTGGAAGCTGCCCTCAGGCTGCCTCAGGATAGTAATTCAAGGTGACAAAAGGTTTTGGGCACACAAAGGCTTTGTGTCAACTGACACAGATTACAGTTATGCATCCTGCGAAAATGTGTTCAGTAGTCACCCTGGATTCGATATTTTACGGGGCCGATGGATAGTTCCCAAACCTGGCATTTCCATGGGTGAAAGATGATCCTTGGCTCCTGTCTTAACGGAATGTCGCATTATCGTGGCTTCCTGCCAAAACATTCGTGCCACTGTGTAATGCCCGCATGAAGCGAAGCTTTGTCACAGTACTTTGCTCCTGCAGGGTTGTAGTGCGGCTGTTCGGCATTATCCAAACTTGAATGCAACTGTATCACCATGTGAAATAGCGCCATACCATCATCTAAAGAGCGGCGTGGCATAGCACAGCAGATGAGGGTTGCGCGACTAACGCAACCCAGCTGCCAACATCTTTCAAAAGACTTGTTGATCACATCGGTATTCAGGACTTGACGACATCCTGGCATTCGTATCTGGGCGCGTGCAACGTAATCATATCCCGTCATCGTTGGCAGACACCGAAAGTTTGGGGTTGTACAACCCCGCCTGCCTTATCAGGTATTGGACAAGTTATCACCTTCGGGCGTTCTCAAGGGCTGTGGTTCCGCAACGTCGTCGGGGATCTGGAGCTTTCTAGCCGGCCAACAGTATAAGAGACGGCTCTGGCTGCGCAACTACTGACCTTCTGAGAGAGGCTCTGTCGAGGGGCAGCCTATCTGATCTTGTACTCGCTACCAACCATCCCCGTCCCAACAATCTCGTTAGTAAGAAAGCCGTTCTTCCACGACATTAGCCATGGCACAGGAGTCCTTCAAAGACGGCACCATTCCTTTCAAAATCCCCGGAAGGAGCGATATACCTTTCTTCACGTATTACAAGATCTTCGGTGACCTCTCCAGTGGGGCTCCACCAGTCGTGGTTCTCCACGGTGGGCCCGGCGCCGGCCACGAATACCTTCTGCCCTTTGCTAAACTTTGGCCGCAGTATGGCCTCCCAGTTATATTCTATGACCAGATCGGCTGTGCCTCCTCGACTCATTTACCGCAGACTGCTGGTGATGAGGAATTCTGGCAGGAGGCTTTGTTTATCGCCGAGCTAAACAACCTCCTTGATTGTCTCCACCTTAGAGACGGGCCTGGGTTCCATCTACTGAGTCAGAGTTGGGGTGGTAGTAAGTAACGTCCCAGCTGCTAAGCCCCAATCTAATGATAATATTCAATATAATGTTAAATGTTGATCCAAGAATGACGCTGACGTTTCTAGTGTTTGGTGCTACTTTTGCTGCCAGTCGCCCGAAGGGTCTACTGAGGCTCGTCTTGGCAAGCGGACTGGCCAGCAAAGACCTCTCTATTCGCAGCATCCAGCTACGAAGGGGCGAGCTGCCGAAAGAGGTTCTGCAGGCGATGGAGGAATACGAACAGAAACAAGACTATGAAAGTCCGGCTTATCTGGAGGCGCAGATGGTCTTCATCAAGACTTTTGTTTGCCGACAAGAGCCTCCGCCTCCCGAACTGCTTCCGGCCTTCAAAAATCTGCGAGATTACAAGACAATTTACAGCGCTATGTATGTTGTCGAATCTTCTGTCCTCTTCTACCCCTTCGTTTATTGGAGCTTTTCGCACTATTCTTGAATCCGTCGAGCTTATCTGAGCAGCTCGCTCCGTTCAAGTTCGGTTTGCGCTTCCTTCCTCATTCCATATTTATGTTGTTTGTCCGCCACACTCGAGCCTGCACCTGTGGTAAACTTTATTCCTCTATCAAATCGGATCGTTTACTCACAAAGTCTTTCTCGTCCTCAGGACCGGCCCGTCCATCCATGTACCCACCGGCTCGATGCTCGGATGGACAAGCCTCCCGAAGCTACCACAGATCACCGCGCCAACTCTTATTTACAACGGAGAGTACGACACGTCGCACGACATAGCTCAAGAGCCTTTTTTTGAGCTTATCCCTCGCGTACGTTGGGTCACATTCCCCGCATCAGGCCATATGTGTCATCTCGAGGGAGGAGGTCTAAGGGAAAGGATCCTGAAAGTCGTTGGTGGTTTCCTCGCCCAGAGCCGAGATACTGCGAGCGGCGAGCGTTGAGCTCATTCGAATGTATTCTAAGTGGATCACGTGACACCCGAGCCAAGCACATTGTCCCTGGAGTCTATATTATGTTATGCTGCTTCTCCATCCTTTTTGGTCGAGTACTTCCACTTCTTTATTATAATCTCAGCAGCCTAGACACGTTGTCAGCAAACAATTCTTTCCTCATCAGCTGAATGTAGCGTATGAGGAAAAATTTGAAGATTCACCTTCTCCCCGATTGCATATGCCGTCGTCGTTGTGTGAGCAGCCGGCACCGTCGGGATGATGGAGCAATCAGCGACACGAAGACCAGAAATACCATACACGGATAGACTGGAATCCACAACACCTCCCTTCTCTCGCGGGAGCATAGCAGCCGTGCAACAAGGATGCATAAGAGACTGAATGACAGTGTCCTTGACAAATTCAATCAGGGCATCGTGCTCAGTGACATTCGCGCCTGGAGTCACCTCAACGGCATTGCGCTCCTGCCAAGTGTGGGTGGAGTAGATCCGACGGAAATAGTCAACGTAGGTGGCCATGATGTCGAGATCGACAGGGTTGGCACCTGTGGCGTAGTTGACAATTGGAGTAGCATCGTGATCGGAAGAGTTCAGCATGACGCAACCGCGGCTGAGAGGCTTCAGCAGGAACGCAGTCCCAGGACCACCGGTGGCGAACGGCATTTCGAGTTTCGGGTGCTCAGGATGCTCTAGAGCTTGAGCAAGGATCTCGAGCTGGGCGAGGTAGCCATGCTGCACAGTTTCTGCGGCGGTTGATGGTAGGTACTGAAGAGCAGAGCGGTCTTCAATCTGCGCCCGGATGTCGGCGACGATGTTCTCCCATTGAGGAGTCACATCCTGGAGGGATTGGTAGGCGGCACTGTTACCCATGGCGAGGGTATAAGGACCCCGCGCGGGACGCTCACGAAATTGAGCAACGGCTTCAGCAGCGAAGGTCTCGTTTGTGTTGATGTCAGATTCATTGGGTGAAGGAGCGTCATAACCGAAAACAATCGGCACGCCACAGTGATCTTGAAAGTTCTGGCCTACACCGGGGAGGTCCTCGACAACCTCAATCCCCTCCGATTCGAGGTACTCGGCAGAAGCAACACCACTTCGCTGGAGGATCTGAGGAGTGTGAATTGCACCAGCAGAAAGGATGACCTCCCGCTTCGGACGGATGGTCCTCACATCACCGCCGGACATGGGACGGAACGCAACGGCGGGGACTTGCTCTCCCTTGTCGATGACTAGACGGGTGACCTTGTACTCGACGATGAGGTCGAGGTTGGGCAGGGAATCGGCGACGCGGATGTAGTGCCCAACACCGGCATGGGAGCGATGGACGGTTTGGGAGTTCTGGGCGGTTGGAACCCAGCAGAGGCCGTGCTTGTTACCGTCGTCGCATGTCCTGGAGTGGGAAAGGCCAAATTCTTCGTATGCGTCCCAGCCGATGCCTGGATGACTTCTCAGTGTCTATCGTAGTGCGGATGATATGCTTGCAGGTACTTGTCTAGGGGTGGCTTCACTTACGCTGTACGGGCCATTGGAAGGGTGGGAATGAGGCCTCGATCGAGTCACCGGTATAGAAGGAGGAATCCCAGGTATAGCCATACTCGTCGACAAGATCGTCGCTGGGCTCGGTGAGAAATAGAGACTGATATGTCGTCAACCACGTCTCGTGAATCCCTTCATAGCTTCATCTGGCAGACTCACCTTCTCGAAACTAGGGCCAAAGTGCTCCCAGTCCCAGCTGTCAGCGGCATCGTCGAATTCGGGGCTTCCAAGCCTCGCCCACTCATCATAGTCGTACTTTGAACCACGATCCAGGAACTGACCGTTGACGGCGGATCCCCCTCCAACAGTCATACCAAGGATGACGGTGGCAGTACGGTTGTTGACGCTGGCGACAGGAGGTGAGCTAATGACGAGACGGCTGGCACCGCGGCCATCCTCTGGCGGGTCGAAGAAACCAACGGTGCCTTCAATCTTACCGTACTCGATGACTAGGACGCTCGCTGTTCAATCCGTGTTAGTAGACACCTCCGATCTGAATAGCTTCGATATCGCAATCGAGATAAGCAATTAGTCATAACTCACTTTTTGGGAGAGCAGCCGAGACTCGATGAGCAACAGTCAAACCTGCAGTACCACCACCGATGATGACAAAGTCGTACTCATCTCGAAGCTCGGTTACCTGTCTCCTTGCGAATGACCGGGCGCGACTAGGAAGAGCCTCCACCACAATTGAGATAATGGACGCTCCAACGGCGAAAGCCTTCACAAGACGCATGTTCTCAAAGAGCAGTGGGAGGGATATGGAGAAGAGAAAGAAGAGCGCTTGGTAAGAATACGTTTACTCTTGCGAAGGAGAAGACATTGAGGCTTCGGGTGTTGAACGCATCAGCGTGGTTGTGGACTAAAGCTGCTTGTCCCTTTGTTGTGTAGTAATATGGTCAAGACAGATACTCGAGCGTCTTTTTCGGCTCCCAGCATACCCTAGCCAGTTGTAATTTTTTATGAACACACAATTCTGTGATTAGTAAGAGTGCTTTGGGAGTAAGCTGCCAAGGCTCCATGACCCCTCGTGACTGCCTGTTGTGCTACGTGTCTGTGGTTATTATTCCTGTCTCCAACCAGCCGCCAAGACGGAGATACAGAAGGACAATCAAGCCCAAGGTCAAGTCAGGCTGCGACAACTGCAGGTGAGTGATTCCCTATTCGCTGCTCTTCCGAGCCGTATAAACTCTTTTCTTGTCCAAGTAAAAAATTATCTTGGCCATGTGGCCTTGACATGTGCCGATATCGTGCCTAAGTCTCTGCAGGCAGAGAAGGACAAAATGCGTGCGAGCATCTTAGCAACCTGGACTTTCACCGAGGAATCCAACAAACTGCAGTAAAAAGTAATAATGAGACTCTTGTCTAGATATTTCTACCTGTAGATGAAAAGCTGATCGTGAAATGTGTATTGTTGTCCCTCGTCAATGGACTTGTTGCCATCTCTGTAAACACTGCATGGTATGCTACTAGGCCCATGGCAGCGGGTTCAGCAGGCTCACAACAAAATACTGAGAAGGGACTGAGGTTAGCCCTGCTGCCAAACCGAACAAGTTGGATCTTCGAGGAACTTGTCAGGTTGAACTATTTTAGTCTAACTAAGCTACTTCGGGCAACAATTGTCATATGTTTTGACCTTGGCTGCGTTTAATGTCTCCGCTATGTCTCCATGTGGGTTGTCTTTCCTTCATGGAACCAAAGTATGCGGTGGGCTTATATTTTAGAAGCAGGCACGAAGGCGTAAAAAGGCGTTCCTGCCGTCGAGAGCCTAGAATTGAGCATACTTAATTCGCCACAAGTCGTCACTTAACAGCCTAAAATACGATGAGCCTTATCTTCACAGCCACATCATCTTCTGATTTAATATACCTGGTCGGAATATCCTTAAAGTTATATGTGGTTCAACCTCTAATATCAGTCAGCAATAATTAGACCGGCAGTCGTGGACAATGTATAATCTATTAACCGTGTGCCTGAGAGCCTCACTAGTCGCGAGCTGTGACCTGTTATCCAAAGCCCCGGTCGGTCCGATTTCAGGATTACTCATCACGATGTCGATACGACATAACCTGTGCTTAAAAGAACCAAAGAAACTGGTCAGACTTGATTCCGGGGTTCTTTGCGTGATCCGTTGCCTCGTTGACGACATTTCGTACCACCTTTTCGGACGCGTTAAGCTTGTCACTATATGTGCAGGTGGCGTCAAAGAAGACAAGAAGTGCTGAATCGGAAGCAAGCATTCTGCCTGTGATGTCTGCAACGACGGAGCCTGTCAGACTTTTCTGTGGTCCTGCTTTTCTTGAAATGCGGGAATAAACCCTAGTGCCTCACTTTAGGCAAGAATTTCATTCCATTTGTGCGTCCCAACAGCTGAAATAATCGCACCAAAATGTGGACGCAAAAACAGCGGGCTATCTGCGACGGATCTCTGAGCTGTATATAGACACAATCCACGGCGTGGGATGCCGGCTTCTGACGTGCTAAATATACATATGCGTTGCAGATCTCTAGTGAATTGGTCTGGCCGGCGAAAGCGCCATTGGTCATGTCTCGTGGCAATGCCGCAGAATGGGATCATCAACTGACCGTTTCAGGCTCGCTTCTGCAGTCAGCATGTACACTGCCAGAGTGGACATATTTTTGCGTATGTGTCTCTGATTGGTGTGGATCCCGCGCGTAACACGAGTCCCAGCTGAGTTCTTGGCTGCGTCACAATGGCTGTGCAAGGCGACATAAAGCTGTCCTTGAGGCTCTACTTCGCAAAGACCATGTTCAGATGCGGCGTTCGAGGATTTTCCGCATTTCATGTCTGGCTGTTCGTCGTGGCTGAATCTCTGAATATGCGAATATAATATCTGCCCAATGCTTGACTGGCCAAACAGCCCAACAGTCACATGTCGCAGCGGCATTTAATGAAGTCCTCCAAGACAAGTCGAATTTAAAGCCGGTCACTCAATACTGAGCTTGCCCTACCCGGAGGGATGTCGCATCAAAATGGACGCACACACACCGAGAAGAGCTCCATCGCCATGCTCAACGTTCTCAGCAGCTGACCGGGGCGAAGACACAATCTCCACAGTCTCTTTCCCAGGAACCAAAGACAGCAATGAGACTACACACACAGCAGATTCTGATCCACGGACCCTATTCACCTTGGGGAACAACACCTCGGAGGATTGCATCCCCAAGGATGGGATCAAGTCCTATATGAGTGCAACTCATCAGCAATCCGATTTTCAGCATGGAAGAGACCCGGTCGAAATGCCAAAAAGTGTCTGGACCAAAAACAGGAAGCGAGCATTTGGTCATTTTTTGGCCATCCACTTCGTGCCCGTCGCGATCACCTCGGTCTTGTTCTGGGTTTACCTTGACGGTTTCCAGTGGAGGGCAAACGACATTCAGTTGAAGACCTTGCTATTCGCTGCCAAGCTGCACGAGTATTTGATAGTGGTCTCGCTCGGCGACATTTTATTTCACCGCATCCGTTATAACCTGTTGACCAGCCGGGGCGTTTCGTTCGGTCTTTTGGTCTCCCCATTCCGCGTCTCGGACCCTTGTTCCCTCTTTCAGAGTCCCTTCATGGCCTCAGCAGGATTTACACTAAAGAAGGCACCAGAACTCTTCACAATCTTACTCGTTGTTGTCGTCTCCGTCTTGGCGCTGCTTGCTGCCCCAAGCTCAGGTGTTCTCATGACCCCGAGGTATGATTGGTGGCAGATTCCCAATGGCGAGGGTGCCATGGCACGGTTCAAGAAACAGGACCTGGATGATGCAGTCTACATCGGAGCACTATTTGAGGATTTATTTCCTTTGCTCATAGACGGCCGCTTTGTGCCGGACAGTGCCAGAGACACTCGCCTTGAGACAGCAAGCTTTTCCGACCGGTTCGAGCACATACTATCCGGATTGGACCAGATCCTAGTTGACGGGAGCTTGGGGGCGAATGCGAACGTCACGGTCGTAGACGGTGCGACAGTCGATTCGTTCGCGCTGGCCTACCAGGAGGAGACTCTGGACGACTGCGAATTCAAGACGTGCCAGAGAATCGCTAGTATGCGGAATACAACTGTGGACGAGGTCCACGCAGCCGGTATTGACTGCCTTGACATAATTTGTCAGTCAGTCGCTGCGCAAGCCACGGCGCCATTGGCGATTGTTACGCAAAAGCTATTCGACCGATACCGTACTTGGATGTCGGAATCATCGAGCATGTTCATGATTACGGCTCAACCACTCGACCCGGAGGAGGCAGATCTAACTTGGCGCCAACCGTCTGTCTCGACGCAGTGCAGCACTGTACTACACGACGGCCCAAACAAGACGCTTCCTATTTCTTTCCAGAACTGGGGCTCCTTCCCAAATTTCTCTATCTGGCCAGATAGTCCACTGCTGAAGCAGCTCAAGGAAATGGAGGACCAAGGCTCACCAATTACGACATATACCGATATATCCCGCCTCCTACCTTCTGGAGTCACTGCTTCCACAGCATTACTCATGTATGGTGGAATGTATGGTGGAACCCAGGCGCTCAATCCTGCAACCTACTTATGTTTGGTCGACGCAAGATGGATCGAGTCCCACGTCTGGTTCACGGCACCTTACGCGACAATCATGCGATCAGGCATTGCAATGGAGTCCGTGCAGGTCACCACTGGGTTGAATACCAGTACGGCAACCACTAGCCCTGTCATAAAGATCACGGACGAATATGCCAACTCGCTCGACACCAACCTCAGTGTTTCCTCGACTTACAATGAGGGTCCGGGCAGCGCAGCTCAGAACAGCCCATTTGACTTCATACAGCGGTACTGTAGCCGAAGCGTTGCGTATCGTCTGCGGCCCAAGTGCTCGATTCTCGCCCACACACTGTACATGACGGATTCTCTCAGAAGAACACAATCGCTCTTCAGGTACCACTCGTCGAAGGGGCTCCGAGAGTCTGACAATATTTCGTTAGATCCGGATAAGTGGACTAAGCTCGACTACCGGCTGTACCAGCAACTGCACGCCTACAAGTTCGAAGGGTCGATCATAAAGCTCTCAATGACTGTTCTGTTAGTACACATGATGCTTGTCTACGCTCACCTCCTGCTACTCGCAGCAGGCGACGGCTGGTGCAGCAGGGCATGGTCGGGGCTTGGGGAGCTGATAGCGTTGGCGATCCTCACACAACCAAGCCCACTGCTGCAGAATGCTGGAGGCGGGATCAAGAACTGGCAAACGTGGAAGCTGCGAACTTTTGTAAGGGAGGTCACTCCTGAGGGAAGGCTGGAGCTCGTTCTAAAGGAAACCGTGGGTTCTCCGAGGGTGCTGGTGGAGCTGGAGGACGGGCAAGAAACGGCCTTGGTTGAGCCTGAAGCCGACAGAAGGTACGGCTGAGGGCACAGGAGACAGCCAACTTGGGCAACTGTGCATTTTGTATGAGAAACGCTTTCGTGGGAGACTCGCCTACTCAAATGATATTAATATCAATGCCCCGCATCATGGAAGTAGTGGGAGCTATCACGCCTGTCTCTCAACTGCTGTCCTACTCCTTTTCAAACAGCAAGCTTCTGTTGCATCTCGTCAAGGACATCGAAGCGGGCCCTAGTGCCCACCGGCACCAAGCCGACGACATCCGACAACTCGGATTGCTTGTCGAAGATATTGTCAAGACCCCACAAGGATTCTCAGGCATGCGAGAGGAAGTCCTCATCCCTACAGTCATCGATGTGGCAGTCACTTGGGGGGGGGGGGATCCAGTGAGCAGGAAGTCAGCCACTTGGGCCGTGCGTCTTCAGAAAGGGTGCCCAAGGCCCCTTCTGCACCCAAAATGTAGCCAATACGCCCACGCCGGATACACACAGTCGCATATTTGCCAAAAAAAACCATTCCCTACTGCCACAGTGGGGGCCTGTTGAAATAAAATCTTGGTACTTGTCAAGTACTCAGGTGGGCTGTGCAGGAGGGGCTAGCTGCCGTGGAGTAAGAATAACAGTAACCTTGAAAATCTACACCCACCCACTCACTCCCTTTCTCTCTCCCTCAATGGATGCACTCAAACCCTCATGGCTTTTTCATTCAATCTCAAGATCAACGCGCTCTGCGACAACGGCGGCACAGCACTCGACGTGAAGCTGGCCACGACTCTGAATGAGTTTCTCCAACCGCAGTCCGATATCTCGATCCATGACGCGGCGCAGTCCATTCTGACTCTCCTGCCGGCGGACAAGCCCTATTCTGACGAGGGCTTCACATTCGCAAGTCTCGTCGTGGAGGTCACCGTGCAGATCCCATACCAGCACCCCACCCACGCCAGGCTGGTGCGGCTCCTGAAATACCTCACCCGGTCGCCGAAACTAGTATCCCGATCGACCATGGAGGGGGAGGAAGAGCTTTGTGTCAACTTCCAGGCCCTGGGCGAGCAGCTCAGAGACAACTTCCAAGGTAAGCCATTGGTCGACGGCGATCGACGGACTCTGTTCGGTTGAGCGGGTTGACCTGACGATGGGCCCAGGTCCCGAGGCGGAAGAGACGCCGCTCGAGTGGGTCAACTACCACGCCTTCCTCGCACAGCTCGAGGCTACAGGTGTGTGGACGACGAGGATGCCCACGTTTGCGGTCTGGGAGATGCGTGATGCCTTCGAGACGGAGAGGGGCGGGGAGGGCGAGGGTCAGCTAGCCAGCTCCACGAGTACCATGTCATGGCGGCTGCACAGTGGATCCTCTGGGATGGTGAGGAGATCTACAAGTACATGGCAAGCCCATTTCCCGTCAGCGACGCCGAGGAGAAGACGTGGCGGCTTGGGGATTCCTGCACTCTGTCGTCGGTGCCCGTTGTCTCTCTGGCGAGATGGCAGTTCTGGAAGGAAGGGTTTAAAGCTGCTGGTGCCGAGGGTGGCGAAGGGTCGCACGAGTGAGAGGATCTGGCCGGGCGTGCTGCCGCCTTGATGGATGTCATTGAGAAGAGCATGTCTTTCTAGCATATGCACAGCATCGTCATACGGTCTATCCTTTTACTGTCTTGTTCACACACACAGATCTGGCTTTTACGTGACTATCACACAAATATGTATTCGATCTGCTCATTTATGTAGGAAGTCCTCTGAAGAGGTTAAATTGCATCTAGAGGTATGCTCCACTGGTATACAGACGCCGGGTGTATGATTAAGCCTACACATGTGTCGACAAAATTGCCCGGCCTTGAAAGACAGCAATGTTTCGCAGCAGACTCAGTTAGACCCACTATGGGCCTATCGCCAAGCTGCACTGTGTGTGCACCGCTCCCAGCTGGCTCGCATTCGGGTCTGACTAAAGACAAGGACAGAAGTCTCGGCCACGTTCCAGGCACCATACACTGTTGTCATGCTGAACATCTGACATTTGATATGAGAGTGTGAGTAGCCAGCGTGACTCAATGTATTGACAAAAGTTGCCTGAGCATAAAAAATTGCTGTTTTTTCGTTCCGATTTCTAGAAGTTTGACTTGTTGCGCAAAAAGAACATGGAGCATGACAAACAGACGACTCAGACCGAAGATTTTGCCCCCCGATTCCGCCACAGAGCAATGAGAAAGAGGTCGCACCGCCAAAGGATCAGACGCAAGGCTTTGCAGCGAAACACGCGTCCTACCTAAAATTTCCAAAGGACAATCCCGACTTTGACGAGCTGGCAGAAGATATACGAAGAGGGCAGGCATTCGAGGCAGGCCTGGCGAGGAGACGCGAGGGCAAGGAGACTTTCTTCTTCTACGGGACTCTGATGGATCCTGCGATCGCACAAGAGGTGCTGGGACTATCGGAGCCTCCGGTTCTAAAGCCTGCTTTGCTCAAGCATCGGGGTCACCTGAGAATGTGGGGCCCCTATCCGGCATTTATGGCGAACCAAGACCCAAGAGTGGACGTCAAGGGAGTGGCCTGTGAGATCGAAGGGACTGAGAAGAAGGACCGGCTGGCAATGTATGAAGGCGATAAGTACGACGAGGCCAAGTGCTTTATCAATCTTGTCACCGAGGATGGCGAAACGGACTTCATTGTTGCGAGGGTTTTCGATTGGATTGGGGACGAGGACGAGTTGAGCGATGGATCATTTGACCTAGAGGTATACAAACTGGCCAAGGCAAAGCTCTACCATTGCAAGGTGTGAGAACACGGTACAAGGCAAGTGCGAGGTAGAGAGAAAATCAGGTTCAGTATTTGAAATAGAAGGCCCTTGTCGCAGCTCAGATTATCCGCCTTAATCTTGGTCGAGGAGGAGCAGACAGGCGCACAGACCGGGATATGAAAGCCGGTGGGTACAAAACATCTGTATGATCGTTATCAATAAGAGCATCGCATGAAAGAACATCCATAAGGAGTGGTCTCGAGCAATCCACGCCGAGCAACCTTTGGTCGAATCCCTCCTTGAGTACCGGTACCAATACCTTCGATCCTGGATTTGAACAGTGCATTAGCTACCTGCCCAGAAATTCCCGAGAATCCGCTGTCTCATCAGCCGTTAATTATGCAGAAATGCTTGTTCTCGGTACGAAAAGTCCGCACGACGGGCCGTGAAATCTGTACCCAAAGAGCATCAGATGTTTGCAGCCATGCGCTCTCTAATCAGATCTGCGACCCGAATGTTTCCAACACGCTCCGCGCACATAAGCGCATTGTTTCCTTCATTATCTGTGTGACCAATAGAAACACCAGGAACCTTCAAGATTTCCTGAACAGCCTCCACGTTCTCGCCAAATCGGGGTTTGACGGTGGCCGACAATATGAGCACGCTGCGCCCCTTGTTGTCCACCATATTGATATCAGCCCCAGCATCCGTCAGTGGGCACAAAGTCTGCTTCACGCAGACATACTCTCTGGAAAAACACTTTATTAGTGCAGTTTGGCCCAAAGTGTTGGTAACATTTGGGTTTGCGCCAGCCTTCAACAAGGGGCCGACGGGTCCGTTGTGTTTGGCAGCGTACATCAAAGCCGTATTTCCGAGGTTGTCATGCGAATCCACGTTAACACCAGCTCCAATTAGCGTAAATACCATCTCCGATGCGATGGCTTGCCTGTTGCTATTATTAGATGAAACCAGCATGAGCAGAGTAAGACCGTTGGCGTCACGCTCATGAGGATCCATACCTGCGCTCAACAGCGTCCTCAAAGTCATAGGGCTGTGAGAAGACAAGGAAGCAAACCATAGGGCGCTGTGCCCGTGGCAATCGCGCTGGTTCGGGTCAACTCCAACGTCCAATAGTAACTTCACCGCCTGTTCGCCGTCTTTACCGCCCACCTTTCTAGCAAGCATCATAGCCTTCCGGCCCTTTTTGTTCGAGCCCTGAGGATCTGTCCCAGCAGTCAAGAGCAACTGCAAAAGCGTCCAAGCTTCTAGGCAAACAGAGTACATGAGCAAGGTTTCGTGGTCGTTGGCGAGTGCAGAGGTATCCCCACCCGCGTCCACCAATGCTCTGAACAATTCACCATGTTGGATTTTGTGAGAGCGTTGGGCAAGATAGAACAACGCATTCCGCCCGGCAGCGTCTTCATGGTTGGGGTTGGCCCCAGCATTTAGCAATTCCCCCACTATTGTTAAGCATGAAACCCAGTGCATGTCGCGGATGGCCAACATCAACGCGGTCTGTCCCTTGTTGCTGGGAACATCCGGGCTAGCTCCACAACGAAGCAATATTCTCAACTTGTCAAGTCGATAATCCCAACCGGAAGACACTCGCAGGAGAGCAGTCATCCCCTCGCTGTCATACTCGTTCGGATCCGCGCCAGCTTTCAACAAAGCCTCGAGTGTGGAGAGACTCATCCTGTCAATTCCACCGTACGAAACAAGGGCGATCCTTTGGGCTCGCTGGGCAACTGATGCATCAGCGCCAGCTTCGAGCAACAGCCTGACGTTGTCCGGGCGGGGGTACCTCATATCTGTGGCAAACAAAAGTGCTGTGTCTCCGTCGTGCGTTGAAGCACTAACGTCTGTTCCTGCTTCCAATAGCATTCGAGAGACGTCTTGGTTCTCCTCTTGTAATACAGCGCTTCGAACTTTTCCAATCTCGGTTCTCATCCCAGCCATCAATGCCGTTTCTCCTCTTTCATTTGTCAGGTTGACGCTTGATCCACTATCGAACAACAGTCTTGTGAGACCTTTGTGTCCTCCTGCAGCAGATAGCACAAGTGGCGACGTGCCATCTGCCGTTTGCGCGTTCACCGCAGCACCGCTTTCAATCAGTAACCTAGCCGCGTCAAGTCGCCCATATTTAACCGCCGACACAAGTGCTGTTGTTCCATCTTCCGAGGTTGCACCTACATTGACGCCAGAGTCGATCAGGATACGTAGAACGTTGCAGTGACCGGATGAGGCAGCGCATATAAATGACAGGTCAGTCTGCGGATCTGCGCCGGCAAATAGCAAACTCGCCACGATATCAGCGTGCCCTTCGGCGGCTGCATACGTGAGAACGCTCCAATTTCTGTTATCTTTCAAGAGCACGTTGGCGCCATTGTCGCGAAGAAGCCTCACCATCTCGCCATGACCGTCGCGAGAGGCCAACATGAGAGCGGTGGAACCATCACGGCCTTCGGTATCAACAGCTATCTTCGACTTCAACAAAGCCTTCGCGATGGCAATGGATGTGTGCTGATCATCGCTGTGCCCAAGGCTAGCAGCGACATGCAGGGCAGTAACCCCTTCAGGATTCATGAGATGTGGGTCGGCACCAGCTTCGAGCAACATTGTTACCGCGGCTTCCTTCCTGGCCCGAGCAGCCTTTATGAGTGGTGGACCGCTAGCATTGACACCGTCAGGCCTTGCAAAATCCAAACGCTTAATCAGAGCGTCGGGGACGTCCCTGCTATTGCATGCAAGCTCAAGTATCGTGTCTCCGTATGCTGTTTCACGATGCAAGTCGGTGGCGGCTGTGTCTAGCAGCATGTCCAGAACCGTCCAGTGCTCACCCGCTGCTGCGCATATTGCGGGTGATCTATTCAGGTTGTCAGCGATGTCTGGGTCGCAACCAGTTTGCAGAATAGCTTCACGATGCTTTCATGACCACGAGAAGCCGCTACGTGCAGCGCCGCGCGCCCTCCGGTGCCCCACAAGTCGTTGCCGCCTCGCCGATCCACATCGACTCCAGCTTCGCACAACATGTTCACGACCGTGTCCATACCATATTCGCAAGCGCGCATGAGAGGTGTCAGATTATCCAAACTTCCCGGGAGATGTTCAGGATTCGCTCCAGCTGCCAAGAGAAGCGCCACAGTAGGCGCGGGATCTATCGTCGAGGGATAATGATCTTTGTGGAATGATGGTAAAAATACAGGGCTGAGCCGCGCGAAGTGCATATCGATTGCTGCTGTTAATGCAGTGTGCCTGTATGTCTGCTTTGGCCTCAATCAGTAGCCTAACGATGGGCTCGTGGTGCCCTCGGGCGGCTTCCAACAGAGCCGTAGTGCCATACGTTGATTCATTCGGGTCGAGGCCGGATTCGAGTAAGGCAGACACGTGTTCAAGATTTCCTTTTGCCGCGGCATATTGCATGCCCGTCTTCAGCTCGCATTTGAACACATCCAACTCGCGATCCTCCCGATGATGCTCAACCCGTCCTCTTCGTGCTCTCATGTAGGACTCCATGAGGTCATTGTTCCTCAAAAGATGCACCTCGACAGCCAATTTTTGCGAGAATTCGTCGTCATTAACGCAAGACTGCGTTGCGCTGGCATGGTCCTCCCAGTGTCTTGCGGCGTAGCTGAGAAATGTAGATCGATGAATGTTGGACGAGAGCTTTTTATGATCTAGGCCCTTCCCGTAGCATGCAAACTTAAAGTCGTCGATGCCCAAGAATGAAACACAGACATTCGACAAGACTCGATGTGGATTCCGAAACAAGTGCCGAAGATTGTGAGAAAAGTACTCCTGTGTGGTATAATGGACCAATCTGACGATCTACAACTCTTTATCCAGGGCGACGAGTCCGGCACAGAGCGACAAAAGTTCCATCACAGGCACAATGTTGTCGGGATCGAGATATCTTTCTCCCAGTTCAACGGCGAGCGCTGCTTCCAGATCAATCTCGCTGATGGGTCGCTTAGCATGCACTAACCAAGCGAGAACTTGTTGCGCAAGCTTATAGTCGCTCTCCGACTGGTCGGAAATTCGCTTCATGGCCCCGTCATATGCCGTATCGTATGCGCTGGAGCCACTTGGTAATGTCCCGAGAGTGCTTCTCATGGCTTTGAGGGTCCTCTTGTCCTTCAACGAGTCAATGTGAAGCTTGGCAAGCAAGAACATGCCTTGGGTCGACGTAACGATCGCTTGAGTGATCTCTGTTTGGAGAGGTAAGTTGTTCTGCACGCAACGTGGGAGCTCGCTCAGTCGATCCGTTGTGTAGCTTTCGATGTCTACGTCGGAACCTCTGATTTCTATTGAGTGATCGTCTTCGAACTGAGCTTGAATCTCTGGTATGAATCGTGACGTCGCGAGGAGCTTTATTCGGGCTTTCCGTAAACATCGGATTGTTGAGATCAAGCCCTTCGTATGCTGCACTGCACCCTCGTCAAGCGCATCTACAACAAAATAGACGCAACTGAAGGAGTCTACCGCGGCCTGAAGCATTTTTCGGCTTGGGGGGTATACACCTTCCCTTCTCGGCACGCTTGAAATCTCCCTGAATAGAACCGGGTGCGTCCACAAGTTGACTAACCAGCTGCCGTATGAGGCTGCCAAGAAGTCGCTCTGTTGACTGTGTATCCCGTAGATCGTACCTGAAGTACAAGAAAGCCACGGCAACCTCGTCAGTTGACACCCGAGGGGTTTGAAACAGGTGGCGAACGACCATGGCAGACATCACTGTTTTGCCTGCACCAGGCGTGCCGACACAAAACAATGTGTCCAATGTTCCGGATTCCCATTCCTTGAATTTGGGATCGTGCAACAGCCGCATGCCGGTACCCTCCTTGCATCGTGATACGTTATCCTGCTGCTCTTTGATGTGACCATGATCGGACAACCACTCCATTAACTGAGCCTTGTGCTTTGCATGTTCAGTAGAACCAGCCTCGGCGTGAATAGATTCGATCTGGCTTGTGTTTTGTAGTATAGCCGAGGACAAAGCAGACTGCTTGTGAGCCTCAGTTACCAAAGTGGCAAGCTCAGTGGTGTGGTGCTCTCCTGTTGCTCTAATGACTGCAGTGTCGTTTTTGATCTTCGACGTTATGCTGTGTATTGCCTCAGACAGTTTGCTGCTTGTATGTTAGCACATTGGACTTCCTTGCCCCGACCTTAGCTTGCTAGGGGAGCAGAAGACATACAAATGGTCCTTCTGCAATGCAATCACGATCAAACTGTTCAATCGTTCCATCTTTTCCAGAATCTCTTTGACGTCATCTTTGACGAACTTCCAGGTTATACGCTGGGTGAGCTTCTCGCGAAGGCCAGTCCCAGGCGCCACTTTCTTCTTAAACCTTTCCACTGCAGTCTAGTACTGCTGCATGGGTCCACGCTGGAGGGTTTGAACGGACTCAAACCATGGGTCCCCATTCTGCCCACCTTTTTTCGCGACGTGAACGGCAAGACTCGTAAGCAGCTCAGTGAAATCAGGTGCTTCGCGGTTGTAGTCCTCGATATCCTTCCCAGCGTCATGGACGCTTTTCAAGTAACCTAGCACCGTGTAAGTCAGGTCGGCTACGGCTATGATGCCAGACACAACGCCTAGTGTCTCTGCCATTGCCGGAGAGGACTGCTAGGACTTCTTGCATGGAAATAAGCTTGAAGGCAATGGGACAGGTGTAGAGAACTGACCCCTGCTGGGGCTGAGGATATCTCCAAAAACGCCTATCACCCCTCGTCGCTGAATCGATACGTCGCTCGTCACTATTGGGGCGATGCCCTGCAGTCAGCCTGTTTCAACGTGCTGCATGTCGCTCAGCCACAGTGCGGCTGAAGCGCTAGGATTAGTTGCAGTAGGGACTAACCCTTTACCTCTTGTCATCCCTGCTACGAGTAAAGTAGCGTAATGGCTCAATCTACTACCCATAATGTGTTCACTATAGAAGGTTATGTATATGGTGAAACTAAGATTCCGCTGGTCTTGGTTGTCGTGAAAACGTATACTTTATGAAAACATCCTAACAATGGGATCAGTAAGTTAGGCGGGAACTTGTTTGCTTGGCCAGTATCGTGATGGGTCACCTCGTCGATGGAAAGCCGCAAGTCGTTTCGAGGTTAAGCATTCTCCGTCATGGGCGGTCTATGATGGAACCTTGAGAAGTGGGTACCAGGGAATTAGGCGGGAACAATACTGTACGGTCACGTACAAAATCTTGTGATGAAAAAAGCCGAGGAAACCCCCAGAAGATGCAGGACGGTGGAGCGCAACCTATCCACCCAGCATGGCATGCTCATCAATGATTATGAGAAACATTGGCTTTCCCTTCCGTCACGCCCGCGCCGCAGTAGAGCACGTCGAGTGGATGAGATCTTCGATGTCTGTCCTCTTCGACGGTTTCATGATTCGGCATTCTACAAGTACTTCCACATAGCTGAAGGAAAAGTGGCTGGCTCCCCGTTGTACCATGCCATCCCGGGCCTACACTGTCCAATGAGGCACTAGTCCCCTAATTAGGCCAGGATCTGCACCCAAAATTGCCAAGCGTAAGCAGATTAGCAGATTAGAATCCATCGTCAGCTCCCAGGGGCTGGCCTGAGCTGATTCCAATCTCGGCTTTTTCCACTTCTCTCTTCCCCTCTTCACATACACATGAACACCTCCCACGCAAGATACGGTGACACCTTCGCGTCCGACGAAAACGTCGCTCGACCAACGCTGCAGAGCTGTTAGGGCCACCCAGGCCAGCCTTGACGGATCTCAGGACTCTATCCGGTGTACACCAGGACTGCCAGGCAGCCGCCCAGCGTAGCTGCCCGTCGCGGCGCGCAAGCGCCGAAACCACACCAGACACGCCACACATGCTCTACGTACACAATGGCGACCTCGGACCTCCAGAACAGCTATGGCCCGGAAATGGCCGTTAGGGACCACGATCTTCCCCAGGCCGTGGTAGGCAACGGCCTCGAACCGATGCACCCGGGCCAGCACGCAGCACTAGCACCGCCCTACAGCGAACAACACGCGAAGAACAACCAATACAACGGCAGTCCCCCGGGAGCCCCCATGCAACCAGACGGCACGGGGCGGAAGAGGAGGGTTCTCGGTCTGCCTGTCGCGCTGTTTTGGGGCATTGTGATAGGATTGGTACTCATCCTGGCGATAGGGTTGGGCGTCGGACTTGGTGTGGGACTTGGCCAGCGAAGCAGCAGCGGAGGAAGCAATGCGGCGACTACCAGTGCGAGCGCAGATGCGGCGACGACGTCTGCCCCGACAGCAACGTCATCGACGGCGAGCAGTAGTACAACAACGTCAACGACCTCTGCTACATCTGCGGCTGCAACGGCGAGGAACGTGGAGATTTGCAACCAGGCGTCTTTGAGCACGGACTGCACAAACCTTACTGTGCCGGTGAACACATGCGGTATGTCTCCATGCCCCTCTGGACCGTTGCAAGTTACGGGTTCTCAACGTAGGTTAATGCTGACACATGGTTTTGGGTTCATCAGTGGACTTTCCATCGGCGTACAACGATAGCGTTAGTTCGGTGGATACAGGAGGACCCGAATGCGATTTTTATACGTACGCTTATCCACCTCCCTCCCTCCCTTTTTCGTCTGTCGTTCGAAGGATCACCCTGTTACTGCAGCTAACATGATATGATGGATTAGCGGCGAGACTTGCACAGGTAACTCTTGGACTACGAGTGGGACGAATTATCTTATCCCTGGACAGTACAACGATGATTTCAGTTCGGTGGCTTGCATGGTGAGCTAATGGGAAGTAATGTGATGTGTGCCAAAGCCACACACGTCGGAGGTGGGAATAGCGGAGCGATTACACTGTGTAAGAACGAGAAACGTGGCTTCTGCTGCATAAATTAGAGATACCACCCTGAAGAATACTACCACCTCTTCGAATGCGCCTGGATCGGTGCGACTGTATGTACGGGTAGCACCCATGGGAGACTTGCCGTGGGAGAAGTGCGAATACCAGGCAGTGTACGACGGGGCGAGTTTTTGGGCATGCCTTTCGCCCCGAAAGGTCCTTCTTCTCTCTTACACCTGAGATCTGAGAAGCAGTAGCAGGACCAGGTACTGACGTCACCAACTAAAGTGGCAAAGCTGGGAAGATCTCTGCAGCCACCTGAGGTCCCCTTTCGTTTCCTTAAATGACTGGGCTCAGAACAGCCCATTTTGGAGGGAGTACCCCTCGCATTATCATCAAGGAAGATACGCTGGATGAAGACGACACTATGTACACGTCACATGTGCTTTCAGCAGTAGCAAGGCGAACTTGCTCTAACTGACGCGTCCAGAGGTAAGATGCGGACGGGTGCCCGTCTCCCCGTCCAGAATTTACCGGCTAGGTAGTCAGAAAACTGGCCCTGCCGGATCTGGTCGAACCAGACCCAGCCAACAAAAACCAAGTACAACCCGCAACGGGATGGGCCGGCCCGATATTTCACTCCTGTCACCGCTCATCGCTTACTCAACACGTATCTGGCTTCTACTGCGGCGCAACACTGCAGTCAGCCTGGCTTGATGTGCCGAATACCACCCAGCCACCGGCCGCCCGCAGCTGCTGTGTTAGGATTCAAATGCAGCAGGGGCCTTTGTGCAACCCGTGTGACTGAAGCATGCATCCCTCCGTCCTACAGGACCAGTTGCTGACATGTCATGGCACGGCAGGATTCGCACAGCTACACCCTGGAAAGCCGGGACGTGCTTGCCGACGCTGCCCAGAAAGTGATGGATAACTGCAGTCCGAAGACCGGTGATGGCTCCTTTAACGGGATGGCCTTCTACAATGAAGGCTGGAATGGCGCAGTATCCTATTGCACCCAGAATTGAGATATTGGGGAGTAACGCGGGTAGGGGTCGTCTCTTGCATTTCATTAGGGTTACCACTACCAGTGCTCAGAGCTTGCTCATAGCAGGCTAATGATTACTTTTGACTGCATTTGTCGTTTGCGTTCTCAGATCTCGCACTTTGATTCGTGCTACAAACAACTTGGGCGGGGCCTTTATCATCCAGGGCCGGGGGCTGCGCCGAGAGCTTCAGCGACGCCACACACGAGAGCGTCCTGGGCCACATGTCGCTGCTGGCGCGGGAGGCGGTGTGCCGGTCGTAGAGATGGGCCGCATCGCCGGCCAGTACGTCAAGCCGCGGACCAGCTCCACCGAGACGCTGCGGGGCCGGGAGACGGTGCTCGCATTCCGCGGCGAGAAAGTCAACTCGCCCGACCCGCTGGAACGGGGGCACGAGGCTGCGGAGCCATGTCCCTGTCCGTTCCGTGTTAGCGAGGGAAGACGATGGAGTGCAGTAATTTGTTCTCCCGTGGGGTGGAAGGGGAGGGGATCAACCGTCTGCGCAACCAGCGTCGAGCACCCTCAGCGGGCCGTCGCCAGCAGTGACGCGTGGATCCAGGAGGAGCCCATCGGTTGTGGTGGCCATGGAGTGGTGTTACTTCCTGAGGCGCTCGATCTCGATGGCATGGTGCGGAATCATGTGCGGAATCATGTAGACACCCTCAGAGCCGAGGAAAACGGCCTGACCGGCCTTGGTCTCGGTGGTTGTGGTCACAGCTGTGGTCTGGGTTGACGTCCGCCACCGCCTTGCCGGTAGTCTTCTGTGGGTTTGCGCTCTCTGCATCGGCAGTGTCGCCCACGTACTCACATGAGATGTTCCGGGTCAGGCAACGGCGGCACGACGGCTGCTCCTGGTCGCAGCCCAGCTTGGATACGGCACAGGCGCGGCAGGGGCGTCGCTTGGAGCGTCTGGGTTTGTTGAAAGTCTGGGCACAGCGGCGCTTGTGACGGTCTCGCAGATCGCCTGGCAGCACGCACTGTTAGCTGTGCGGAAGGGAGGGTGCGGAAGAGGATGGCCTACGACTCGTCATTCCGGGGCCGGCCGCAGCGGCCGGACGGCCAAGGTGGGGGTGCAGGGGGACGAGGAAGGGGGAGGAAGGGATAGGACAACATTGACTGACGTCTCTCAAAAGCTTTACCACAGATGCCGCACCTGTGGGCGGGAATGGGATCGGCAGAGGCAAGGGCAGAGGTAGAGGGAGCAGCTGTCGCAGCATCAGCGACAGTGTCATTTTGCTGTGTGGCGTCGTGGGCTTGCAATGCACACATGTTGTGTCGACCAAACTCACTCGCTTCACATAGGCTTTCCAAGCAGGAAGAGGCTGGGAAAGGCGTATGGGCAGCAGTGGATTTGTACCATGCGGGCCCTTGCCGCCCTGGTGTGGCATCATCATAGGCTCAAAGCTGTGCCGTAAGCAGATAGATACACAGTGGTCGGGGGGTGGGGGCGTCTCACCCAACGCCACGGCTAGGGATAACATGAGATAAATCAACAATGGCTCTATTAGCTAGGGTTTCCTCTTTGACTTCTTAATGAAACAAGTCAAACACTGTAAGATTCAGGACACAGAAATACCACCCAGCCCATTCAGGGATGCAGGGCTGCTTATGGTTCGGTTGAACATGTGGGTAATGTAACGCAGGATCTCTTGCGTTCCTTTCAGTTACAAGCCTTATGTACACGTGGGCGGCATTCTCAGCCGGGTCATTAGACACACTGGTAGACTATCTACAATACAACCTCAGAGGTGCAGCTAACACCCTCCAAGCCCGGGGCGGGGGCCAACAGCCACTCGTCACAGTCTAAAATGTCACTACTCACTCTCGACAGACCAACTCAGCTTCGACTGCTAGACTCCTCTCACAATCCTCTGGCTGTATGAGGACTGCTACTAACAAACTCTCCTCCCCTTCAACCCCGACGCCTGAATGAAAGCGGTGTGTGTTGGATCTGTTGGCCGATCCTTCCGGAATCCGCGGCATCACACGGCCCAATCAGCACAGGCAGCGAGGCTGTTCCTCCGCGCCCAGGGTTTTTCTTACAGTACCAGCAGACATAAACGCTGCCGGGACTGCCCAGGACGAACAGCATCTCCCCGGGCTTGACTAGGCCCGTCAAATCGGTCAAGATGGCCCTCCCGCTGCTCTCGTCCGCGTTCCTCCCGAACCAGCTCGACGTGGCATTTCTGAAAAAGTTAACTCGGTCGGGTCTGAATGTGTTGAGGAGCGCCCGGGGCAGTGTCTTGACGGGGTGTAATGTGCCGCCAGGTGCTCTCACGTTGAGGCCCTCGGAAGCAAGGCTCGCTGTCTTGACCGTAGCGCTTCCATCACGGCTCTGGCTTTGGAGGAGAGTTCTGACTGCCTGGGAGACGGCGAGTTCCGACGATGCCTTCTCCGAGGCCTTCTCCGAGGCGTGGCTGTCTGCGGACGCCTTGGCCGATTCCACGATGGGCGACGGCGAAGGATGTCGACAATGGCAGCGGCTTTAAATGTAAGTGCCAGTCTAATCGGCAGCCGGGCCGGAAAATGTCGCCAGTGAGGACGAAACTGGATTGCTGGACAAGCAGAGGAATTGACAACTCAATGACCATGGCGACCTTTGATATTTAGGGGTCCAAGGGGTCCAAAGGGCTCCACGAGATGGACGAGAGGTGTCAGGCTGCGCTGTGCAATTGGCCCAGCGTGTGTTAACTTTGGGTGACAAATCCGGATGTGGTCCGACTTGGAAATTTTGGGGGCTACGACCAAGGAACTCCGACGCGGCTCGGAGATGGATGGTCCTGCCGCAGACGTCCAATCTCTGGCAGACTGCACGCGTGTAGCTGACGGGCCGTCGACGGATGGAAGATGTCCTTCCTACGCTTGATCTCCATCTCATCCGTCATGGCCTCCTCGAGCCCGATCATCTCACGAAAAAACTTCATCCAAGGTTGGACGTCAAGCAAGAACACCACATGTGATGTGTTGGTACCTTCTACGAAGGTCTTAAGGTACAAATTCTCAAGATCCATTCCAGACTTCCAGTCAGCAATCGCCGCATTCACATCGACCGGAAAGCCAAACGCTTAATTCGGCGAATCTCGCTTCATGTAGGTACTTACTTAAGTCAGGGACCGCTACAAGTTGGCACAAACCCGAAATTCGACATCAAAGACGTCCGAGTCTCTGGGCTGGCTGGACAATGCTTCATCGTGGTCTCCCTATCTTGAACCCAGAATCCGCAGAGAAGTTCAACAGGCTCCTTTCTTCTTCGTACTCAGTTCCCTGCCGGTTGCAATCTCCATCCGCCATAGGCAGCAGCAAACAATGCCACATCCTATGACAGAGGATACCTCGTGGTATCAATCTCCGAAAGCAGCTCCAAAGCCTGTGAGGCCGCCATTCGATCGGTTGGGCGGAACCTCATTAGCCCCTTGATAACCGGCAGGAGCGGGCGGAGGGGTGGATCGAGTGGGTCTTCTACGAGATCATCGAAGCATTTCTCGAGAGGCGACGCCTCCGGCATCTCGACTGCGGCACAACGTCAGCTCAAAGTCTCACGATACGTGTGATTTCACGAGATAGAGAACGAAACTTCAGGAATTTACTCACACGCATCGTCATGGCGTGTTTTTATGTACTCCTCTTTCATTGCCTGCCATTTCTCTTTCCATTCGTCCGGCAGGTCCTCCACAAAATGAACCATCTGCGACACGAGGGACGCATCTCCTCCGTCTGCTCCAAAGGGCCTGTGTCCGAATATCATGTGATATATCTGACGGTCTGTGAGTATGCAAACAGCAGGTCTAGACGAGTGGGTAACTTACAACAATACCGGCCGTCCATAAATCAATGCGATAATCCAGGCGGTCGGTGAAGATGGTTTCGGGTGCCTTGCAGTCAGTGGGCTGAGCCTCGCCCCGCCTGAACGACTCGCCCCAGTCGATCAGTCGGATATCTTCCTCGTCCTCATCCAGCCAATGATCCCACTCGGCCCGCCTCACGATGTGCTTGGGGAATCTCGGCTCGACCGGTTGGCCGTCTTCGCGGATCAGGGCTTCAACGACTGGGGTCCCGACGATTCTCAAGATATCTTGCTCGGAAGCATGCCGTAGATTGCTCCCAGTGAATGCAATGTTAAATGAGCTGACATCTAAACGTTGGCCAGTGAGTTAGTGATTTGTGACTTCCTTTGGATATGTGAGCCCTGGGGACTGTCGGGGTAGGAGTTGGGGAGCCTTGCCACCATGGGCGATGCCCCTTTCATGCAGGCTTGTTAAGGCGCTGAGCAGCTGTTTTGACACACGTAGTATAACTTCAGAATCAAGGCGATTATCTTCGGAGGGTACACTCTCGCTAAATGGCAGGGGGCAGATAGCTTGTGATAACATAGTCAAGACTTGGTCCAAGTAGCTCAAAAACAAGGCATTGGTGACGTGCGTTTGGTCCTTCATGGTAGAAGTCATCCAGAAGACGAACGGCGTGAGTCTCGTTGGTCATTGAATTAGCCGCCAGGTCCCGCAGGACGCGTATCTCTTTCGATGCCTTTTCTTGTTCGGTGAGGGCTATCAGGATCTTGACTGCAACCCATTCGTCGCTCCTGATCAAACAGGGCCGTTAGTTGATTTCGCTGCGAACGCGCAAGAACTTTTGTGTGGGGGACACAGAGTACAGAATACGTACATTGTGTCTCTGGCCAGCCAGACTGTCGAATAGCCTCCCCATCCAAGCTTGTGGTGAATTTGGTAGCGAACATCTTTGAAACGATCTCCCAAAGAGACAGGATGGTATAAGCCTGGTTTGTAGCCAGCCATACGTTCTTGGTCGAAGAATGAATTCAATGGCTTGTGGCCGAATGCGTAATCATCCATACTTGTCTACTTTCTGGAATCGAGTGACAGTGAGGTGATCCAATTCAGGCTCTACCCGGGGGGGAGGGGGGTGGGGTGAAGAGCGAGTGTTATCCAAGCAGCAGTGAGTACCCGTCCAAGTGGGTGCGAAAGAGAAGACTTGGAGAAGCGAGAGCGGGTCGAAGCAAATAGCGGAATCACACGCCAAACACATGAGTACTTTGATCGAAGGGCAAGTCAGGCGTTTAGGAACCGCTAGGAATCCTAGAATTGATTGTTAGATTTATCCCCCGCTCCAAGGACTTTATAGCGCCGGCTCGTTGCCTGTAGGCAGCACCGGTTGTCATCTGTTGGTCCATTTCCTCAGGCAGCAAAGCTCCCCTTGCAGTGTCCACCTGTTGGTTGGTAGCCAACAAGTATGAATCTGTACAGACCACAGCCACGGCACCGAGACTAAACTGTATTGATGATCGACTGCAAGTCATGACATAAGTCCTTCAACGGGTGTTCACCTCTAGCTTCTTACCCGTACAGTAAGTAACATTCCCTGCTGCCCGTCTTTGGCTTGAAACCGCAAAGGCCAACTGAAATCAATCCGCCCATTCAGGCTTAGGCAAATCCTTATAGAAGTCAGGTATCGCGTGATCGGCCCCGATGCAGTTGCTCTCCTCATCATTGTCGCCCTTGTACACAAAGGCCAGGTTGTGGTAGAAGTGAAGCGACGTGATGTGCTTGTCGAAATACGTGGCCTGATAACCCGGCAGGTCAAGCTCGGCGTGATTGAGCCCATCCGCAAGTGACTTCAGAAAGCCCATGGATGTGGACCGGCTCGATAGCTCAGTGCTTGACCCGCCGAAGGTATGTTTCCAGTAGGAAGTTTGCAAGTCCTCGATTGCGTAGATCCCGCCCATTTTCAAGAGAGGGAACAGGATGTTGAACGACGCGATGACGTGCTCGTTGCAGTGGCTGCCATCGTCGATGATGAGGTCGAAGCCGCCTTGGTCCTCATGCATTCGCTGAAGCAATGCCGGGTCGTCCTGACTGCCCTGGTAGGTCCGGATGCGGTCTTCCTCCAGCGGTTTCTTGTCGTAATAGTCGAGCCCGACAATCTGCGCCTTTAGAAAGTATTCCTTCCACATCCGAAGCGACTCGCCGCCTTTGCTTGGATCATCGTAGCCCCCGACGCCGATCTCAAGGACAGTTATGTTGTCGAGCTGGCGGAAGAGGCTGAAGTGGTGGTCGTAGTGGCCGGCGTACTTGTGGCCTGGGATGATGGTGCCGTTGGGGGCAACTGTGGCATGCGCCGCTTGGCCGTGTTTGTCTGTGCCATGCTTGATCGCAAGTTCTATAAGGGACGGTTCTTGTGCCATTACCGCTATGATTGATGGATCGTCCGGATGCTGCGTTTACGATTCCTGATTTTACAGTACTCCAGTCACCGCCAGTCACTGTCTTCAAATTTCAACTGAAGTCGCTTGTTTAAAGTTTGCTAAGGCGCACGGTGCGCAGCGCATTCAAATGTTGTGCTCCAACTCTAATTCTCGGACTTCACCGCTGACCAGGGTCGGATCCCTGCTATCACTGTGCCCTCAGTGGTGTCATCTGACTCCGATTCTGAGGAGTTGTTAGGAGGGAAGAAACACATAGGAGGTGAAGAATTTGTTGTCGGGTATTAAGCAGTATTTGTTAATACTGCGAATGCACCTACTTTGGGGCTTGAGAGTTATAGGTCGTGATGGAAACAGACTGGACACCAGTGAACTGACTTTTGGGAAGGGGGTTCCACAGGAGTTAGCGTATGCCCACCCAGCTTCTATAGTATGCCCACCCAGCTTTTAGCATTGGCCTACCTAGTATAAGGAAATTGGCTACATGCACTATAAAATATAGGTATACCTTAGGAGCTAGCTTTTTAAAATTACAGCTACTCCGCTACTTTATTATATTTACCCCGCCATTCTTTATGCAATATATTTAATTTGCGTTTATTATATTAATATAGGGCGTGAAAAAAAAATTTTATAACTTTAAGTTAGCTTACCTACTTTATTATTATTTACTTTATATAATATTTAACTTATCTTATAACTTTATTATAAAACTACTTTTTACTTACTTACTTATATATTTAATTAACTTATTTATAAAATAGCGCTTATTTTTTTTTTATTTCCTTAAATTAATTATTTTATAATCTTTACCTTTAAATATTATTTTATTATTAATACCCTTAAACTTAACCTTAGCATAACTATAAATAGTTAAGATAATAACCTAAAAATAATAATTTTAATATTTAAAACATTTATAATATATTATCTTTATTTTTTAAGGCAATTATAAATATCTCTTAAATATAACTTATAAAATTCTACTTAAATTTAAGTAACTTTGCTATTTACTTATTAAAACGTAATTTAATAATTATAGTTCTTATATTAATACTTATAAAGTAAAGCATAATCCTTATTTTTAAAATGCACTTAATATTTAAATTAAGTTATGTAAATATATAATTATAATTATGTAAATTAAAAAAGACTTACCTTGCTATTAAATTACTATTAAATTTATATTTAATGGCAAAGCAAAGTATTATAATAAAAAAGTAAATAAGATTATAAATAAGTTTATTAATAACTTTAAATAATAAATTAAAGAAGCAATAATAATTAGGCAAAAAAGGCTAAAAAAGCCATTAATTTTATGCAAAACAAACTGCTTATTTAGCTTTATAATTAAGGAGGATATAAGTACTTTAGGTAAATATACTTAATTACATATTTTATATATATTTATTAAAATATATAGGTTTCTTTTATATTATAAAAACCTTTTCCCTATATAATTATTTAGCATTTAAGACTCTTAAAAAACATTTCTTTACTAAAACTACCCTCTTACCTTACTATTAGGAATAATATAATATTTAACTATAATAATATTTATTAAGTGCCTTTATTATTTACTTTCTTTGCATAATCCCATATAAGTAGATAACCTTTAAGGATATTAATAATTAATGCAAACTATTTAATAATTAAGATATTAAGGGCTAGCCATTAATTAAATACCTTATTAATAATTTAATTAAAAATGGCTATTTAATTAACTTATTAATTAATGCAAAATATTAAGTTAAGCATATTATATTTTATTTTATAAAGGCAGTATAATTTAAAAGCCCTAATAACCCTCCCTTTCTTATTATAAATGCCACCTATAGTATCAATTAATATGAATTACTATTTATTTATATAATTAAGATAACACCTTAGTAATGCTTATATACCTACTTATTAGCTTTAATAAGCAGCTAAATAATTAAGGATTTTACTTAAGTGCTTAAGATATTAAAAAGCTATAAGGTTAATTATAACCTTTAAATAATGAATACTAAGATTATTAAAAGCAATGCTATTTAAGCAATATTTTTATAAGCATAAATTATTATATATTAATAGCACCTCCTTTAGGCATTTAAATGTAATGTTTATATTACTTAATATATCCTAAATAATATAATATTTAAGGAAATAAAGATGGAATTTCTTATTATAATTAATGCTACTTATATTAGCGATTTTAAAAGACTTTAAAGCTTATTTTAATAAAAGTAAGTAAAGATTAATAAAGGCGTAAAAGCTATTTACTATATTAATAAAACTTAGCTTAGTTATTATTAATAAAGCATTTATTAAGTATACTTTCTATACATAATACACTTTAATATCCTTTTTATATTTATTGCAAAGAGTTTATATCGCTACTTAAAGATATAGCTTAGCTGCTAAAAGTATATATATGCAATTATAATAAATGCCTTCCTTTATTTAATAATAGCTTTATTTTAAAGGTTTTAAGATATTTTAGCTAAGGAATTAAAAATAGCATTAAGCATATTACTTTATTTCCTTATATCCTTAGCTAATTTATTATTTATAATATCTTAAATTATAAGTAACCTTTTTATTAATTATTATAATAAGTTAAAGAATTTAAGTTAACTTAATATATTATATATGGAATTATTTTAACATATTATAAGATGCTTATATACCTATGAAATTAATATTATAATGTAAGAAAATAAGGCGTTTTACTTAATCAACTTTTATTTATATTAGTATTAATTAAAATCCTTTATATAATAATTAGCATAAGAATTTACTTATTAGCTATAGCGTTATATTATAAAGTTATTATTATATTTTTAAGGGCTTTCGCTACTAAAGGATGGTTTAATACCATAGGTTAATGCCGGAAACTTTAGTAAGCCTATTAGTTTTAAGCTTAAGCCTATATAAGAATTATACTTTACCCCCTTTTTATTAAGTAATTTATTGCAAAATATAGGTATTCTTAATTATCTCCTTATTAGCAATGTTGCCCTTAGAATTAGGCTAAATAATTTATCTTTAATCCCGCCCTTAATCCCGTTTAACCCTATTAATGCTATATATACCCCTTTAAATAAAGCTAAGCTTAATACCTTTAAGCTTAATCTTAATTAGCATGCTTATATAGGTATAAAGATAAACGCTAAGCCCTTTAATAAAATAAGGCCCTTCCTATTATTAAAGAAAAAGAATTAAATAAATTAAGAATAGTTTTAAGAGGGCAAAGATAAATTATTATGCCTATGGGTTAAATGCATTAACTACCTTAATTAAATGGCTATTAAGCTAAAATAAGGCGGTAAAGAAAAAAAGAGTAGCCTTTAAAAAGAAATATAAGTAATGCTATTAACCTAGGCATAAATATATAAATCTTATTTATTTAAGCATATTGCTAATTAAGGTAGCATAAGTATTATTAAATTTTATACTTAATCTTAATAAATAAGACTTAAAGCATAGCTTTACATTAAGGCTTATTTAAAATATTAGCTTTTTAAAAGAAACGATATAAAGCGCATTAAATATAATGGGAATAAGCGATTTACTAAGATATATATCCTTATATTACTTAATAATATTACTATTGCATTTAAGCAATATGCTAAAGCTTATTTATTAATTCCATTTATTATTTTCTTTAAGCATTTTAAAGCATTTTTTATTGCTTATTCTTAATTTCTTAATGCTTTAGCTTTAAACTTTACCTTTTAACCTCGCGATATTAAGTAATTATTTAGCCTAAGCCTTTTTAAATTAAATAATGCATAAAAAGTGCATTAAAGTAACTATTATTAATTATAAATTAAATTAGGCTTAATAGTATGTTAAATAGGGTATATTTAAAAGATTTAATAATGCATAATATAAAAAGAAATATAAGCTTTATTACTAACCTATAACTTACATTAATATAATCTGCATTAACTAGCTCATAACAAACCAAGCCTTATTAAATAATCTGCTAATATATAAAAAAAGCTTAATTATAAAAGATATTATAAACCATAAGCTAGTTAGCTAAATTAATAACAAGAAATATATATAGCTAAATTGCATAAAGAGTAGCAATAATATAAATAATAATAAGTATTATAAGGGCTTAAAAAAGTTTAACTTTATACCTTTAGCTAATAGGATTATAATTAAAAAGCAAAGATAGGGCAAGTTTGCTATTAATAATAATATATTATTTTATGCAATTTAAATATAAGAAATGCATAATTATACTTTATTTATTATAAACCTTAATAATTAAACCTTTAAAAAGATTTAAGAGAAATTTAAAATAAAGAGGAATTAATTATTTTATAAAACTCTTTACTTTAATTAAAATTAATGGAAACATTATATTAAAAAGGGTATATTTCTTAATATATTAGGAAAGTTAAGCAAGGAATTTATGCAAGACTATATTATTATTAAAAGCAATTCCTAAGCAGAGAATATAGTATTACGGCATTTAATTAAATATATAATATATATATATAATGATTCTTAAATAGGTTTATTTAATATTAATATCTTAAATTATGCTATATTTATTTTAAATTTATTTAATATTTTTAAGCGCGTTGCTATTAAGGCTTTTAAGCTTGCTGCTTATAATATAATTCATTATTTCCTATTAAGAGATTTATACCCCTTAAGTTCCTTATCCCATTACTTTTTAATTATGCATCTTGCTAAGATCTTAATTAATATTCCTTTTATATTGCTTAGTAAGCTAATTAAGCACGCTATATTTAAGGGTATAAAGATTATTATTAAGTACTCTTTCTCCTTAAAATAAGTAATAAAAGCAAGGTTTGGTTTTCTTTTTTCCTTATAATTATAAGATAAGCCTTAATATTTAATACTTAATTAAATATGCCATGATATATAAATATTAAAAGGTATAATTTATTTATTTAAATATTCTTAAATTCTTTATTTATTTATATTTATACTTTAGCTTATTTATTTTCTTTATA